GGCCCAGTCCACCATTCGCCCAACACAAGCACCAGCGAGCGAGCAACAACCCACGGCCGCACGCGGCTGAACAGGCCTTGATTGTGGACTTTCTCGTCCTTTGTTCTCGTTGCTGTGAGGCATAGAATAGCACAGCATGTTTGTACTCGCCGTGTGGTGCGTGCGCTGGCAACCCTGAGAAAGTACTTCGCAGCATGGTCACCGAAAGATCGTCCCCAGAAATGGACAGGCTTGACGATGGCCGGGATTCACAGAAATTGTAAAAAGGAAGGACACCATCCGAAGAAAAGGTCCAAAAAAAGGCCAAAAAAAGGACGAAAAAAGAACTGCAGCACCTAGGATTCCCGCGTGGTCCCCCACCGCAGTACTGACTAGGCGATACCTTGCTTAACTTCGCAGATCGGACGGGATGCGGTGCTTTCAAGGTTCTATGGCCGCAGATACTTCACCCTCATTGACAGGCAAATATGAGCCCGCGCAGCAAGTGCCTCCAAACAGCAGCTCCTGGAGTTGCGCGACCAGCTGATGCGGTGCGAGGCTGGATCGGTGGGCGGTGCATGCTTGGCGCACTTCATTGTTCTGTACGGTCTGATCCGACTGCGGGGCTCGGCGTCGTGGCTACAACAGGCTCACCGTTGCTGGCAGTGTGTGCTACGCAATGACGTCGTGCGATCCGGCTCGATCCATTTTGGCAAGGGTGAGATGCAGTGCGGAGCTGAGCTGCGAGTGGGATAGCTCACATGCGTGCCAGCTGATCTCAACATGAGGTGTCGCCGCAGCCTTGCATCTAGCCTCAAAAGGTCGCCGGCTCGCTTCACTCGAAAAAAGAGAGCGTGTTTTGCTCGCTTGAGCATGCGTGTCGGAGAAGAGACGCGACACAAAGGGCCGGACGCGTGTCGACCGGAGTTCCGTTGGGCTCGGCGTCGGCGCGATCCCACTTCGGACGAGAGAGAGTGTTGGATTCAGCTGAAAAAAAGGGGCGGCAGCAGCTGTGTTTGCCAAGCGTTCGAACGAACGGATCTGCAAGACCGATGGAAGACGAACAAAAGAAGCGCGGCCCCCGCCCTTCTTGGCTCTCGGGGCTCGTCAGCCTCGGACATTCTCACCACAATCGCATTGTTCGTCCTCGGTCATTCCGACAGTGATTCAGCATGCACCAGCCTCCCGCCGCTTTCGAGGCCAGAGCCGAGCCGACAAGACGAGAGGTCGAGCGGCGAATTGACTGATCGACTCGCAAAGACGAGATGCGGACGCGTCGGTGCTTAAGCGAGGGAGGCGACCCGCCAGGTCAGACGCAACAATGTACAGCACACCACAGCACAGCACAGCACAGCACAGCACAGCACAGCACAGTTTGTTGCAGCGAGGAGGTGCCAGCGCACAACAATTGGCTCTCGTCTGGAGCTAAGGAAAATTTCGCACAGCTGTCCAGCTGTCGTCGCGTCGCGCCAAGGCCGGACGCACCCACCTGTGCAGTGCGCATTCTGGAAAGGCTTGGCGGGTTCATGCAGCGTGCATGGCACCGGTCTCGGACCTCGCCTGGCGTTGCTGCAAGCGGTGTTGGTTGGTGCGGTAAGAATCCGTGTCGATCCGCAAGCCGCTCTCGCTTGCGTAGGATGCCTGCGGCTCTGCCACGTCGGCAGAACGCGCCGCGCCGAAGCGTATCCACTGCTTGTCTCAGGCTGTTTCATCTGGGCAAGGGGAGCGAAATGCAAAGATTGGATTTGGTGGGGCGCCAGCGAGGTGAGGTGGGTTCGAGGAAAAGTCAATGTCGGCGGTGGGCGGTGCGTGTTGTTGCTGTCACTTGCAGCTCGCAGCTCGGCCTGCATCCGATCCAACGGGCGCGCAGCCTCTCTGCAGCAGCCGAGCTTCCTTCTCTGCTCGCTCAAATGTGCAGCGCAGTGCAGCTCTGCGCAGCTCATCGCAGCTCCAACGCCCACCGCCCCCCACCTGGAACTCAGATGAAGCGCCGTGGCAGTCAATCCTCCGTTCGGGCGATCCGCAGGCGACAAGCGTGAGTGTGCAAGGGATCCCGGCGTCTTTTCCGCAGAGACAGCTGGATCCGAAGCGTCGAAGCTGAGATGAGGCGGATGAGCTGTTGCCCCTGTCTTGTTGGCACTGCACTGCTTTGCACGCCTCGACGAGATTAGTCGCTCACGCATGCCCGACTCTGCCTTCCCTTCCTTCCTTATCCACGTCTCTTTCTCTCGCTCGCTCTCTGCCCTTTCCCTTCCCCTCTCTACAAATCGCCTGGCCGCAGCGTAGGACCGTCAGATCGTCTGCTGCAGAACGCTCGGCTCGCACCACACCACAGTCTTTACTGCTTCGCATCCCCTTGTTTGTTCTTAAAAGTCTTGGACTTGGACGCTCTTGAGCTTGACTCCTTGTCGACGTCCCCCCTTCACCACCACCATCCCCCTCGTTGCTCGTCCGTTCGCGTGATACAGACGTGCTCCCTTCACCATGCGTCTCACCGCCCTCACCGTAGGAGCCGTGGCTCTGGCCGCCCCGCTCGCCTCGGCCTCGCGCTTCCACGAGCGCGGCCTGGTCGATGCTGCTGACCACCCCGCTGGCCACCTCTTCTCCAAGCGCGCCACCCACCACAGCATCACTAAGCGCCAGCTCGCCACCACCTCCAAGAACGGCCTCCCCTACCCGCCCGCCGGCTCCGACCCGCCCCCCGCCAGCTCGCTGCCCAAGGCCTGGGTCGACCGCTACAACGCCAAGAAGGCGGCCGGTCTCATCCCCGACATCCCGCGCTCCATCACCGACCCCAACACCCGCGCCACCGTCTACCCCGCCGGCACCGACATGACCAACGTCTGCTCCTGGACCGTCCAGAAGTGCGACACGGGCGACATCTGGCTCGCGCCCGACAACGCCGTCGCCATCACCTTTGACGACGGCCCCACCCCGCAGTCGCCCGCCCTCATCGAGTACCTCCAGGAACAGAAGCAGGGCGCCACCCACTTCCTCATCGGCAGCGCGATCGTGTGGAACCCGGGCATGATGGACGCCTACGTCAAGGCGGACCCGCCCATGCACCTCGGTGTCCACACCTGGTCGCACACGCTCCAGACGGGCAAGACCGACATGGAGATCCTCGGCGACCTCGGCTGGACCATGCAGATCATCTACGATCTGACTGGAAGCGTGCCCATGTACTGGCGCCCGCCCGAGGGCGACGTCGACGCCCGCGTGCGCGCCATCGCCACCGAGGTGCTCGGCATGCAGACCGTCATGTGGAACAAGGACGCCGACGACTGGTGCCTGCGCCAGGGCACCGGCACCGCACAGCTCCAGACGTGCACCACCGGTGTCGGCGCCAACAAGACGAGCGTCATCAGAGAGATGACCAGCTGGGCCACGACCACCAACCGCACCGGCTTCATCTCGCTCGAGCACGAGACCACCGACCAGGCCATCGACTCGTTCAAGGCGTACCACCGCGCGCTCAAGCAGAACAACTGGAACGTCGGCCCCGTCCCCGAGCTCCAGGGTCTGCCCTACTACCAGAACCAGTGGAACCTCACCTCCAGGAAGGAGCAGGTCGACAGCATCCTCCCCACGCGCGAGCCCATCAACGTCGTCAACTCGGACGCCCGCCGTGGCTCCAGGCGCGCTCCGGACACCAGCGCCTACGCCAACCTCGACGGCTCGGGCGCCGGCGCCCAGGCCTCGTCGTCCGCCCGTGGCGCCGCCGCTTCGTACACCGCCTCGGTCAGCGCCGCTGCCGCCTCGTCCACCGGCTCGTCTGGCTCCTCCGGCTCGTCGTCGTCTGGCTCGTCGTCCGGCTCGTCGGGCAGCTCCTCGAGCTCCAGCTCTTCCAGCAAGGGCCAGTCCACCTCGGGTGCGTCGGGCCTTCTCGTCGGCGCCTCCACCGTCGGCATTGGCGCCTTTGCTGCCGCCCTCGCCCTTGTCCTCTAAATACCGCCTTGCCCGGCGCTTGCCATCCTGCATCCCATCAGCATCTCTTTGAACTTTTCTTTTTCCCTACGATAGATGCCGAGTCGAGCCGTGCCGCCACACATTGTTTTGCTCTAAGTGGCGGCACGCGCTGCAGCTAGCTCTGCGGTGGTCCAGCGCTCGACTCGGCCCTTGAATCTTTGCGTCTTTGTTCATTTGCTCCATTTCTCTCGCACGTAATCCGACCGAAGCTCCTCTCCGCCTTTTCTCTCCGGAGAATGCGTGGATGCGAGGATGCGACATTCCTTCTTTCCAATCTTGACCGTGGCGCGTGACTGTCTCGAGACAAAGTGAGTGTGCTATCGGTGGAGTGGTGTTAGGTGCGGGGATAAAGTGGGGCCAAGAAGGGACCAAGGGGGTCTTGTGACACTTGCCGACGCGCGGTTTTCCGCTGAATGACAGGGCTGGAGTGGCCCACGTCGGTGCTGTTGTGGCTGAGCGTTCGGCTGGAAGCGTCAAAAGCACGGGACGGGGGACTGTGGGGGATCGGCGGTGCGCGTCTCGTTTCGGTGGCGGCGAATGCGTCATGGCGAGACGCCGAGTCGGGCCCTGTCAGTCGCCGTCAGGGTCTGCGCGCGCGGTAAAGTTGCAGGGTCCCCGTTGGCTCGCCACTCGTATCGGCCCTTCAAAGCCTCAACGCGGACAGTTCAGCCTCAACCTGCCAGCGCTGCTGGACAAGACCATACCCCGGAGACAGAGCCATGCTACCGAGGGAAGCGTGCGACATGACGCTTTCTAGACGACCAGGCAAGAGACGGTAGACTTCGGTGGTTAGATTGACCCAGCACGGTGGCGGGTCAGCTTTTGCGCGGCGAGTCGTACGTGCGCAGCTCGGGGAAGTGTGCATGGTGGTAGACTGCCGCCACGGCATTTGCTTTGTCCCCGTCCCCCACGGGGTTTCGCTTCAGCCTTCCTCCGCATCGAGACTATGTCGCTCAAGACGATCCAACGCCAGGCCGCCTCAGCTCGGTCGATATAAATGCTCTTCCCCTCCATCGATTGGACCCACCCACCACGGCTCTTGTCACGCCAACATGACACGCACGTTCATTCGATGGGACGACCCACGAGTCGAGTCCGGCGCTGGACCGGACGAAGACGCCGTGATCCGCGAGGTCGAATCTCAAATCACCACCGCCCAGACCGCCGTCTGGGAATGTCACCGCCACGCCTTTGCCGGCACCCACGTCAAGACGCAAGGCATCGTCAAAGGTCATCTCACCGTAGTGGAAGGTCTTGACTCTCACCTGTACCAGGGCCTCTTTCGTACTCCCGGTTCAAGGTTCCCCGTGGCAATGAGGTACTCCACCGAGACGACCGATTTGATTGATGATCGCACCCCCCAGCCTCGCGGGATTGGGCTGAAGGTGTTTGGTGCCAAGGGGGACAAGTTGCGCAAGGATGGCAAGGACCCAGAGACGCAGGACTTTGAATTCAACTCGTGCGCCTTTCTCGAGCTGGGCAACGCAAGGACGTGTCGAGACATCATCGCTCTTCGCCTTCTCCACGGCGCCAATCCTGGCCAGCTCGATGGAGAGCTCAAGAAGAGGGATGATTACAAGGTTCAAAACGCACGCAACGTCGCACCCAACATCCACCTCGTCGCCCAGAGGCAGTACTCCCAAGCTGCGATTCGATACGGAGACTACGTGGTCAAGTACCGTCTGCTTCCAACGTCGCCGGACCAACAAGCTCTGCAGCACAAAACGGTCGCCGAGACGGATAAGGGTACGACAGTGCTCAAGGACTGGCTCCAGGAGTACTACAAGACGCACACGGCCACGTACGATTTCCAAGTCCAGTTCCTCGAGAATCTCGACGAGCAACCGATCGAAGACGTTCGTGTCGAATGGGATCAGGACAAGTACCCCTTCGTCACCGTCGCCAAGCTCGAGATTCCGCCCCAGGAGTCATTTGCCCCCAAGAGGGTGAGCTTTTGGGAGGACCACAATCGTCTCGATGTCTGGCATGGCTTGGTGGAGCATAAGCCGCTCGGATCCATCAATCGCCTGCGTCGCGGCGTGTACAAGGCCTCGTCGGCCTGGCGTCGCCGCATGAACGCCCGCGAAGAAGTCACCGTCAGCTCCATCGATCAGATTCCCGATTGACCTTTGCCCCTCCCCTGCTCCGCACGCGAATGATCAATCCTCATTCCCATATCCCACCGAATGCTGTGCAGCGAAGTGAGTCGATTGAGGCGAGGGTACAAATACATTGCTGACATGGCGGCTAGAAATCGATGGTGGGACGAGCCTTGTACTTGCGCGTGGCTCTCGAGGGCAGCGTGTGCATCATATGGTTGCCGTGCAGTTCGAACCGCAGCTTACCAGCCGCATCTGTGAGGGGCACATCGACTGCGAACACGGCGTTCTTCTTTGGTACCGTTCGCGTGCTCTTCTCCCTGCCCCGCTGATCCCCGGCCTGAGGTGGCACGGCGAGGATGAGGGTATGTTCGGTCTCCTTGACCACCAGTCCGCGCTGGGCCACCAGCGATGGATTCGCCGCACGCACCACCTCCACCTCGGCACCGCACAGGTCCGCCTTGATCAGCGACGCCTGGATCGCACTCACCGTACCGGACGACATGGTGGCGAGATGCCGCGCGTCGAACTGCGGATTGGCCATCAGCTCACCCCGGCCGTTGAGCGCAACGATGTTGAGCAGCTGCTGGATGTATGTGCGCCACAGATCGTGCAGCGGCCGCACGAGGTCGTATGTGATGTGAGGGTCGACGTCTTCGAGGCCCAGTCGCTTGCGTTGCGTGCGACTCAGCGCGCGCCGCGCATGCTTGTCCACCGCCTTGGCCGGAGTTTTGCCTTCGCGCGATATGGATCGCAGACGCCGGAGCTGCTTCGAAGCATCAGAAAGGAGCCTCTGCTTGCCACGTACGATGTCCTTCGCAGCGCGGTCGTCGGAGACATCTTCTGCCGAGGGGCGAGGTTCGGATGTTTGCTCGTGCTCGTGCTCTTGCTCGTGCTCGTGGGCTTGTGCGTGTGCGTGTCGCTTAGATCGGCCAGCGGCGATGCGCATGCGCTTGAGTTCGGACAGCTCGCTCTTGACCCTGCGTCTGCGACGTACGAGCTTATTCTCGGCGCGGAGGCGTGCGTCTGCGTCTGTGCCGCCGGTCTTGGGCCGCGCGCGATCGAGGTTGGTGATCTGGATGCGACGATCTTGCAGTCGCTCGCGGTAGTACTGCGACACCTGTGCGTCTGAGACCTTGTCGGGATTCAGCGCTTCCCGTAGCAGCTGATGCGCAGCGCTCGTGGAGCCCGAGCTGCTTGCGACTGCGTTGTCCCCGTCCATCGTGGCGCAGGACTCGAACAGAGGCAGATGTCGGATGTGCGGAGGGAAGAAAGTGGAGCTTCCAAGGGTTCACGAAAGAGTGCTCACCTCTAGCGGGGAAGAAAATAAATCCATCGGGGCTGGTCACGTTCGCCAGCCCGATGAAGCGCGATCCGAGATCCGCCACCGAACTCAGACTTGCTTCGCACGCACGGATTGTCTTTTCGTCAGCCCCGGCACAAACTTGACCGGATCACGAGCGGAGGTATGAATCGCACGAGGTGCATGAGGTGCCGCATTGTCGCGTGTGTGTCACAGGGACCAGGGCTTGGAAGCTTTGTCAATATGAGTAGCCGGCGATGCATTGGCCATGCACCGTTCAGGCTCGGTTTTCACCTTTTGTGGCTTGCTCGCTCGCTTGCCTGTCACCCGGGCTGACCACTTCCACCTGCAGCCGGTGATGTCCGACCGAGCCACAAACAGCCACAGGCTTTCCAGAGGAAGCTGCCGGATCGCGCCTTTGACTTTGTGGATGTCATAGCTGCGTTGCTGTTGCTGCAAGCGTCATCCTCGCTCTCGCTCCATTTGAGCTCCCGGAGAAGAAAACGCTACTGGCAGTGTCTCAGTGGGCGGCATTTTTTGGCGTTCTCAACGCTCGCACGCTCTGCAGCCTGGGTCCGGAGGTGTCTGCAACGTATGCCCGCTTGCTTCCACCACGGGCATCTCGGGTAAACTTGGAGCCAATCAGGCTCTGCCCATTTCGCAACCCCGCTCTGACGGCGTGGCCCGTTGGAACACACGGCTGATCGTCCAGATGCACGGCCCTGCCATGGACGACCTCAACTCCGAGCTTTGCGCCAAGATCAGAGCGATCTGCAGAGAGTCGCCTGCATCATCCAATGTTGCTCGTGATGCTCAAGTTATTGATACCGTCGGCGGAAAAGCGAAGCAGCGGAGTTGGTAGCATGCTGCCATGGCGGAGTCGAGTCGCATCGCTCACGCGAGACGGCGGCTCCAAACGCCGTAGCCCAAGGCGCTGTGCATCATTAATATCCCGGCAGCGTGATCCAGCTGCGGATCGTGGATCCGACTGGCGGCTGTGAGATGCGATCATTCGAGTCGATGGGAGCTTTAGGAAAGCCTGCAGCATTGTTTCTCCGATCAGGTGCGAGTTCGGTGGTCGGAGTGCGAAAACAAACCGCCAGGGTCGCAGTCCAGGCACAAGAGAAAGTGGGCTAGACTCGCCTAGATGTCAAGCGCGGCATCTCCCACCTTCTGAACTTGACTTCTCCGTCAGCTTGCCGCTGCTTCACTGCTTTTTTTTTGTTTTTTGTTTTTTCTGCTTTGCCTTTTCTTTTGCCTTTTTTGGTGGTTCCTGAAGTCAAAGCTCTAAACTGTTGTGCTGCTTGGCAAGCAGAGAATGGCAAGCGAGCCGCCTTCCCATCGACCTCACGGATTGATCGAACGCATCGTGAACTGTAGAGAGAACAGGGGCGTGCACCAAAGTCATGGCCGCGGCGAATCCGGCAGATGCTTCGCGGAAGCCTTCTCGGCCAACGCACGACAGGATGCCACGTTTGCTGCTTTGTATTCACCCAAAAGACGCCGTGCGGAGATAATTGTTGGTGCAAAAGCCCTGCCCGCTCGGGTCTTGGATGCCGGGGGCTCTTCTTTTCACGAGCGCTTACGCTGCTGCAGCAACATGACGTTTTGGGTCGACATCCGCGATGCTTGGGTTTGTTGGAACGACGGGCCGGGCAGGCTTCGAGAATTCGTATTGGCCGGTGCTTCTCATTCGGACGTCGATGCTTGGACGCGGGGATGTCGAGCGATGCATTGCCGCTCGTTCCTGCCGATTCGAGCCGTAGGCGTGCTCTAAAGGCGATGATGACGATGGCCGCTCGCCACCCAGGCAACTCGATGTGCCTGGAGAACCATGACTGGGTTGGACCCTTGCCTGCCTGCGACCTCGACTCCGACTCGCAGCCGAGCTCTGCGACCATACGTTGTCTATATTTGGCCGCAACTCCAGCAAAATTACGGTATGCCAGGACGCTGCACGTTCGGCGGTGTGGCTGTGAGGTCTTGGAAACTCAAGTGTATCGTTCACACAGACAGAGGCACCCCCTTGCCGTCGGAACGACCGAATCTTGGTCCGAGCAGACAAAGGTGAGATTGCATTCGAATCGAGTCGATGATTCAAATTCTTCTCGAGCACCCGACGGGGTCGCCATGCCGGAACGACACTTTTTTCCCAAGAAAAAACAAATAAAGCACGTTGCGGGAGAAAAATGAACTCAATTGCTGTACTGTAAACACCCGCACTACGCCTCTCGGATGTTGACCCCCAGAACGATGACGCATTTGCTCACATTCGGAGGAGCAGATCCAGGAGCAGCATCATCCAAATCGCCGTCAAAGGCGAGAGTGAATCAAATCATCAGCACAGCAAGATGAACAAAATCTCGCGATCCTTTTTTAAGCGTTTGCCAATTTTCCTCCTGGGGGCGAGTTTTGTGCAGGTCCAGTCCAGGCTTGCGGGCCATCGCCGTTCTTTTGCGCCGAAATTCGACCAAGTTTTTATTGTTCCGCACCTAAGCGACACACCTGACGTGCATCTCGGTGCGGCGGTGTCGTCAGCACGGTTCCCCGTGTTCCTCGCATGCGCATGCAATTCCACGTCGCATGTGCCGTGCTGTGCAGTGCCTCGTCTTTTGCCGCGGCGCTCTCGCCCACTCGACCCATCCCTGCCCGCTGCGCCAGCGCTGCAGCATTTTTATTATTATTCAATCCACTGCGTCGATCTGCCACTTCGCCGCGAGTCGTCCGCGCCACTTCACTCCACGCCACGCCAAATCACGCCGAACCACGCTAAGCTGTTCGGTGCGGGCCGAATCTCGTCCGGTGAGAGTCGCATGATGCAGCCAACAATGCAGAATTCGGCCGTGCCTCGGTTGGGCGACTCTCTGCTCTGGTCACAGCTCACCGAGCGGGGCGCCCGAGCCGGCCTGCCACAGGAGCAAGTGCCGGGCCCGCTGCACCGACGCGCAGATGCACCCAGGCGAGCATGGCGGTTAAACCGCCACGCCTCCAGACCTCCAGCGCACTCGCTGGTCGCCGTTCCGTGCAGGAACGGAATTGCCTGTCGCGCCAATCTCCCTCGGCGACTGCTGCGACTGCTTGGGCCCTCCTGAACGTGGTGCTCAACTAGATCCTGCTCAGATTGCCTCTTGAGTTGGTGCCCGCCTGCCGACTTTCCACCGTCCCACACTCCCCTTCGCTGACATAGGTACGCACAACCTCCATGCATGCATCCGCTTCTTTGACCGTTTCGAGGACGTGACGCATCCGACGCAGCTTGTGGGCAAGTCTTGGATTCCATCTCCGCTCCTCCTGCGCCTGCCATCACCCTTTCGGACACTCAACACGTCCGACGGCATCAACAACGCTCACTCACACGCTCCGCTCCACACCTCACACCTCGGGCGACCTCAACCTGATCCCCTTCACCTTCTCGCTCCTTGCCTCCACTCCATCACTCTCCGACGTCTGCGTATACACTCTCCATTCAGCCTGCTAGAGTTCGCTGCCTGCCACCTTTGCCCTGCAACGCTCCGCAACCAAGTCGCATCGCTGCATCCAAGCACGCAGGACGTCCCGGCCTCATCCTCTTCCGTCGCATCTTGACGCCATTCTTTGCCACGCTTTCTGCCCATTCGGCTCCTGTTTCTTTCTAGAGGCTGCTACAAATTGACGCTTGCCTGCCTCGCTCGGTCCGCCATCTCCGCCACCTCCGTCACCTCCTCGACAAGTGCTACTGCCAAGCCCGCTCGTTGTTGCAGAGCCGCTGCCAAAGCCACCATCCGGGCGCTTGTCCCACCGCCGAGCCCGCTCCTCATTTCATCTGTCGTCACCAAAACGTCGGCGCACCTCCTCGCTGCTGTTTGACCCGTCGACCTGCTCTCGATAGTAAGTTTCCCGACGCACATCCTTAGCCACCCGGCAACCCACTCCCGAGCGCCCCACACCGGACTTGCAGCCCACATCCCGTCCGGTTTTCCGCCGCACGAGCCGGCACGATCCTGCCACTCTGGAACATTGGAGGCGCTGACATGCAATTTTCGGTCGTTGCCACACCCGCTTTCATACTTGGCAGCGCTTAGATTCGACCCGCATCTCGTCCCTTTCGCCGCGCACCCGATTCCCACGTCGTCAACCATTGTTTGCGCCATTGGTACGGTCGATCGATCATCCTTGTGTCATCTGCAAGACCTGCAGCAAAGCTCCGCTCGCTCATCTCCGCACACGGTCGGCTCGGCCTTCAGCCAATCCGTGCACGTATCAACACTCTCGCCAATCATGTCACGTTCCGAGTCGGATGAACGCGATAGCGGATTTGCCACCGGCAACGGCTCAGGACCGTCGCACGCATCAGAGTATGCTTCCACTCGTCTTGACCGACATGGCTTGACATCTTCAGCAGACGATGCACTTCGTGCCACACACGACCGCCACAGAGACCCGTACTCAAACCAAGATCCATACGCAGGCGGCTCGCAACGCTTTAGAGGAAGACCCGCGAGCCCGTCCCAGGAACGCCAGTATCAGCACGAGCTCGACATGATGAAGGCACGGGAGGAGCACGAGCGATTCTACGCCACGACTTCGTCACGTGGTGGACGCGAAGCCCCAGAAGGCAACGAGGTGTATGCCGGGGTGCCCGCCGTCAGCGCAGAAGCCAGCGGTTTCGGACCGCGAGCATCTTCGAGCGAAAAGCCGAATTTGGACGGCTTCTCCCGGGTCGAGAACGGCAGGCGCTATCGCCTCGTTGTGGTGCAGCATCCGAGTCGAGCACGCATGTGCGGATTCGGCGATAAGGATCGACGTCCGCTCAGCCCAACGCTGCTGGTGAAACTCGTCATCACGGACGAGGCAACAGGCGACGAGATCAGCCCTCTCGATGTCAACACGTCTCTCTTTCTTCTTGCCACCGACCTCTGCCACCCTGACGACCTCATGCTGGCACCTCGCAACATCCTCGTCCATCATCACGCCTCATCTCTACCTGTCCATTCGATGCAGCAGGGTGGTCACCATGGATACTCCCAGGACGACTACGCCACGCCGCATGGATCGAGTTACGGCAACTTGGCATCCGAAGGCCCCTCGGACGCCGACTACCGGACCGGAGGCGGGTTCGGGGCGGGTCTTCCGCGCTCGGGGTCTCCTTCCGGTGCTCCAGACGCACGCAGCTCTACGAATCCACAAATGTCGATGGCGAGTAGCGGAGGCAACGTGATCGCGGGTCAAGGCGAATCGTACACGCGCAACCTGGTGGGTGCGGCGGTGGCGAGCGCGTCCGTGCTCAAGGACGAGCAGGACAAGTGGTGTATTTTTTTCGTCTTCCAAGACATCTCGGTGCGTACCGAGGGCGTGTACCGCATCAAGCTCATGTTTGTCAATCTCGAGGTCAACGGTCGCGTCGGCACGGGCGTATCGGAGGCGCTTGCCGAGACGTACACGGAGCCGTTCACCGTCTACTCGCCGCGGCGCTTCCCGGGCATGTTGGATCCGACGCCGCTCTCCCGCAAACTCGCATCGCAGGGTATCAAGATTCCCGTGCGCAACGACAAGAAGAAGCAGCGCCGACGCAACGACGACGGCGACATGGGTCCAGACGATGACGGCGGCTCGGGCGGCGACGACGACGATGATTAGACACGTGCCTCCTTTGCAATCTCATACTCCTTCCAGTTGTGCACGCCAGGGGTCGGAAGTCGAGTAGCCGCTTTGATTGTGTCTGAGGCTTATCAGAGTTAAGCTCAAGATTGACAGCTGCGGACAGGAGTGGGGAGGGATCGAACTGAATGAGGGCGGTGACAATTGGAATTTGTTAGACCGAGGTTGTTTTGGTGTTGCTTTTTCGAAAATCACGTGTGGAAGCGGGGCAAGCCGGCCGTTGGTCGTGGTCTTGGATCGGGGATGGCGATTTGGGAAATTCTCGCTTCCGAACCTAGCGTGCTCTGGGGGATGCGCGGCGTAGAGTCAGTCGTCTCTTACACTTGCGGAAAGCATGCGGAAGTTGGAGATTGATCGCGACCACCTGCTACCACCATCACCATAGTCGGACCCTTAATCATCATGGCATCTCGATTTGCAGCTGGCCTGTTTGGCCGTTCCATGCGCACTCTCCAGGCGCCCTCAGCCATGCGTCGCTACGCAACTGCCGCTGGCGAGAACGAGTTCCTCGCCGAACGCGCACACCACAAGGAGCACGCCGGTAGTAAGTAGACAATCGATACAAACCACAGTTCTCAGCTGCTGTACAAAAGCACCTCTACCAGAGCTACTCGAACATGTTCCGATACGCTCGATGTGGAGAGAGATAGGTTGTTTGGAAGAGGCTTTTTGCTAACGCTTTGACGGGGTTCTTTGATGGGTTACAGAGTCGGCGGACCTCTGGCGCAAGGTGTCTCTCTACGTCTGCATTCCTGGCTGTAAGTTCCTTCATATCCATCTCTCCGCTCGTTCCAGACTCGATTGCTGATTTTGCTGCTGGATTTGTCTTGAGGATATTAGCGATTGTGCTGGGTGTGTACATCTACGGTATCGAGAAGCACCACTACGACCACATGGTTCACGAGTACCACGAGAACGACAACCAGCCTCCCGAGCGCACCTTCTACGAGTACAACGTAAGTCCTCCCCCACCGGGTGATCCTAAGAATGAGAATGCAACTAACACATGCGGTGCGTTTCGATGTCGTAGAACATGCGCAAGAAGGCCTTCCCCTGGGGCGACGGCTCCAAGTCGTTCTTCCACAACGAGATGATCAACCACCCCAAGGACCCTTAAACATCCTCTCTCGCCTTTCTACCAACATGTTTCTGTCGCTCACCATCTTTACGACGAAAGCGTCAGAATACCAAATTCCCTTCCTACACATCCGAGAGTCGTGTGATGCACGGCTTCCATGTCTGCCTCCAAATCCTCACCCAGCGCACATGTCGATTCTGACAGCAAGACGACCGCACACAGCACACGTCCACACAGCGGAACGAGATTGAAACGTGTTCGCAAAGAGCGGGCGACACTGACGGTGGAGAACAAAAAGCAGTCACAACAGGGAAGGCGACGGGGCAAAGATCGAGTGAATGAAAGTGAAAGAGAAAGAAAACAGTGAAGTGGCAGACGCAAAGGACACAGAGTCGTAGCGAGTGTGTGTGCGAAAAGGGTATGCAGGAAGCTCAAGTGACAGCCGCATGTCTCAATCACTGCTGCGGCTCGAGGATCATCTCCTGGATGCGCCTGGCAAGCGACGAGATCTCGCCCTCGGCACTCGTGCCGTCGTCCGAGCCGTCGGTCCTCTCGTCCTCGGCGCTCTGGTCGGCCGAGAGCGAGGCGAGGTGCTGGATGAGCGGCAGCAGCTGCTCGGAGCTGCGGATGTTGTCCTCCAGCTGCCCATCGCCCGACTCGAGCAGCTGCACAATCGTCCACACCGCAATGTGCTGGAAGGTCGAGTCGTGCGACTCGAGGAAGCGCACCAGGTAGCCGTGCAGGCCGCCCTCGGGCTGGTTCCACACCGCGTTGAACGGCGCATAGTCGTCGGATTTCGACGAGAGGTTGCCCAGCGCCGCCGCCGAGTTGCCCTGCACCTCGACCGAGGGCGACGCGGTGAGCGGGATGAGCACCTCGCAGATGCCCATCTCGAGCAGCTGCGGCTTGAGGTCCTCGGACAGCGCCAGCACGGCCGCACACGCCGTCATCTCGCTCTGCACGCTCAGCGGCACGTTGAGCACGAGCTCCTTGATGCGCTCCACCGCGCCCGCCTCGACGATCGCCGTCTTGTTGCGCTCGCTCGACGCAGCGAGGTTGCGCAGCGTGCTGATGGCATGGCACTGGATCTCTTCGTTGTCCTCGTGGCTGAGCAGGTCGATGAGCGGGTGCAGGAAGCCGGCATCGATGATGGGCGACTCGTTGGCCGGATGGATCGACACGTTGCGCACGCACGCCGCCGCCGACAGGATGAGCGGCAGGAACGACGAGCGCAGCAGTCGCAGCAGAGGCGGCAAGCCGTTGGAGCGCACAATCTCGATCTGGTACTTTTCGTCCGACGCGAGGTTACGCAGCGCGAGCGCCGACTGGCACTGCACCTTGAGCGACGAGCTCTCCATGAGACCGATGAGGTTTTGCACGAGTCGAGGCTCGGTCTGCGCGAGCTTCTTGCGGTTGGCCGCGTCGACGGCGATGTTGCTGAGCGCGGTGGTGCAGTAGTACTGCACGTCCGTGTCCGAGCTGCCGAGAAGGCCGACGAGCACGGGGATGGCGCCGGCATTGACGAGCTGCTGGCGGTTCTCGTCGCTGTGCGTCATGTTGAGCAGCGCACCCGTGGCGTTGCGCTGCACACGCATGTCCTTGGATCGAGCCAGGCGCGTGAGCGGAACCAATGCGCCCGACTTGGCGATCTTGGTCTTGTTGTCGTCGTGGGTGGCGAGGTTGGTGATGCAGCCGACGGCGTTGCACTGCACTTCGACGTTTGGGCTGAGCATCTGGCGGATCAAGGGCTCGAGGCCGCCGAGCTTGACGATGAGCAGCTTGTTCTCGGCATTGACGGCGAGGTTGCCGAGCGCGGCACTGGCGGCGCGCTGCACCTCGACGTCGTGACTCTGCAGGAGGAACATGATGGGCTCGAGCGTGTCGCGGCCGACCTCGCGCACCTCCTTTTCCGTGATCTCGGCAAAGGCGAGCGCGGCGCTGCGCTGCAGGTCCACATTGTCGCTGAACGAGAGCGTGGATAATGCTCGCAGCGGGTCGCCAGTGAAGAAGTTGGTTTCGGAGCGGTCTGCGAGGTCATGACAGGAGCAAATGGACGGTCAGGGATCAAGCTGCTGTGAGGTGAATCCCGGCCACAGGGCAGATACTTACTCTCAAGGTACTGCAGCAGATCCGCGACGGCATCTCGCTCGTTGTCGAGCAGGAGCGGCTCGTAGTTGGCGTTCCTGGAGGAGCCGCAGCCGCAACAACTGCAAACGTTACCCATGGCTCGAAATGTGCGACGCCCGCGCTTGTAGCGTGCTAGGAGAGTGCCAAGTAGGGTCTAGCTGATCGAGCTGCAGCTAGCGATAGAGAGGGGATGGCAAGCGCGAAGGCAGGTGACGATTCGAGCCAGACGTAGGCCACGCGTGCGCTTTGGAGGTGAGTCGGCAGTTCCGATGCGAGGCGGATGCGTATCAGCAGCGGTGCTGAGCGGGGCGGACTGGTCGATGCCAAGCTGGCTTGAGAGTGCGGATGCGATCAAGGATGGAACAGCGAAGGCTCGCAGCGGAAGTCGTATGCGAGTGGCGCCGTTGAATCGACGGATGTTTGAGAGGATGCAGTTCGATGTTGCGGGAAGGGGGCGGTGCAGGAGACGCGTGCCAAAGGAAGCGGGACGACCAGGTCGTGAGCAACGGGATGCCGAGCCAGCGAGTAGGTGTGTGCCACAACGACGATGGACGATGGTGGATAGGAGGTGGAGGCAAAAGCGACGAGGCGATTCGGAGATGGAGTGAGCGCTGGATTGGCTGGCTGAGTGTGGAAAGCGGAGGCGCGTCTTTGCGAGGCTGCGAGTGGTTCGGTGGGCAAAAGCGGCAGGTGCGGGTGCGCCGGCAGGTGGAGTTGGGCACGCAAGGGGCAGCAGCAGCTGCTTTTTGCCTGCCTCGCCTCGCCTCGCCTCGCCTCACAAAAGACCAACAGAGTCACAGCCAGCCAGTCAACCCGAGCGGGCGCGCAGCGATCCCAGTCTCAGCTCAGCCCTCACCCTGCAGCCACCCAGCGCGAGGGCACGGTCGCTGCAGCGCGCGCCCTCCCTGCCCGTTTCTTTGGAACGAGCGCAAAATGCACGGAAAAAAAGGGGCGCGGGGAACGGGCAGGCAGAGGCAGAGGGCGCTCGGTCCAATTCGAAATCCACCAGCTGCAATTCCAAAGGCGGTCTGGTCTGCTCTACGGTGCAGTTGAACTTCTCGTGTGCTGGCGGTCTTTGAAATATTCAACTTCGTGCGGCACTAGCTCATCACTTTCTCATTGCACTCGTGGTGGTGACGTCCTGCCCCACCAGACCTCATCTGCTGTTTGCCGCCAGAGCGTGCATGATTTGTGGTGGCAAGGACGTGAGACTCGGGCTCCGTGCACGATCGGCAATGCTGCCTTCATTTCGAGGATCGTCGTGATTGACGTGCGAATGCCCACATGACAGCATCTCCGTGCTAACTTAGTGCTTAATCGACGCCTGTCGTGCAACTGTGAGCGAGCCGTGCGAGAACGCAACAGGCAGAGGCGATCGTGCCGACCTTGGAGAGACAGGCGAGACGGGTAGCCCGCCGACCTTGGTGGCCGAGTCGGGCTCGACGGCCGATGAGAGCGCTGGTGATGCCAGCGACGAGGCGTGCGTCGACGAGAGCGGTAACGGCGCAGGCACGGTCAAGCCTTGCAGGCGGTAGCGCTCGCTCATGCTCATCCTCGCCGGACCAGCGGGCGACATGCCCGCCAGGCTCGCCGGGCTCATCTCTACATCGGCAGCGATTGTGTCCAGGCGCGCCGATGCTGGACTGCCCATCTCGCTCTGTTCCGAGATGGGCGCCATGCCGGCATCGTTGGCCTGCAGGAACTCGATCGGGATGGGCGAGCGAGTCGGAGCAGCCTCGACCGACTTTCGCAACGAGCTTCGTCGCGGCGGCAGCTCGACATCGCTCGACGTGGCCACCGACGGTTTAGCGCCGTACGAAGAGAGCGCCGGCGTCGATGCGTGCGTGGCGCCGACCAGGTTGGTCACATCCGCACTGTTTCGAGCCGATGGAACGGTGCCGCGCGACGAGATCGAGTCCCATCGTCGGCCGAATCTCGGGAAACTGGCGAAGCGCGAGGGCTCGTGCGTGTCGTTGCTTTCTGCCGACGAAAAGATGCTGTTGCCCGTGCCAAACGACGACGATTTCGAGCTGCCCGAACGGCCGCGCAGATGCCGCGATCCGACGCTCGAATGGAACGTTGGGCCGTGCAGCATGTCGTACGAGTACTTGCGCGAGCTTGGAGGATATCGCTTGGATGGCGGCACCTCCGAAACAGGCGGTGCGGGGAGCGGACGATGCACATCCGCCGAGTGCATGTGCACATTGGGCAGCGCCTTGTCGCGCGACAACGACACAGACCCGGACTGCGCGTGGCGTCCGCCCAGAGGGAATGGTGTCGGCTGCGGGAATGCCGTCTCTTTCTCCGAGGAGCGCGACCATGGGAATCGGAACACCTTGTTCAGGCTCGATGTCGACGAAGAGGAGCGCAACCGCGAATGGCCTAGGTCCAGCGATTGCGACTCGCGCGTCTCCTCATCACGCCCGGCGAGATTGATCTTAGACAAGGACGCAATCCGACCCCGGAGCGTTCGTGTGCCTGCAACGCCCTCGGAGGATGCAAGAGCTGAGCCAGGTTTGGCTGTCGCGCTCATCGATGGGAAGGGTTCGGCTGCTTCTACCTTGGACGGCACAGGAGGCCTGGACCCATCTGCATCGGACGACGAGATCTGAGGCAATGGCTTTCGGGCAACAACGTTCGCGACTGGCTTTGACGACTGGGACGGCATCATAGTTGCGGATGCCAGCTCCGGCGTTCGGAGGGTCGACGAGAAAGAGGGGCGCGCAGAAGCGATCTCAGTCGAGATCCTCACCACCTGTTCCTGCAGACCTGCGATCTCTTGCTCGTGCTTGCGAATCAGCTCCTTGTTCCTCTCCACCTGGCTCCACAGCTGCGCCTGTCGCGCCGGATCCATCACGCTGCTCGCGCTCAGCGACCGATTGCGACCTGGCGAGGACTGGCCTAGCACCGTCAGAGCGGGAGTGGCGAATCTCGAGAGTTGCGAGGATGGCGTCGCTGCGAGGTCAGCGCCGTGGCTGGCTCGGCATCCGCACTGCCATGTGGCATTGGTTTTGCCAGCGAGGGCACATTGCGGGCGGTGGAAAGCAGAGGCAGAAGGTCGAATGGCAGGAATGCCGTCGTCGTCGATGCAGACGCTCCATGCGTGAAGCTCACCCGGCGCTCTCTTGCCGAATTCGGGAGCGAAACGATTAAGCACTGTGTCAGAATTGCGGCGCACCAGCCTCGGCGAGGTCGGCATAGGCTGTCCCGGTAGCGCCGGCATCGGCTTATGCAGAGCGAAAGGACCGGATCTCGACGTAAGCACCGAAGCGGCTTGACCGTGTTGTTCCTCCGTGTGCAGAGCATGGCCGGCGGAGGAGAGTTGGTGGGCTTCCGAAGCCGAGTCGGCCAAGACCTCCTCCTCGTCATCAACAGCGAATTGGGCAAACCCGGTAGCTTCCGACTCGCCCTTCAGCAGCAGAGGGCTTTGCAGCAGTGCGGGCGGCTTGGGAGCCTGCCTCGCAGCCGCAAGCGACGGCATACTGGCGCTCGATCCCAAGCCCTGGTCCGAGCCGGTCGCATCGCGGCGGATGGGCCGAGAAAAGTTGTAGTTGGCCGTGAGGCCGTCTTCGCTGCTGCGACCCAAGAACGTGCGGCGATGCTTCGCCCGCTCTGCTCGCGCGTCTAGCAAGGTGGCTCGTTGACCATCTGCAGCATCCCCGACGACTGCCCAGCTCGGACTCTGTTGCTCGAACGATGGTCTGGAAGAAGAAATGTAGGGAATGCCTCCGGCCGAAGATCTAGGCACTCTGGAGCCATCGTCCCGAGCAACACCGCCGGCGGATCCACTGTGAGACGCAAACAACGTGGACAGCATCGGGCTCGAGCTTGATCTGGGGAGCTGATCGTGGTTTTGCGGAGAGGAGGCTTCAAACTTCATGTTCAGGGCGGAAGAGCCGAGAAGATGGTTGCGCCAAACGTGCTGAGTCGTATCAAGCATCTGCCTGACCGTGTCACGAGGGATGTCGAGGGAACGGGCAAGCTCGTCCGTCGATGCGTTTCGCGAGAGCGTCAAAACTTTGCGGTCAGCGCCGACACCACCTGACCTTGGCGGGGAAGGTCCCATGGAGGGTTGGGCTGCGGATGTGCCGCCAGCGGCCTGTTGCATGTTGGACAGCCGATCGAAGCTGGAAGAGGAGCGCAAGGTCGGTAAGATCAGCGGCCTCTGCAGCTGTCGAGAGGCACGGCGTGAATTGAAGTCACCGTCCTGATGCTGGTCCGTGGCTTCACCGGTGGCAGCGGATTCCGTTCGCTGAGCATCGTCGTGCGCTGGGGCAGACGGCAGGCCGGGCAAGGCGGGAAGGGCGGCGCTCGGTGCGGGTCCGGGAGGTGGGTTTCGCATCTGTCGATTGCGTGGCGGCGATACCGTTGTCGGGCCGGGTACAGATTGTGGCAGATTTCCGGCTGGGTTGGGCAGGGCAGAAGCAAGCACCTCAGTGTCCTCGTCGTCCATGTCGAGGTATGGCAGCTCGGTTGAGGAGCGACTGGCCGTCACTCTGCTAGCTTTAGGCTTCTCGAGATCCCAGCGCTCGCCACCGTCCCAGCTGTTCTCTTTGGACATGAGCGGGGCTTTGAGACTCCAAGCGCCGTCAGGGTGCGGGAGTTTGGAGGGAGGCAGGTGCGCCCCCAAGGACTCGGCAATGGAGGGCGGCTGTCGAGTGGTGGGTGAAGGGAAGGAGCTGATGAGCGAAGCAAGCGCCGGGGACGAGGTGGGAAGCGACGCCTGCGATGTCAGCGTCATGCGCGAACCCTCGGCAGACATGGGCGATGTCAATGGCGGAACGCGGAGCAAGTCATGACCAGCATCGGCCCGATAAGAGCCGGAGGTACTCGACAAGGCTTCCGAATGAGGTACAGCGGAAGCGCCGGCACTCGAGGGGAATCCAACGAGCGGTGACTGTCCCATGGCTGGAGGTTCATGTATTGTTGGGGCCTGCGGAGGGAAAGGGGAGTTACTGGCCGTGCCTTCGTGGTCCGAGTCGCTGTCGTGGTCTCGAAGGCTCATGTCGAGGAACGAGAAGCGAGATGCATTCATGTCAAGCAGGCCAGATGTGCTGAAGGGCCGACCAAAGCCCGCGTCGTCGAGCTGTAAAGCGGGAGGCGGTGAAGTAGCCGATGAGGGTAGTGGTGGAAGGGGAGGGCTGAGGATGGGAGAATAGGTGGTGACGGATTCGGATGGAGTGGTGCGCTTGAGCTTGGGCGCCCATCGCGGTTGCCAAGCCTTTGTGGCTGCTTGCGAGCTGGAAGGATCTGAAGCAGAGTTGTGAGAGGAGGCCTGGTCTGCGCTCTGAGATCCTGATGGTCTCGCTGCCTTTGTGAGCGAAGGAACACGAATACGGAAGCGACCGCTGTTGGTGCGTGCGACGCCATTGGCAGCGCTACTGTGCGTCGGCATCATGGCCTGTCGAGATGACTCCGCGTTGGGCATGGCTGTCTGTGTGTGGGCGTGTGCAGGCGCGGCGTGCAACTGATTAGGCTGAGTCGCGTAGGGAGATGTTGACCGCTTTTCGATGCGAAGCGGTGGGGGCGGCAGAGCTTTTGTGGCAAAGTGAGATGCCATGGTCGAAGGCGACTAGCCCTGCTCGCTTGCGTCGAGCCTGACTCTCAACACACTCGGATGTAGAAGCTGCGTGTGGTCATGAATGGCGTTACAGCACGATCTGCAGGATATTGCGAAGTGGGCGCAGTCGTTCGAGAAAGGGCAGATCCGAAGTCGTCGCAGTCCGGCTGCTAGGGGCGCTGTTGACGCTGGAAGCCCTCGTTGCTCCCGTCGGCTGTGTTGCAGTCCGAGCCCTGTGATCCGTGGATCCTGTCGGTGGTATATGCGGCCGGCGCGAATGAATGGATGGTGATGGTGGATGGAGAACAAAGGTAGGCAGTTGCATGGGAACAGACGGCTACGGCCGCGATGCAATTGGGTGGCACCGTGGGCTACGACCACCTCGCTGTACAGGATGACGGAATGGCTGCGAGAACAAAGGCGACCCAAGGCCCGAGACCGAAGAGGCCGTTGGGGTGCGTGCGTGCAGCTCGGATCTGGCATTTGAGCTCGAGTGTCTGAGGTCGTGCCTGCAAAGCTAGGTGTCTTACAGTGCATCTGCCTGCCCAGCTAGGCGTGCGTCTTCTCGGGGACCTTGGAAAAAAAAGTGGAAAAGAGGGCGCACCGGCCGTTGAAGCGCGTCGAGCGCGACGCCAAGATGCCACGAGCCCCGCGCGTTGACTGCAGCTGCGGTGCAGTACTGTAAAGAGGTCCTCGAAGCTGCAGCTTGGTTTACTGCCAGTCCGGCACCCTGCAGCAGCAGCAGCGCCTCTTGTCGAGTGTGGCTTGAGTCAGCTTCCCGCTCAAGCTTTGCTCGAGCTTGTCAGGCACATACGCCAGGGCATACAAGGCCCGCTTCATTTCGAGCCTCGCCGACGCGGACGCGCCGGTGCAGCAGCCAAGACGGTGGACCCTCGTTGCTGTCACCCGAGACCGTCACCTGCGCGCACATGTCCGCACCTTCACGTGTCGCACGCTGTCAGCTTAGACGCGCCTTGTACAAATCTGTCATCCTAGTGGCTCCGCCCTCACAGCTTCATGGCATAAGTTGCAGCTAGGAAGGGTCGCAGCGAGGCTTGATCGCTGGCCGATACGCTCAGCACGTCCGAAGCACTGCTTCTGCTCGCCTGGCCGATCGAATCCTGAACAACGCACCCGTCGGTCAAAGGAGGCCAATTCTAGGGTTGTGGGAAAAAAAGGCACCTGGTGCATGAACACTGCCAGGTCGCCTGGGAAATTTGGTCGGACGCGCAAAGCCACCGCGTCTTGTCAAATGGACGCTCTGCGAACTCTCTTCCCGCAAGATCGCAGTGGCCGAGCTGCATCGTTCTCCGCCCTCGCCTATCCGATTGCACTGTGTGGGCCCCGTTCGTCAAGTGGCTGACAGCGACAAACGGAACCACCCCGACTGAGCGCCACGCGCCTCTTTTGCCACCGAACCCCGCTCGTGGGCCACTGCGATCCAAGAGTTCGTTCGATCTATCCGGYTGCATCGATCGGGAAGTCCGCAAACATGTTCCCGCCGATTCGATTGCCTTTGCGGAAGCTTGAGCTTCGACCGCCCGTCTGGGAACTTTGCCTTCCCGTGACCTGTAACCGCCTGTTCCTGCCTGTGTTCCTTGTCTCAAGCTCAGCTCAAATGCAATGGATGCAACCACGTGGCCATCCTGTGGGGCGGGTCAAGGCAAAAGTGTCCATTTTCGTGGCAATCTATGCGTGACAGTCGTGGAAATAAGATCATGCAAAAGCAACGAGTGCTGAAGCGACTGCGGCCAGAGCGAGCGATGCTACGACACCGGCCGAAGTGCCCACGGCGCCACTCGACTGGCCGGACTGGGTTCCGCCCGAACTCGACCCGGAACCGGAACCGCCGCCATTGCTCGTCTTGGGAGCGGGTGGGTCCTGGGAAGCCGGAAGCGAGGTGGCGTCGCTCACCCTCTGGTCGCCGAGCTGCCCGGTGCCGATCATGACGTGCTGGCCGATCGAGGGAATGCCGTTGACAACCAGGAAGGCCATCGCAGGACCGGGCTGGAAGATGTTGGCGTTCGGCGGCATGTTGGCCACGTGAAGCGTGCCGCCCACGCTGCCGTCCTGGTTGGCCGTGTAGGTCGAGTTGAGCTCGAGGTAGCGCTGGCCAAAGTTGACGCCGTGCGTCGCAAAGCCCGGTCGGATGACCACCATCTTGGCCGTCTTGATGTTGGTGATGTTGTTCGACAGATCCGAGCCCGAAAGCGCAACGTCAAACGAGCCGCCGCCGTAGGCGATCTGCGTGACGTTGGGCTGTGTGGGGCGCGCCTCGTTGTACCACGTTGGGTACCACTGCTCCAGGCGGTACTCGGTGTTGGTGTAGTTGGCCGGGTTATCGAAGCTCACGTCGGCGTTCGGGTTGGAGCCGGCCGTGAGCACCGAGCCATCCTCGAGGAGAATGGCGGTCGAGTGGTACATCCTCTGCACCTGCATCGGCGACAGGCCGTCGGTCGAGAAGCGAGAGCCCTTGGGCGCGGTAGGGTCGTACAGCATCGGCTGGAAGTCGGGCTGGTCGCCGAGCGAGATGCCGAGGTTCTTGTTGTAGTTTTGCCCCGAGTATCCACCGGTGCCCATGCGGACGCCCTGGCCGAACCACAGCTTACCGTCTGGAAGGTAGACAAACGTGCCCATGGAGCGGCCGTTGATGAGGTCGTCATCCTGCTCCCAGGTGGGGTTGCTGGCCTCGGGCGTGATGCGTTCGCAGACCTTGCTGGCGGCGATGGGAAGAGGGTTGTACAGAGGACCAGCACCGTTGCCCCATTCGTTCAGGGGACGCTGCACACCACCGCAGAAGAGGACCTCCTGGGTGTAGTTGTTGGCGGGCGTCATGGGCAGCATCGCCACACCTGCCGAGGCCGGGTACACCTTCATAGGACCCGTGGTGGACGGGAGACCTTTGGCGACCGAGTTTGTGTCGAGGTTGTACAGGATCGCGTCCTGGCCTGCCTGGACGAAGAGGAGGCCGGAAGCCATGAGCCAAGCGAGCGGGTACAGGTTCATGGGCAGCGTCTGGGTGAGGAAGTCCATGTTGATCGCGTCGCCCCTGGGAGGCCAGTACTCGAAATTGGGCTGGTTCTGACCCTCGTCGGCGACGTATCCTCCGTAGTCCTCACCGCCGCCAACCCAGAGAGTGCCGTCGGCCAGCGCCTCCACTGTCGGGTACCACCTGCGCCTCTTCATGTAGTGGTTGCCGTCGTCCCAATCGGATGTGTTCTGGGAGTTGGGGGTGTAGAATCGGGCAGCAGCACCTCCATCACCATCATAGTACGGAGCAGTGGTGCTGAAGCGCGGCGTGGTCGAATTGCCTCCAGGGCCGACGTTCTCATTACCTCCGAAGACGGCCCACGTACCGTTGCCGAGCGACATGCCGCCTGCGCAGAAGGTGTTGGTGACGACGTTCATCAGACGGCTGGTGCGCTTCTGAGTGTCCCACTCCTCACCCCAGGCAGGGTGGCCGTTGATGCGCGCGGCGTTGCCTTCGGTCTTGTCGAGGATGACCACCTTGCCTGGCGCGCTATTGAACAGCATCATACCCGAGACGGAAGAGGAGCCGACGATCTCGCTGCCTCCCGGGGTGGCAGCCATGGCGGAAGTGGCAGCAGTGGCGGCGACTGCGGCAGCAGCTGCTGCAACTGCATTGCGTCTGCTTGGCATGCTGGACGAGCAGACAGGTATTGACACAGGTCCGGACGGCTTGTGTATGCTTCGAGGCACTATGCTTGACCGATTCGGGCTCGGATAAGAGGAGGAAGAGGTCGAAAGCGATACTTCCTAAGCGGAGTGAAAGCTGTGATGGACACACAATGGTCGAAGAGAGGTGGGAGTGAGGTCGGAAGCAGAAAGGAGTCAGGGAGGAGCTACATAGGATCTCACTGAGGGGCGAGGAGCTGTATATGCAGACAGGAGTGGGTGGACAGCCCCTGGCGACCGTCGGGCCCTGCGGCTGCACAGCATGATCCGCGAGCTGCTTTCGAGAGAGCGTCACGCGGACAGACTGAGCCGGTCAACAAGAAGCTGCACAGCCTGCATCAGCAAAGGCTCGTTTGCCTGGTCTTTTGGAGCGACTGAACGCTGTCCCCTCCAAGGCAGGAGGAGGATGTCGGCTATTCTGTTCGCCGTCAGGGCACTGGCTGCTTTCCTGGCTGTCAGCGCCAAGCTCAAAACAGACTGAGGCTGGCGCGGGGGACCCTGAGGGCTGACGTCGGACTTGCAGCGCGATGTCGGCAGCACAGCAGCGGCAGCATGAACCGCCGCACCACCAGCTCGAGCAGCTCAAACACGGCATCCCGTTGACGCTGGGGCAAGCGAGGTTCTGAGCCTTGGCACTGGCTCGCGCGGCTCGTCCGAGGCCCTGTTTTTTTTTTCTCAGCATGAATTTTCTCGCTTAGAACAACACGGACAGCAGACGACCGCGCTGAGACGTCCATGTCAGGCGGTGGGAGAGAGCCCAAGCGATGCCGCCCTGGCCAAACGCAAACAGCTTGTGTTGGATTCGGCAAAGCCGCGTCAAGATTTCTCCCTCTCCCTCTCCCCTCGACCGCTGTACCAGCAACGGACGGCACCCTGCCGAAAAGTGTTTTTCCTTGGGGGTTTCTTTTGTTTTTCCAGAACGGATCGGAACTGCCGCTCGCCTTGTCGCGATCTGCAACAGAGCCTGCAGCTCGATCTTGTTTACTTCATTCAGCAGCTCTGCCCGGACCGCTGGTACCTAATTTGACGGCTTCGCTGATCTGCAAACCGCCTCGTCGGTTTCAAACGCAAATGCTCGGCACCTCGACAGTCCTTATCGGGTCGCTGCAGGTCATTCACAGGGCGGGCAAAGCACGAGATGATTTCGAGGGCGCTGAATCGCAAGTGAGCTTGACGGGTCCCTGCACATGAGGAAGGGTGCGATCGAGGGTGCCTGCATCGCCCTCTGCAGCTGCGGGCTCAAAATAGCTCTTTGTGGCCTCATCAACCCACGCTCTCTTTCGCCTTTGCCAATTTGGGCCGGGAACATGTGGGGATCCCTGACATGAACAGAGAAGCGCAACTGCAGCCAAGCAAGAAATGAGGCGACGCCATAGGCGCGGGGGGGGGGGGGGTCGGCCAAAAGGAGGCAATGGCCGTTTCTTCGAAGGTCATGCAAAAGCGGCGGGTGAAACCCATGCGCGCTCAACTCCGACGACCTGCGAATGAATTGTCGGGCACTAATGTTATGCCTTAGCTAGACACATCAAGAAAGAAACGATATGTCTCGTGCGAGTGAGGCAGATGGATTTCTGACGCGCATGGCTAAAATCGACCTCTTCCGGCTTGGCCCTTTGGAAGAGGAGCGGCTGTGGATTTCGGAAGCGAACGTTCGGGCGGTTTGAGTCTGCGATAGCCCGCGTTAGTCACACAAAGTGCGTGGTCGCCATCACCAGCTGGTCTTGATCCTCCACCATCGTTGTCACCCACACTCCTCGACACATCATCACAATGGACGCTCTTGTCTACCGAAAGTGAGCATCTGCTCTCGTTGCACCCTGACCATGGCTCACTGCCGCCAGCAAGGCTACAGCAAAGCTGCCTAGCGTCTGTTTGCACGAGACTGACCCCGACTTGCGTACTGCTTTTCGCCCCTACAGGAACACTGTGCCCGAGCGCCAGCGCGCCCTCCAGGCCGACCCTCGCCCCGTCTTCCAGCGCCTGCCCCGCTCCAGGCTCTACATGGGTCTCTTCATGACCCTCTTCGGCGTCGGCATGTACGGCACCACCGTCGGCTTCTACAACATGGCTGTCGTACGTATCCCGCAACCACCTCCGCATCGCATCGGCCTTCTCGGCAGCGCGGACGCCTGACCGTAACGATATGTCTACAGATGCTGACCCTTTGCCTTCTCTCGAACCCACTCAACCATCTTGCATCGTGTGGCGATCCTTTCCTACAGGGCAAGAAGAGGAAGTAAATCTTCAGCATGGCGCACTTTTACAAGCGCGGCTGCTAGAAGACATGCACTGAAAGCGCACACAAGCTTCGCTCAATGTGGATTGTCTCTCGTTCCTCGCATCCATGTGAGAATACCAATCGCTTCTACATCTTACCAGTGTATGCTCGCGGAGGATTTTGGACAACAGGCAGCGTATTGCATTCCGCCAGCACCGGGGCTCCTACGATCATACAGCGGCAAGGCTTGCTGGTGGAAAGGCGTCTAGTCGTCTTGCACCATGTCGAGCTCGTCGTTCTCGATCAAGTCGTGCAGGAACGCGCTGAAGGCATACAGGGGGAAGCCGACCACGTTGTTGTAGTCGCCTTCGATGCACCTCACCAGCAGCGAGCCGCGGCCCTGTGCACCCCAGCAAAAGGTGGCGGAAAGCATGTCGTGTCAGTCATCTTGCCCGCGAGCCGCTCGCGGGGGTTGGTGAGGATCGAGGGCTTACCTGAATGGCGAAGCCGCCTGCACGGTCGATGCCCTCATTTGAGTCGACGTACGCCTTGAGCAGGTAGTATGGGTTATCCGCAAATCGCACTACTGTGCGCTCGCACAACGACCTACAGGAGAAAAAACGCAACAGTTGAATGCGTCAGTCAAAGGTCGGCGGTGATGCCAGAGTGAGTTGGAGGAAACGTACCTCATCTGGAAGCCGGGTGCTTCGATTACGGGCCAGATCACTGTAACGCCAGTGACCACTTCGCACTGTGCTCCGCAGAAATCGAGGGTCGACCAAGGCGAGCGTTGTTGAGTTGGTGTGAGCAATCAGGGTCACAATTTGGGAACGACAAGAGAAGCTGTCAAACGCACCTTGTTGCCGTTGAGGTCGGCAAGCATGCGCAGGTTGTCCTGCGCGTCCGCAGGCTTCTCCATGATCACCTCATCCTTGACCACCACCGTGTCTGCCGAAATCACAAAGTCTGGTGGGTCCTCGGGGTTCTCTTCCTACAACGTCGAAAGCTCGAGATGTTAGTAGAGTCTGTCGCGTGATCCTTGGCCGGCCGATTCACAGGCGGTACTTACAACTAGACGTTTGTACACTTCGAGAGCCTGTGAAACGAACAATTGAAGAACAGATCGTCGATGTCAGTGTGGGACCGAACGCTGCGGTACCGTTGACCGTGGACTGACCTTCTTGGATCCTGTCTGGACGGGGTACTCGTAAACGGCGTCTCCGGTGAACTCCGACTTTGGCAGGTCTTCTTCGAATGTGCTCGGCACAATCTCTGGCTCCAAGCCCTTCGATCAAGGGAAGTAAGACAGACGACAGTGAGTGCTCGGGCTTTCGCTGATGCCTGGATGAGGAGGGTTGGACGTACGACTGAAGCGAGGATCTGCTTGCGGCGCGGGCTGGAGCTGGCGAGCACGACGCGCTTGCCAGCAAGCACGTTGAAGAGCGGCGTGTTGAGCGCAAAGGGCGTCACTGGATCCGGTCGGGTCGTCATCGTAGCTGTGGTGGTCGGTGCGATACCAAGCTTGTCCTGCACAGAAGAAGCAGAAGTGTGCATTTCGAGCACGGCCTGCATGGAAGACTCGGCATCCAAAAAGCGCTTCGGAGTGGAGGCTCGCCACTTTTCGATATGCTCTCAACTTTAACACGCATCGATTCTCGCGATAGTGCATCTACGCTCACACCATCAGCTCGGTGGAAGTTCTTCAACAAAGGCCTAATGAGCAGCAATAGCATTGACTGAGATATTGGGGATACGCCATGTCGATTTGGGGAAGAAGCTCAACGGCAGATCACAGCCGTGCTTTCGATGGTGTCGCGGAAGAAAGTCCCAGGGCCTCATCCACCAGCTGCTCGGGCACCGTGTAAAAGACAGATTCTCATCAGCGCCTCGTCCTCGAGGTTTAAGAGATCACTGCATACTCACCTTCTTGGCTTCGAGCGCAGCACCCCAGGATGCTTGATATCCTGCACCGCCGTACCTGCCGATGCAAGAGAATCAAGATACGTTAGTTCAGCCCGAGTTCAGACCACCGTAATCGCAGACTTCCTGTGCTTACCCGTAGTTGAAGATGACCTTGGCACCATCGACATCCTTCTGCGCCTTCTCGAGACGCACACCTCCACGTCTTGCTGGCCTGAGTCCGACATTCACGCCGAGCACCTCGATGTCTTCGACCCTGGGCTCGATTAGCGCGTTGCGTTTGCGGGGGTCCACGAGCTGTGGCATGATCTTGAGGCATCTCTCTAGGATGGTTTTCGTTGTCTCTGCCCGCGGAGTGGGGTCCCACTCATCGACAATGCGCGTGCCGCCGCAGACGACTGTACCGTCACCGCGCGGGATGACGTACACCTCGCGCCCGCCCTGCGGTCTCACCACCGAGACGCCTGGCAGCTCGTGGCATAGATTCTGCCACCGATTGCCCTCGTCAACCGAGAGCCAGGGAGCGTTGACAACGACGACTTGACCACGCTGTGGGTGTACAGCAAGATCTTCGATGCCAACGATGCTGCGTGCTCCGAGACCAGGACTGACAACGAGCGCGTCGACTGGAGGTACGGACGTCCAAGTGCTCGTGTCACGGCAGACAGCACGCGACCCGGTGGAGGAGGCCGCGATACGGACGGCGTGCTGCAGTGAGTTGGCTTTGGAGACAACGACACGACCTCCGAGCTGCAGGAAGCGCTCGAGAAGCCAGTCGAGATATACGGGCACGTTGATGTCGATGGTTGAAAATGTGCAGCCCCAGCCGAACCTCGGGGCCAGACTTGCTGGAGGAAGCTCCTTGAACTGCAAGGAGAGCGGATTGTCAGCCCTTTCCTTATGGATGGCCTCCATAGCCATTTCGAAATGATGGGAACTCACATCAGGATACCAGTCAAGTACGCCCTGATACGGCGGTCTCGTAGACTGCGACGGGTCGCGCCTCTCAAAGAGCTCCGTCTGATGCACCCAGACGAGCGGCTCACGTCCTTGAATCGCACTTGCTGGGCTCGACGCAGCGGGCTTAGTGATTGGCAAGAGCGGCTCACCGAAGGCACTGCTGCTATCGACCTTTTGCGTGCGCCACGGCTTGTCCTGGGCGAGCATGCTCATTCTGTCGAACGTGACCTTGTCATGCCTGAGTTCGCGTTCCGTCTTGGCGTCGCTCACGTGGTGTCCTCCCTGTAAACGACGTCCATGTCAGCTCATCTCCTGTCTGGAAGCTTACAGAAGCAGCCGTACTCACCGCCCACACACTAGCGTATTCCGCCGAGTGTTTCTGATCTGCCGGTGTGGCGCTACCGGGCAATTCCTTCGCCACGATTGTCACGCGAGTCTTGGATCGGTTCGGTCCATCAGGCTGCGCCTCGAGAATGGCAAGCCCTGTAGAGAGACCAATGACGCCGCATCCTAAGATGGCTACGTGGTGCGATCTTGCCGTCATAGTGTGCTGAAAGCCGCGTCTGGAAAGAATGATGGTAGCAAGAACGAGCAGCTTGACCTTCTTTCGGCGTCTTACAAACCCGCACAAACGCAATCGCCCGCATCCCCGGCATTTCACCGCAAATTCTCCCGCGTATTTCGCCGACACCTTCACACCCGGCCTCGAGCCTATCAACACACGGCACTCACACTCTCACCAATCAATGTCGAATCTGAAAAGTCAGCTGTGTTCTACAATGGGGAGTACATGTTACAACAATCGACGCCGACGTCGGTCGCTCGGCTCGCCCAGCCACGCCCATGGCCTGGGGACGACAAGATCGATTGTAAATAAGAGATGCGGCGCGCCCGGAAGTGTTGGCGCCCGTTCACGATTCCTGCTCATCCGGCTTGTCGGTCGAACGCACGTTGGACTGGGCGGCCATCTTCTTGGCAGAGCCAGTGAGCCCTAACGATATGCGCTTGATACCGAGTCCGCCGCTGATGCCGCCGTTCTTGAGACTGCTCGCAGTGCTGCCCTTGCCGCCCGCGGCGCCGGATTTCTCGGCATCTCTGTGCGGAGACGAGCTGGCATCCTCCGAGCGGGCACTTTTCGATCCTTTCGGAGAGGGCGAGTGAGAGCCCTCGCGCTTGTTGTTTGCGCTGCTGGAGCCGGCACTGTTACCGCCACCGAAAGTGTTGCTGATCGTATTGGCCATGCTGCGGATGAATCCGCCGGGCTGCTGGGTCACCTCGGCTCCAGCTTCCGCCTCATCACCGCCGCTTGAGGACTCGGCTTTGGTCTTGTTCTTCGACATGCGCCCTGACTTGCGCTTGGACAGCCGAGACAATTGATCGTCTGCGTCATCGTCGTCGTCGTCCTCGCTTCTGCGGCGCTTTTCCGGGATCCTGCTGAGCGATGTTGGCGATAGCGCTGCCTCCGCCGACGCATCGGTCGCCTTCCTGCCGTCCGCTGTGCCGTCTTCGGATTTTGCCAATTCGTCCTCGTCATCGTCATCGTAAGGAACAAGTGAGCCAGACGCACTGCTCGATGTGCGCGGAGGAATGTCCTTGGGATCCTCGTCGCTTTGAAAGTAGGCGTCCTCATCCGGATCCGCAGCCGTTGCAGCAACGGCGTCGCGTGCAGCATCGCTCGGCTGCCGCGACTTGTCGTCAGCGGCGCCTGGTCTTTGAGCTGCATGACCGCTCTCCTGCGGTACCAGAGGCTCCTGATTCCTCTCCCACTCGTCGACCAGCGAGGAGAAGCAAGGGGCGGTGTAAGGCAGCTCGGCCAGCTGACGCATGCGGGCGCCGTGTCGTTCCATGCAGTGGCTGATCAGAGTCTTCATGTTCTGACTCTTCATGTGCTCGAAAAAGTCGAGGCAGGCGGAGGCGACGAGGTTGTTGCGATCCGCCTCGGCCTCGATCAAGCCGAGGATGGTGGAGAGGAGCTCGATCTTGATGAAGTGACGGTTGGTGAACTGGTTGTTGCTCGCCAGGCAGTACTTGAAGAAGCGCAACGCCGAGAGCCGGAGGAACTTGTCGCGCGAGTGGAGCAGCGAGCCGACCTTTTTGGAGATCTCGGAGGTGAGCACAAAGTACTGGCTTCGGAATGAATGATGGGCGATCATGTGGCAGAGCAAGTCGCACAGGTGAGCATACAGGCCGGAGCGATTGCGCGGCTGAGCGGGCAGCCTTTCGCCCTTGGACAGCATGCGGAAGTCCGGAAGCGAATTGAAGGGCGAGCAGAGGCGTGCGATCTCGGCTTCGTAGATCCATGTCAAGAAGCGATCCGGATCGGCTTTGGACTTGTTGATGCCCTGAACGGTGACGCTGGGTGCCTGGCTGGCCATAGGACCTCCGTCGGATCCCACGTCGAAGATGATGCGCATCGCCTCGGCAATCTGCGTCTTGAGTCCTGGATCCTGCTCGTTGTGGAGCAGGTCGATCATCATGCTGACCAAGGGCCTTGAGTTCTGCTCAACCTGTGACACGACGTGGGCGCGTACGCTGTTGGCGTCGTACTCGATGATTGTCATGAGGATTTCGGCGGCGGCGTTGCGGGCGGTCTGGCCAAGTTGCTCGAGGGCGAACTGGAGGACGTTGAGGAGACCCCAGTCGGTCATGGTTCGATAGAGCGAGATGCGGGCGGGAAGTTGGATGTGCTTGCCCATGGCGCAGAGCTGCTGCAAGAAGAGGACGCCCTCGGAGCGACGCTCTAGCGGCTCTTCCGGATTTGTGAGCACGCGGAAGAGCTCGCTGAGGAAGAGCTCGTTCTGGCAGCAGTAGTTGACAATGTCGTTTTGGTGGAAGAAGATGAAGGAGGTGAGGATGGAGACGGTGGGGTCGTCGACGACGCGAGCGAGGATGACGTCGCGAAGATACTGGAGGCGATAGGTCTGATGAATCTTGGCGACGATCATGGGATCGCCGATGTCGACGACCTGCTTGAAGCGGGCGCGGTGGGTGAGGTGGTCGCGGTAGTTGGCCTTGAGACGCGGGAACTCGGGATCGTACTCGAGCATGCCGACGACGCCGAGGAAGACATCGTCCTGGAGGATGTACTCGAAGAGGAAGCTGTCGTTGAGGAGGAGGATGGTCTGCATGATGGTGCAGAGCATGTGGAGAGCGGGGAGGGCCTCGAGCTCCTCGACGGAATGGAAGAAGGGGACGAGTTTTCGGATGTAGTGTGCCTCCATGAGCCAAGTGGTGAGCTTTTCGCGCATCATGGGCCCGCGTACGGTGGTGTCCTTGATCATCGAATCGATCTTTTCGAGGTTGGCGAGGCTAGGATCCGGCAGGCCTCTGTAGTCGCCCATGATGTTGAGAAGCGGCTCGAGGCCTGAGCCGGAGGCCGACATGCCGAGGACGGCCGTTGGCGACTGCGGGTTGGGCGTGGTGGGCGGCGAGTCTGTGAGAGCCTCTTCGGTGAGACCCATAAAGTGCTTCTGAACCTCGGTGAGGAACTCCCAGACCTCGTTGCAGCCCTCTGCCTCTTGGAAACTGAGTGCCATATCGACGCCTGTGGGCTCGGTCCAAACGACAAGGGTGTCCTGCTGGCGCTGGTAGACCTCCTCCTTGACCACCTTGCTGGCGAGGAGGATGTCTTCGGACTCTAGGTTTTCGCTGACGACGACGACGAATTGGCAGGGCTGAGGCTGCAGGGCCTGCGGCTTGGGTTGTGCGTCGTCGCCGGAGGCATTGGGAAGCACGACGTCATTTTCTTCGACTTCGGCGTCGGGAGGCACATCGATTCCCTCGAGGAACTGGCACTTTTCCTCCCTGCGAGCTACGAGGAGCGCCTCGTCGACGGTTTCGTCGTAGACACCAGCACAGTAGCCGGTGCCTCTGTCGAACCAGACTTCGCCTTTGAGTTCGTAGACTTTGACACGACGCGCGGAGCCACACTGGTGGTAGTTGCCGCGCGAGACGGTAGAGGTGAGAGTGAGAGCCTCGTTGGAGGATGCGGAGAGATCGCCGGATGCATCTTCCTCGAGCGGGATGGCATTGCTGTTGAGCATGGACGGAAGAGGAGCGGTAGCAGCCGCACGATACTCGTCCATGCCTTGCTCTGGGTCCATGTCGGCATCTTGAACCTGAACGTGGACATCCGAATCTACTGCAGGTGGAATGGCAGCCGCCGCCGAGTCTGCACCAGGGATGGGCGCCGGTTCGAGAGTGAGTACCTCATCCGGGATGTCGGGAAGATCGGTTGTGGCAAAAACATGTTGAGACGGCTCGTTGATGGCGGATGCAGTTGTAGCGTCGGTGGAAAGGGGAAGGAGGGGCAGGGCGGTGGGCTCGAGGGTTACGCCGATGGAAGGAGGCGCGCTCTCGGAGGGAGGCTGAGTCGCATCGGCCGTATCGGCAGCAGCATGCTGTGGTTGGGTGATTTCGTTGGTGGTCTCGGGCAGGGGGATCGGAAGGCCCGGAGTAGGCGGGTCGATGCCGTTTTCGACAGCCATAGCATGCCCTTTGCCGAACAAGCGGTAGATCAGAGCGGAGAATTGGAGTGAAGCATGCGAGGAACGAGCGAAACGAGTGGGTGGCGAGAACGCGGGGGCCAATCCAGCTACGCAGTCATGAGCTCTGCTCTGAGAGGCAGTTGGGTGATGTCGAGGCCGAGGATGCGGATCCGATGACTCTGCAATGTCGTGAGGCGGTGCGGATGCGCGCGATGTACGCGGTGTAGCCGCGGTGGACGCGGAACGAAGAGGCGTGCGACGTGTTGGCGGCTGAGTTGAGGAGGCTCGAGAGCTGTGATGTGTGGATGCACCAGTGCGGGTATCGGGCGACGATGGCCAGGATCCGGATGAGAGCCGATGTCGGGCGCGCAAACGGGGATGAGATGGATGTGATGCGATACGAACCGACGTGATGGATGCGATGCGATGGGACTCGGAAATGGACCCTGGAAACGGGCGACGGAAGCGGTCGCTCTGTCTGACGCGCTTTTCCGCCGCCACTCTCACACTCGCAGAGTGCTGCAGTGCGCCTCTCCGCGTCCCGCTGCCCGTGATGTGATTTTTAGGCTTTTCGAGTACAGTCACGGCGCGCTCGATTTCCACAAAAAGCGTGCCGCCGCTGCTGTGGCCGCCCCCACAGCCACTCCTGCTGGCGTGCTGCCGAGCCGGCCCAGCCGTGCCGCTCGTTCGAGACTCTTACCGGGCGCCAAACTGCCAAAATTGATGGCGTCACCAAATTGCCACACTCTTCCAGCTGGGCCTATGAGACGCTCTCAACACGCCCGCGTCGTGTGAGTCCGTCAAGGCACCATTCGCAACATCGGTCCTGTCCTCCTTCACCATATTAGACTCAGGTGCTCATCTCCAGGTACTAGGCGGACCTATTGTGGACACTGAAAGTGCGCGGCTGTATATGCACTGGCTTGTATTTATCACCCGAGGCATGATAAAGCGCGCTTGTTCGCTGCGACACTGCAACGATGCGATCCACAGCCAGAAAGAGACAGAGAGGTACAGATATGATGGCATCGTCGAGCGAGTGGAGGTGGATTGCCAAAATCTCGGAGCCGAAAGTTGCGACCCTGACCTTTTTTTTTTCTTCTCGCCTGTTTGTTCCAAAATTTTGGGAAGTTCCTGCCACAGGAAAGCCTGCAGCACACTGGAACTTGCTCCTCGCCTTCTCGACCTCTCTAGCACCCATCATCTTGGACCACGCAGATCTCAGCTGTGCTTTGATCCTTCTTGCACCTTGTCTCGGCTGGGCCATACACAGACAACATGGTGCGCTCCTACCTTCGCCACGAGCCCACCTCGGCCTTCGGCCTGGTCTGTTCGGCATCGTCCAACTCGATCCTCGACCCAGACACAAAGACGGCTTTCGTCCCTGCTCTCGAGGACGTGCTCGTCTGGGACGTGCGTAGAGGTACGCTCCTCGCCACTTGGCACGAGACCGGACACCGCTCCAAAGTCACCGCCCTCGCCAGGTCGCCCACCGACCCAGACACCTTCGCCGTCGGCTACGAGGACGGCAGCATTCGACTGTGGTCCGCAGAGACCAATTCCACATCGGTCACTTTCAACGGCCACAAGAAAGCCGTCATTGCTCTCACCTTTGATCCACAAGGCTTGAGGGTCGCCAGCGCCAGTCTTGACACCGACATCATCCTGTGGGATCTGGTCGCGGAGACCGGTCTCTTCCGTTTGCGCGGTCACCGCGACGCTGTCACTGCCATCGCCTTTGTCCAGACACCCAGCCGTATCCAAGATCGAGACGGCGCATCGTCCTCGGCCGCAGTCCACACCCAGCCCGACGCCGCAGGCTACCTGCTCAGCACATCCAAGGACGGCCTGCTCAAGCTCTGGGACCTCTCGCTCCAGCACTGCATCGAGACGGTCGTTCACGGCTCGGGCGAGATCTGGAGTCTGGGTGTCTCGCAGGACGTTCCACTTGCCATGCAGGCAAGCAAAGGAGCCGGCGCAGAGGATGACGACGCCGCCGACACCGACGGCGCTGCCGACGGAAGCGCTCTCGTTCTCACGGGAAGTTCCGACGGCGACATGCGCGTCTGGGAGATCTCGGCACAGGCTCTCTCGCGCGGCCTTCAGGCTGCCGATGCTGCTGACCCCTCAGCTGCCGCATCTACCGCAAAGTTCCTCGTCCCGCGTGGATCGATTCCACTCTCGGGCAAGCATCGCGTCACCCAGATCGAATTCTGCGGTGTTCCGCGTCGCCACAACGGCACCGCGAGTGCCGCTTCCACGCAAGGGCAGGGTTACATCGCCGTCTCCAGCACCGACAAGGCGGTGCAGGTGTTCCGACTGCGCTCGACACAGGAGATGACCAAGAAGATGGAGCGAAGGCGCAAGCGAAACAAGGAGAAGGCCGACAAGAAGCGCGCAAAGGAAGGCGCCAATGCGGCGGCGACCGATGCTTCCCTTGAGGCAGGCTCCGATCAGGTCACCTGGGCCGATCGCATCGAGGCCTACACCAATGTTCGACCCGCTGCGGGCAAGCTGCGCAGCTTCTCCCTCGTCACTCCGTCCTCCAACAAGTTTGCGCTCAGTCTGCTGTGTGCCCTTTCGTCCAACGCGCTCGAGATCTACAGCGTCCCGTCGCCGCCTCGCTCCAAGGCCGAGAAGGCCAACCCGATCGAGGCTGTGCTCGCAAGTGCACTCGAGGCGCCGGGCCACCGATCCGACATCCGTGCAGTCGCGCTGTCTTCCGACGACAATCTTCTGGCGTCTGCTTGTGGCGCAGGCCAACTCAAGATCTGGAATGTCAAGACGGGCCGATGCGTCCGCACGCTTCCGTGTGGCTATGCGCTCTCCGTTGCCTGGCTGCCGGGAGACCAGCACGTGCTGGTGGGATGCAAGGACGGCACGCTGCGCAGCTTCGACGTGCGTGCCGGCATCGCCGTCGAGACGCTCGATGCGCATCAGGGTCCACTGTGGAGCGTAGCCATCCAGCCCGATGGCCTCGGCTGCGTCTCGGCCAGCGCCGACAAGGAAGTCAAGTTTTGGGAGTTCGAGATGCAGGTCCCCGAGGCAGATGGCGACTCGGACGATTCCGACGACGCCGCTCCAGCCAATGGCCAGAACGGCGCAGCGAAGCCACAGTCACCACCGCAGCTGGCGCTGGTGCACGTGCGCACGCTCAAGATGACCGACGACGTGCTGTGTGCACGCTTCTCGCCCAACGGCAAGCTGCTCGCGCTCTCGCTGCTCGACAACACCGTCAAGGTCTTTTTCGCCGACTCGCTCAAGTTCTTCCTCTCGCTCTATGGTCACAAATTGCCCGTGCTCGCGCTCGACATTTCGGCGGACAGCAAGCTGTGCGTCACCGTGTCGGCCGACAAGAACGTCAAGATCTGGGGCCTCGACTTTGGCGACTGCCACAAGTCGATCTTTGCGCACAACGAGAGCATCATGGGCGTCGCATTCGAGCGCGGCCAGCAAGGCGGCGGTCTCATGGGTGGACGCCAGGGCGACTCGCACCACTTTTGGACCGTGGGCAAGGATGGGCTGTTGAAGCACTGGGACGGCGATCGCTTCCAGATGATCCAGCAGCTCGAGGGCCACCACGGCGAGATCTGGGCCGTGGCGCCCGGCCACAGCGGCAAGGTGGTGGTGACCGCAGGAGCGGATCGATCGATCAGGACATGGGAGAAGACCGACGAGCCGTTGTTCTTGGAGGAGGAACGCGAGCGAGAGATGGAGCGTGCCTTCGAGAGCGCTGGTCAGACTAGGCAGGATGACGAAAGAGCGATCGGATCGTTGGCAGACGGTGCGGACCCGGACGCGGAAGGTGCGGCAGGACCGGAAGCGACAGCAGTCTCCAAGAGCACCACCGAGACCATGATGGCGGGCGAGAGGTTGGTCGAAGCACTTGATGTTGCGGATGCAGACATCGCCGCGCGCACCGCCGCACGCGCTGCGGGCCAGGCCGAACCTGCGTTCCATGCGCTCATCATGGCCGAGTTCGAAACTCCCCGCGGTGGCCTGAATGTCGACCAGGACATTACTGCGCAAAAGTACGTTCTGCGCGTCGCGGAGAAGATTCTGCCCGCCCAGCTCGACGATGCGCTGCTGGTGCTGCCTTTTGACAAGGTGCTTTCGCTCATGCGCTTCCTGGACTACTGGGCACGCAAGAGCTGGAACATTCCGCTCGTCTCGCGCATCCTCTTCTTCCTCCTCAGGACGCACCACAACCAGATCGTCTCGAACCGCATCATGCGTCCCACGCTCATCGATCTCAAGGCGCATCTCTACGCCGCGCTCGAGCGCCAGAAGGAAACGATCGGATTCAACCTGGCCGCACTCAAGTTCATCAAGTCCCAACACACCGCCAACAAGACTGCCGAGATCTACGAGCGCGACGGCATCGACCTCGGCGACCACGCTGTCCAGGCCAAAATCAACGACAAGGCACCCAGGAAACGCAAGCTCCTCGTCGCTTGATCAGCTCTCATCTCCCTCAATGTACAACAGTGCAATTTTGATCCATGCATATGCCATCCAGCTCATCTACGAATGTCGATGCGAGTTGAGCAAAGTCGCTCGTGTTGAGACGGTGCAAGTCGCCAGATTAGCCAGTGGGCACAAACGCGAATGCGCTCAGACACTTCCATCATTCAAGTTTGTCGGCTGATTGTGTTGATTCGTCGCCCTAGCCACGTCTGCGTCTGCGTGAGCGGGGTATAGGCGAAGACAGCGGGCTGCTCTCGTTGGCGCGTGAAGGCTTGAGCTTCAAGTCGACGAAGGTGGATTCTTCCTTGACCTTGTTCGGTGTAGCAGGCAAGTAGACGCTGCTCTGCATGGCTCTCCTTTTGGACCCCGTCGGCGGAAGAACGCAACCGCTACGATCAAGGAAGGGGTCATTGCGTTCCCTTTTGACCGAGATTGATGTGTCAGCAGTCTCGGTCGACCCATACTGTGACGGTGGCGTTGAGACGTAGCCATGCGACCGCTCGCTTGACGTGCTGACGCTGGTCGATACGCTTGACGACGTCTCCGACGTTTTGCTGCCCGAGCCTGTTGGGCCGGATGCTGCGGCAAATGGGAGCGGCGGACTCGAACGCGGTGGAGGTGAGGATCGCGCGCCGTCCATGGACAGAAATCGGACTCTTGACGCTGGATGATAGATCTCGATCTCGGGCAGGCACGGCTCGTCGAGATCGGTATCATCCTCAAGGTCGAATGTAGCAGTGCCACTTGAACGTGCGATGCTGCGAGAAGGCGGCGGACGGATCTTGTACACCTTTTGGGCCCACCGACGTTGTGTTTCCAAAGCATCGTCGAGTTGCATTTCCCGATCGATGGATGCGAGCGATGAAGCGCCGATGCTTTCGACGCCTTCCTGCGCCGATATTCGGGGCAAAGCGACCTCGCAAGGCTGGTTGGGCAGCACAAGCGTCTCTTCGCCAGTGGTGGGCTTTGCTACAGCTCCAGACGATGAAGCTGCCGACGAGATGTAAGGTTGACCCGCGATGATGCCTTGTTTCAGCGCCGAGAGACTTGGTGGTTCTGAAAGCTCGACGACCGCTTGTGTGCAAGCGTGCGATCGAGCAAGGTTAGTATCGTCATAGCATGTGCCCTCGAAGATTGCTTGGTCGGCGGCCTGACGGGCAGCCGATACGTCGACGCTCCGCTGGAGCCGTCTGTGCAGGCTGAGCCAAGGCTCGCCTTTCTGATCAGGACCTGGCTGGATCATTGCTGGGTTCATGTATCGTTTCTTGAACTCGCGTGCGTGTTCACGGTTGATGGCTGGGCTCGAGACGTCGAGTTTGGGATTCATGCGATCGGAGACAGCGATCCTGACCCGGGAAGGGCCTGGCAGCGCATCGTACTCGCGCAGTTGGGCGAGGAGATGCGATGCATGCTTGCGATCCTTTTCGACGGGCTTGGGCTCCCACGTGGGTCGGAGCTGTGCGGCACGCACGTGAGCGGCATGATACTGAGCATGATGGCGCTCTAATGCAGTCCTCGTTGTGAGAAGCGTGGTGGCTGAGCAGTTCTGGACGAGGCAGGCATACTTGAGACCCATCTGATGGGTGAAGTGATCGTGTACGAGGTGAGCTGCGAGTTCCGAGGGTTCGTAGTGGCGGTTGAAGCAATGATCCCATCGGCAAGCCACTTTGCGGAAGAGCCCTTGGTTTGTAGTCGACGGAGCAGCCGGAGCGATGTGGTGGGTGAGAACATGCTTGGCAAGGAGGTCTGCCGTCATGAGCTTGCAGCGACAGAAGACATGACCCTTGCGATCGAGGAGGCCCTTTTTGTCGCGCAGGCGCCAGTTACAGGTGTAGGGGCCTTGGTTGGCGGGTGCGGCTCGTTTGGCTGAGAGGTCAGCGTCTTCGCCAAAGGGGTTGGAGAAGTCGATTGGATGGTAGCGAACACTGGAGCGACGTGCATTTTTGGTCCTTGCTCCAGAGGTGCTGCTACCGGCGGTGGCAGAGGCAGAAGACGAAGACAAACGCGGCGATGACGGCGGGACAGACGATAGTGATGATGAGGACGCTGCTGATGGGTGAAGATGGTGCTTTGTGGAGTCGCGCGACAAGGGGCGCGGGTGCTTAGATGGGAAAGATGCCTTTGCCAGCGACGAGTGCGAAGGAGACTTGCGCCGAGGTGAGGAACTCGCAGTATCCGGGACGCTGACGTCCTGGGAGGGGACCAAGACGACGAGTGCAGGCATCGGGGGCGGCGTTGGCGAGCGTCTGGGCCTCATGTTGGTGACGATGCGTTTCAGAGCATCTCGATGCACCAAGGACGACGAGTCAAAGTGCGTATCGAGAGGGCGGCGCTATCAGCGTGCGACGCTAGCTGTTGCCCGCTTGTACGTACGCCATCTTGGAGTGCGGTTCGTGAACGAGCGGTGTGGTGAGGTGGGTGCGCAACGGAGCAGGAAACGTGAGTGCGCAACAGAGTGTTGGTTGGAGAGCGCCCTGCGTCAGGCGCGTCGGGATACTCTCGTCTAGCAGCAGAAGGCGCGTCAGGCAAGCCAGTTGTCATTCAAGTCGTGTGGAGCCAGCAGGCGTGTGACTTCACAGATCAAAAGCTTCGGCATGAGCTGCGAACCCTACTTGCATGCGCGACTGTCCTGGCTTTGAGACTCAAACCGCGGCGAGCAGTGGCAAAAAAGAAAGGTCCAACTCGCATCAACCGCGTGCCTCGATGAAGCGAAGTGTGCCTTGCTGCGACCGCACGGACAAGCCGAAATTTCTTCTCGAGCAAGATGCCGAGACAGCCCGCCAAGCCGTGCATCTTTTGCGCGTGGAGCACTGCCTTGGCGACCCGAGCGAGTTGGCTGTTGACTAAGGCTCGCTGTTCCTCAAGGTGGCTTCTAGCTGCATGTATCGGAACGTCTTCTTCTTTCCTGTCCATCACTCCTCCTCGTCTATCCGTCGGTTCATCGGGATCAAGCCGGCGTCCTTCTACCATAGTCCCACGACCTCGCCGGCAGTACACCTAGCCGGCACGTCGCGGCAGTTGCGATTCGCCCCAGCCAGTCCATTCCACTCCAACGCCCACTTCATCCTCCTCTTGCTGCACGCGTGGCGCTCCCCGATCCTCTCGGCTTGGCGCATCTAGCCGCCTGACAGCTCGCGAGATTCTTCTCAATTAGACGGCATCCGGTCTCGGGCACACGCGGTCCCCACCGTCGTCACTCCACCAAAATGGCGTCCGGTTTCCTTGACGCGCTCTTCCGTCGCCCACAGAGGCTCGTCGTGCTGGTCGCGCTCTTCCTCTTGGTCCTCTCCTTCTCCACCTACCTCTCCTTCTCCGCCAACGGCGTCCAGAATGTCCGAGATCGCTGGAACTCGCTTCCCGCCTTCTCCAGTCCATGGCCAAACGCCGCCCAGAACGGTGGCGCGTCCTACCCACCTCCCAAGTCCGTCGCAGACATGTACACGCACAACCCCGGCACTCCCTCCTCCATCGACGAGCTCTCCAAATGGGCACAGGTCGGCGACGACGGCAACCTCTACCCGCCCACCTTTGTGCCCCAGATGGCCAACCAGGCGCCCCGAGCAAAGGCCGGCTTCATCGTCCTCGTCCGAAACTCGGAACTCGAGGGCATGCGCGCCTCCATGCGCGACGTAGAGGAGAAGTTCAACCGCAAGTACGGCTACCCTTGGATCTTCCTCAACAACGAACCCTTCACCGAAGAGTTCAAGCGCGGCGTCCGACAGATGACCCGCAGCGAATGTCGCTTCGGTCTCATCCCCAAGGAGCACTGGGGCTACCCCGACTTCATCAGCCAAGAGAAGGCCGCAGAGACGCGCGTCAAGATGAAAGACATCATCTACGGCTCCTCCGAGAGCTACCGTCACATGTGCCGATACCAGTCCGGCTTCTTCTTCCGCCACGAGCTCACCCTCGACCTCGACTACTACTGGCGCGTAGAACCCGGCATCAAGCTCTACTGCGATCTCGACTACGACCCGTTCGTCTTCATGCAGATGAACAACAAGACCTACGGATTCACCATGGCCCTCTACGAGTATTTCGCCACCGTCCCCACCCTCTGGGACACCACAAAACAGTTCATCGCCGCACACCCAGAATACCTCGCCAAGGACCACGGCCTTCACTTCCTCACCGACGAACCGCAACGTCTGCTCGAACCTGGCTGGAATCTTTGCCATTTCTGGAGTAACTTTGAGATCGGTGATCTACGCTGGTGGCGGTCAAAACCGTACATGGACTACTTCGAATGGCTCGACAAGGCTGGTGGATTCTTCTACGAGCGATGGGGCGACGCTCCCGTGCACTCAATCGCCGTTGCCATCATGCTGGATCGAAGCCGTTTGCATCACTTCGACGACATCGGCTATTTCCACAACCCGTGGAACCACTGTCCCGCTAATCGCAAGAAGTACCACGATTCGGGTCGATGCAACTGCGACCCCAAGCAGTCGTTCGATCGCGAAGGATATTCTTGCCTGCCTAAGTGGTGGCGAGGCGCCGTCGAGGGAGAGCCCAAGTAGCGTTCCAAGACCTCCTTGCGTCGACAGATCAGGCCGTCCCTGGTCCATCCCCGTCTGCATATGTCCTCTGCGTTTGGCAAACCTACCTCGGATGGCAATCGACAGCTTGTGCTCAACCAAGCGTGAACCTCAACTGGTTATGAAGCAGGACCGTGAATGCCGTCGGACCTTCGTTGGCCTCCGAGACCTGCCGACCGTCGTGCGCTTCGTCGCGGACTGAGTTGCGGATTTGATCGCGGCTTCGTTGAGCGGTCGGTTGGAGGTTTTGTTGAGCGTTTACTTGCGGATCTCGTCGGCTGCGCGGCCGATTTCCTTGAGGGCCTCAGTGAGTCTCTTGTTGAGGGTGCTGATTTCTTTGAAGGTCTCGTTGAGGGCTTCGTTGTGTTTGAGGGCCTCGTCGAGTTTCTTGTTGAGCTTTCCGGATTCGTTCAGAACTTCGGCGAGGGAGTCTTGGATCTTGAGGGCTTCGTCGAAGGCTTCGTTGCGGGCTTTCTTGCAAGCTTCGTTGAGGATTTTGTCGTAGGCTTCGTCGCGAGTCTTGTTGAGGCTGTTGTTGCGAGCCTCCTCGCGAGCTTCATTGAGGCCTTCGTCGCGGGCCCCGGGGAGCTTGGAAAGCGCCTTTCGCTCCGCCGCGAGGAATTCGGCGCTTTCCTCGTCGATGTCGGGGTAGTCCTCCAAGTCGGCAAGGATTTCGCCCGTCATCTGAAGCACCCAGCGGTGGCTGCAGCGGATCCCGTCTGCAGTGCATGGTGCACACTTCTCACCATGACTATTGGCAGGCGGAGGAACACACGGCACGCCCTTCGCGAGACAAGCTTTGCAGGCCACCTTCGGCCAGTTGCGGCGCTTGAGAACGTCCCGCAGCTTGATTTTCTTAGGATGCGGGAAGCGCCTTCCCTGTCCTCTAGATCCCGACGAGCGCTTGCGCTTGCCCTCCCTGCGCATCAATTTGCCCTTGCGCTTCTTGGAACGCGACTTACCGGACATTGTGGGGTAGTCCTCAGCCGAGGTCGACGAGATTTCGGCCTCTTCCTCGCTCAGCGCAAAACTCGAGGTCGACGAGCTTTCGGTCTCTTCCTCGCTCAGCACAATAACCGAGGTCGATGAGCCTTCGTCCTCTTCCTCGCTCGACTCATAAAACTGTTGCAGGTGCATCAGTGCAGCAGCGCTTGAGGGAATTTGATCGTAAGGGGCTGGCGAGTTGTCGAAAGCAGCCGGGGCCGATGAGCTTTCGGCCTTTGCACTTGAGGGAATTTGCTCGTAAGGGGCTGGCGATTTGTCGAAAGCAGCCGGGGCCGACGAGCTTTCGGCCTCTTGCTCGTTGACTGCTTCGCCGTCCTGCCTCGCTTCAGCGTCTGAGGGAACCTGATGAGAAGGAACCTGACCAGATAGAATCTGACCAATACGGGCCGGTAAACTGCTGAGAGACCTGTTCCTCCTCGCTCTCGCAGCTTTCTTCCACCTTCGAGCATCGTGACTGACAGCCGCGTGGGGCGGCATGGCTCCGCTGACCGAGATGAGGGCCAACTAGTGAGTATCGTGTCAGGAAGGCTGTTGCAGCGGAAGGAGCAACGCTGTGGCGGCTAATGATCAGCTTTAGAAATCAGACGACACGAAGCGATGCGAGTTGACAGCGACTTACCTAGACTCTTTGGGATAAGAAGAAAATTAGCGTCCTTACAATCCTTAGGGAAAAGTAGTTTGGGCGAGGTTGGTGGTGGTGATAGGAAGACGTTGGAGGGACAAGTGTTCGGGTATATATCCACGGCAGCGATTGGGACCGGACTGCTCAGTCGCACACCTGCTCATCGCGGAACGCAACTTCCGCACTCCAAGATCGCTTCCGCACTCTCTAGGACACAGCTCCCGCACTCTCAGCGGGAGTTCAGGAATCCCGCACCTCACGCCATTCTCTCACGGAAAGACTCAAGTGGTGCCACATTCACATACGAAGATTAAGCAGCTGGTGATTCCAAGTGGTCTCGACTAGGGCTCAACAATGTCTCGCACGGGCGAATCAGCTAGCGTCGTTCTCGGATTGGAACAAATGGTGTCCGCTCGGTGGCACCGCTTGTGAGCGGTTCTCGTGACTTAGCTGGGACTCAGCGTGGGCTTCGATCACAAGCTGATCAAACCGTCCTCACGCGGAATTGGCAAAATAGACGAGGTCTCCGTCCACCTTCGGAAGCTCTCGTTTAGCCTCTCAGCTTTCTGGGTTTCATCCCCGAGATAGTTGTCGCAGCACATTCGCATCGACTTTCATTCACAGTCAAAGACACTGCTCGTGCCCAGGCACTTGGCTTCCCCTCTTGTACCAGCGCCGCCGCTTTGCGGAACACAACTTCCGCACGCTCAGCAGGACAAGCTCGTACTCTTGTCGGACTCGCTTTGCACGTTCCACAGTCACGCATCCAAACTTGGCATTTAGTGACTATAGGCACAGCTCGACTAGTCCTGGACAATGTGACGGTAGAAAGCACGAACGACGCCAGGATGGCTTCTGACGAGTCCCCTCCAGTTGATCCAGCCAAACGGCTCGTCGGCCCGTGCGAAGAGGTCTCCCTTCGGAACATCGCTGACAATTTCGCCGTCGTTTCGTTTCGACTGTGCAGCCTTCCAGGCGCTAACGAGCTCCGGGCTGAAGCGATCCGACTCTAGCGCTTCCAAGTAGACATTGAGAGCAGGCGAGCTGAAGAATGCGACGGAATAGCGGTCTTTGGAGCCGGCGGGGTTCGAGACGACGCGGTGCGTTGCAGCTTGCACGATACTGTTGGTCAGGAACTCGACCTGCTGACCAAAGTTGACGATGATCGAGCCCTCGACGTGAGGTACGGAGAGCCAGGATCCGTCAAAGTCCTGCGCTTCCAATCCGCCAACTTCGGCAGAAGGGGCCAGGATGGTGAGCCAGCCGCTGTCCTTGTGTGCTCCTACGCCTTGCGTGCTAGCTGGATCGGAACGCTCGATGCCATCCACCGTGTCGCCCGTGGGGTATCGGATCGTCTTCATGCGAGCATACGGCAATGCACCCAACTTGCCCAACTCCGCATCCACCGCCTCTTTCCCCACATTCCCTGTAAGGAACTGTGCCAGCTCGCCTTCCGCGACTCCCAGCGCCAACTCGATCGCCCTCGTGAGCTGGTTGGACACTTCGTTGGCTGTCTCGAACCAGTCCAGCACGATCCTCCTGTGGTCTCTGCATACCTCGTCTGGGACAAACTGATTCGGGCCGTACAAGTTCAAGAACGGCCACTTTTCCACCAACGCCGCGTCCTGAATCGGCTGCACCTCGGGCGCATAATCTACTTGGTCGCGAAGATCCTGCTTGGCCTGTGTGCGTTCGTCGCCGAACTTGCAGTATCCGCGAAAGTGTCGACTGTTGTCCATATCGATCTTCATGCGCTCCTCAACCGGTAGCGCGAAGAAGCGCTCAACCAGATCAAACATCTCGGCGCGCTTGACGTCCAGCGGCGTGCCGTGGAGGTAGAAGAAGCCGATTCCGACCATCGCGGTGCGGAGGGCGGAGACAAATTGCTGCGAGGAGGCACTTGTAGGATCGGAGGGGTTCCAAAGGCGGTAGTCGAGGTGGTAGTCCGAGAAGGATGACAGCGACTGCTGCTCGTCGCTCGCGGTGGTCTGGGCTGTGCTTTTGGAAGCATGGGATGCCTCGGGTTGAGCGGGCACAGCAACGGGAGCCATGGTGGTCGGAATTCGAGCGCGAAAAGACAGCGTTGATGCGCAATTATAGCTGGTGTAGTTGGTCTGGTATATTCTGGGCGAAGCGGCCTTGATGTCTTGCAGGAAGCGATGATGGAGGTGAGAAGGAGTCACTAGGCTAGCACAGCGAAACCCCGCCCCCCGGTGCGGCCTTAAGCCTCCACCCGAAGGTGTGCAGGGGACGTGCGCGCCTCATCTGAGCTCTAAAGCCTGCGAATTTGCCCCACGGGACAAGTCGAGTAGCGCGCAAACCTGCATCGTGCTATCCAAGACGTGCTCGATTGGCTCACTTGCGCCACCCAGCCCACAGTGTGCAAGCTCAATTTGAATCCTTCGCGTTCCATCATCTCACGGACGACCTCATCCTCTGCTGGTATATATCTTGATTGCGATGGGATCTTCGCTTGTAGCGATTCTACAACTAAGAGGTCGGATCAGTGCAGACCTTGCCAGAGGGTCACATTCAGCCCGAGTGTCTACAGGCGCGTGGCCTTGTAGAAGCTGGCGTACATGTTGACGTTGTCGATGGGCTTGCCGGTCTCGCGGATGTGGACGGGCTCGACCTTGAAGCCCATCTTCTCGAAACGCTGGTTGTACCACGGCTTCTTGGCGGCACTGCGGTAGAAGACCGCGCCACCAGGACGAACAACACGGGACAGCTCGCACACCTCGCGGTCGAGGTCTGAAACCGACTTGTCCGAGTCCTTGCGCGCCTGCTTGAGCGTGGGTGCGGGGCGCGAAGCAGGAACGGGGTCGAACCAGTCCATGTGGTCCATGGTGATGGCCCGGGTCAGCGCACCATCCTCGAAGCCACGCAGCACGTTGACGATCGAGTCGGTGTGCAGACGGAACGAGTCGAGGCCATCCTGGAGCGCCTGCTTCTTGAGCGCAGCAAAGCCGTCTGGCTTGAGGTAGAGCGGACAGCTCTGCTTGGTGTACTTGTGCATCAGGCAGAGCTGGTAGTGGTAGTTGTCGTTCTTGATCAGGCTTCGGCTCGGGATCGAGTCGAGCGTGTCGATGGCAAACTGCTCCGCCGACACACCCTCGTCGAGGAAGATCTGGTACTGGTTCATCGGGACGCCGAGCGCATTCCACAGGAAGGCAGGGTTCGAGAGGAAGAGGCGGATGAGCGGCTTGTTGATCAGCGTCGATCGAAGCTTGCGGTTCCACACATCCTGCTGCTCCTCGACCGAGTTGGCCGTGCACATCTTCTCGACCCAGCGACGCACACCCGTCACGGTGAAGGCGAACTTGGCGAGGCGAAGCGCATGGCCCGAGTAGCCGCGGAAGTAGAAGGCCTTGTCAAAGGCGTGCGTGTTGAGCCTCCAGAACTGGTAGGCGTGCGACGAGAGGAAGGGCGAGATCTTGGAGTCGAGAAGCTCGCGGAAGTTGTCGATGCGGCCCTCGCCGAACATCTGCCACATTTCGTCGTATGAGAGGGAGGCGATGCAGGCCAGCTTGAGTTCGAGCAGGTGACCCTGGCACGGGTTCATGTCGACAGCGTGGATCCTGTGCGGCTTGCCTGCAACTGCGTAGTGGAGAGCATTGTCGCCCGCCGAGGTGATGCAGAGGATCGAGTCATCGCGGCCCAAGTTGAGATGCTCCATGTCGACGTAAGGGTCCTCCCAGGTAAAGCCATAGATCCAAGTGCGGAACATGTCGCTGAACTCGTTGTCAACAAAGGGAAGACGCCACTGTCGCTTCTGGTAGTGGAACGAGCTCAGCGGGAAGTGGGGTCCAAGGTCGAGCTTGAGAGGACGGTCCGAGTCAGCATCGCTGTCGGTGGTAGCCTCAGACACCCTTCGTCGCAGAAGGCTGCGAGTCGAGTCAAAGGTAGCGTCGCCGTCGACTGCAGTGGCCGTCGCGCTGCTAGCCTTGGAGTCCTCGTTTCCAGCGTGGAGGTAGGCGAGCTCGGGGAACGAAGGAGGCACAACGACACGGTTGCCCGACTCGACCTCGAACGCCTGGATCGCCTTGAGCGTGTCACGCTCACGCGAAACACCGAGCCAGATGTAGTAGGGGATGCGTACGATGAAGGGGACGATGAAGTTGTTGCGGCCGTTGAAGCACTTGATGGTGCCGAATTTGTGCTCGAGGTAGTCGCGGCGGGCTGGGTGGAGCTCGATATGGTCGAGCGAGAACCACATGCTCCAGAACCAGCGGCTGAGCCAGCCGCACTGACGTCGAGTGTCGCCGCCAATCCAGGGGCTCTTCTCGGTAGGCGTGGTCTTGCCTGAAACGTAAAAGTCCACGACACCAAAGACGCCCGTGACGGGGTCGAGGAAATCATAAATACGGTCGAGCACGGCGTAGAAAGGAGGAATCATCGAGATGGAGTAGCTGCAGGTGAAGAGGTCTACCTTCTGCTCCGGAGCAAGGCCAGGCATGCTGAACTGGCTTGCATCCTGGCAGAGTACCTGAACGTTGTTGAAGCCCTTGGCGGCAAAGCGCTTGCGCGCCACCTCGAGCAGAGGCTCGCAGAGGTCAATGAGATAGACCTGCGAGAGCTGGCTGATGGGGAAGTACTCGTTCATCTGCTCGATGTTCCATCCGGTACCCCCGCCGATATCGACCCAGACGAGCGGCTTGCCCGGGTTGGAAGCTTGCATGTCACGCAGCTGGGCGGCGCATAGCTTGAGCATGGTCCTGCGTCCCTTGAGGAGGCCAGAGCGAGTAGAGTCGTAGACTGAAGTTTACAGGAGATGCAGATAATGTCAGCGGCAGTCCTTATTGCTGCATGTGGCTCTGTTCGGATCAGCTGTGGATCACAACGAAGCTTACCATTTGCCTGGTGCTGGTAGAACTTGTCGAGGCGTTGTGCCTGACTGGTGGTCTTGCCAAGGGGCTGGAGGAAGCAGGTGTAGCTGAACACGAGAATGTCGCGGACCTTCTTGCTGAGGGCGGCAGCGAGCCCGAGCAGGGTCATGAAAGCGGTGAAGATAGCCGTCAGATTGACTACCGAGTGGGGCAGGTAGGAGTAGAGGTGCTCCAAAGGCGTGCCGGCAACGCTGGATTCGACGAAGCCGAGCATCTTGTCACGCTTCTCCATTGTAAGAGATCCGGTGGGCAGGATACAGGGAAGTAAAGACCTGGAGCAGCTTCTTCGACTGAGATCCGAGTGTCAGCAGGGTAAGATGCGACAGTCGAGCAAAGACGAGCAAATGGAGGGGGAAAGGGTGAGACCGCAGCGTTGAGCTGAGATAAGGGAGGAAGGGTTGAACACAAAGTCGGGAATGTGGTCCAAGCACTGAGGTGAGGTGGTTGTCGAGGAGGCACGAAGAGTCTGCTGAGTCTTGTCCTTCTTAAGGGATGAGGGACGAGGAGGTGGCGGCCGGCAGTATTGCGCGAATCTGTCGGGCTGGGTGGCGTCTGCGCACGGCTCACCAAGGGAAGGGCTCTTGCGGAAGGCTTGCTGCACGGACAAGAGGGAGATGCATATCAAGGGACAGCGTCAGAAAGTGCATGCGCAGAGGCAGAGGTGCAGTGGCACTCGTGAGCTTCTTCGCGAAGAAGTGTTGCATTGTGCGGGTCGCGCTCGAGAACGCGACCGGGCAGGTCCGTCTGAGCTGTCGTCCAGAGAGCTGGGGTAGGGTCGCTGCACGAGTTGTGCCACTAAGCGCTCGTTGACCTGTCGCTCATGCCGACAGTGCAGCACCCCAGAAGCTTTCAATTGTCCTGCGCCTGAGCTCAAGTGGGCTTCATCCCACCCGGCGTCGCATTTCCGTGCGCCCTCCTTTTTCAGTACAACTCCATCGTGGCAAGCCTACAGCGGGGAGCGTATCGCTCGACTCGAGAACGAGTCCAGCTCATCGTTCTTAGCAGTGTGAGGGTGTGGGTATTGCTCAACGTTGCTCTTCCTTGTGACTGTGACAAGGTCCGTAAGGGCACGACACCTCCGCTCTGCCAGGGTAGCTCGGTCTCTTTCTCACGCTCCAAGCTCGGTGTGGCAGGTCGGTAGGCATTCGCGCAGCAGGAGGAAGAAGGTAGGAGCTTTGTTGGGCAAGCCACGCCAAGGCTGAAGCGGATGTGGTGTGCCCTTGCGGCTCGGGCAACTACGGTGGACTGATGAGGGAACGTGCAGAGGAGCCTAAATTGTTGCCAGACAGCCTCGGTCGGCAAAGATGGACGTGTCGACTGCACCCGCATCCGCACCCGCACCCGCAATTCCCGACTTCTTCCTGCACTCGAGCTTGCGGATCTTCTACATTCGCAACAATTAGCGACCCTGTTGCTCTACCTTGAAGCTACCGTTTGAAAGCGTTTGGCTCTCATCCAAGGCAATTGGGCATACGAAAGGGCAGAGCTGAGGGAGCGCTGCAACTGTGGGGAAAGGGCGTCAAGGGTCCGCGCCCAAAGTGACGTGGGATGCGGAGCTACGTGCGCACTTTGGACCCGCACGTTCGCTCGGCTGCACGCGCCCTGCTGCTGTGGCCCGTGCAACGGCGACAAACCGCTGCGAACGTGGCCAACGCCAAAATCACTGAATTTGCCGTCCGACGCTTCTTCTTGCTTGCACACAGCTGCGTCTTCCACACGACACCCTCAATCTTCGCATGAGAGACAGAGCAGTCGCACAGACCAGAACTATGGGATCCGTGAGTCTCCTTGGTGGACGCCGGTGCCTCGCCCGGCTCCCGGGCTCCCGGCTTTCAGGTCTGTAGACCAGATCTCGCCTTGGAAGAGCACAGCTACCCTGCTCCGGCCGAATGAGATGACAGCTGGACCATGTGCTCTTAAGCGGTGCAGCCCTCTTCCTCGCCTCCAGCCTTCGGCCTTCCAGCTGGACCGGCTCCTTCGTCGTCTGCAGAAAGCTCTCTCTGCAGGATTTTTCGCTCATGAGTGTCGGACTCTACCTGTTAACACCTCGTGTGGGAAAAAAAATCAAAATCGAGCGTCGTCGGGTCCGAAGAGTCGCCCAGCGTCTGACGACCAGGGCAGCTGTTCAAGTTGGGATGCCACCGCCTGGCAAGTGCGCTGCAACCGCATTCCACCTTTGACTCCACACCACCACACCAAAACTGCGCGATCACCACGATGGAGGTCGATCTGTCCAAGCGCGATGAGGTCGCCAATGCTGGCGGCGACCCTATCGCTTTTTCGCTCCTCCAGCTCATCAGCGAAGCACGCAACGAGCATGGCATGCGCCAGCAGGACTACGCGCGTTACCGACGCTACTGCGCCTCCAAGGTGCATCGTCTCCGCGAACTGCTGTCTCTGACCCACGCCGATGGCTCGCAAAAGGCGGATGCCAAGAAGAACAAGGGCGCCAAAGCTGCTCGCGGCAAGAAGCCCAAGAAGGCCCAGCAGGCCGCTGCCCAAAGCGCCGACGCCAAGGGCCACGGCAATGTCTTCACCGCCAAAAAGCTCGACGCCGCCCTGGTCAACGACGCCCGACCCGCACACCTGCTGCTCTTTGAGGCCGAGAGAGCTTGGGCCTACTCCCAAGAGCTTCGCTCGGAAGCTTTCGAGGACGACTCCAACCCGCAACTCCGCAAGCGTGGCATCTCCAGGCTCCGCCGCGCAGAGCAGTGGTCCGACTCGCTCCACCAGCTCGTCCAGGCGCTCGCCGCTCGCTTCGATGCCTATGCCCGTGCAGAGACTGCCGCCTATCTTCTGACCATCAAGGCGACCACCGCCTTCGACCGCTCCCAGTGGGACAAGGCCCTCCAGCTCCTCTCGGTCAACCGCACTCTCCTCAACGCCATCGCAGCCAACAGCCCCACCAGCCGCGCAGAGGCCCTTGCCAACAGCTTCGTCGACGCCGGCGAGGCCCAGATGCGCTACTCGGCCTACCAGCTCGGCAACTCGGAGCAGGACATGGACCGCATCGCCCAATCCACCGCCACCCCCGAGGCCTGCGAGCAGGCTCTGCCTGGCTATGCCAAGCTGCTCCAAGAGCTCGCTGAAGCCAAGGCCAACGCTGGCACTGTGCAGAAGCAGGCGCTCTCGCTCAACTGGCACGGCCGCCAGATCCCTGTGCGCAACCCCGAGCTACTTGACACCATTGTTGCCGCTCAGTCCGAGGAAGCTGCGCTTCGAGACTCGGTCCTCGTCGAAGCCGTCAACGACCGCGATGCCTCTGCAGCCACGCGCAGCACCAAGTCGGCCAATGCACAGGCCAAGGACGGCAAGCGTCCGCGTCTGTCGCACGCCCAGCGCAAGGCCAAGAAGCGCGAGCTCGCTCAGGGCGAGTCGTCGGCCGACGGCGCGCGCAATGCCACCAGCTCCACCGCCCGCCTCGGCAAGGCTGGACGCACCGAACTCGATCCCTTCGACCGCGCCCTCAGCGCCTTTACCGATGCAGAGGACGTCGCTCGCAAGCTCGTCGACGACAACGCCGAGGCCCTCTCCAAGAGCCACTCTGCTCGATACGAGACCGCCAGCAAGGATCTGCAGACCGCGCACGACTTTGTCTTTTACCGCTTGCTCGCCCTGCGCATCTGGCGCAACCTCCGCCTCGTGGCTGAGGTCGAGCAGCGCGCCGAGAAGCGTGAGAAGCGCGCCATGTCGAGCGTCGAGGCTCGTCTCAAAGGCAAGGCTGGCACTGGTGCTGCTGCGAAGCGCAGCAAGAGGAGCAAGCGCAAGCAGCAGAAGCTCGACGAGGCTGCTGCTGCCAAGAAAGCCAACCCTCGTAAGAACCCGCCTGGATCCCGCGCCAAGCAGCAGCGCTCCGCCGGCCGCAAGCAAGCACGCAAGCCTGCCCGCAGCGGAACGCGAAAGCTCCGCTCGAGACAGGCGCTGGCCCGTGAAAACCGAGCGCGTGCCATTGCCGCGCAAAAGTCGAAGCGACGCGGCGCCCGTTCGGTCCCCTCGCTCGCCAAGCTTCTCGATGCGGCCGAGACGAGTCTCGTGGCTATGGGATCTATCGGTCTCATCGAGTCCGAGCCCGACGTTTCCAGCCTTGTGGAGGCCAAGGCGGCTTGGTTCCGAAGCGAAATTCTGAGGCATCTGGCCCGTGCTTTCTCGCTGTCGGGTGCCCATGCCGAGGCCGTCCTGCTGCTGACGCGTGCTCAGCTGTACATCCGACAAGCGCGTCAGGCGGCCGAGCTCGCCGAGGACGTCGACGAAGAAGACGCCGACTTCCCGCCGCGCCTCAAGTCTAGCAGTGGCTCTGATGCCGTGTTCGATCACTCTGATGACGTTCTCGCCGGTCTCAAGCGCGGTGTGCAGAAGGCAATCCTCAAAGCCCAGCAGCAGGACCAGGGCAAGAAGCGCAAGGCCGGCTCGGCCATGTCCGACTCGCGTGCCGGTCAGGCTCTCCAGGAGCTTGCCCGCAAGTACATCGACTTTGACCCTGTCTCGCTCGAAGACGCTCGCCGGGTGCCCGACGATGTCAAGGCCGAATACGAGCAGGAACAGCGGGCTGCCTCCGCTTCCGCTCGCAAGGTCAAGCCCGCTGCCGCGAACAAAGCACCCGCTGAGGCACCCGCCAAGGCCAAGGCTGCTGCCGTGCCTAAGGACGCTCCGGTCAAGCAGCCCGAGCCCAAGGCAGCGCAGCCTCAAGTCGAGGAGGAGACGGAGGAGGCCGAAGAGTACAACAAGCCTCAAGACGAAGAGGACGAAGCTGAGGAGGCAGGAGACGTCTCGCTCGCCTACGACCCTGGCAACGCACTCGCCGAAGAAGAAGAGGCGCGTCTCGAGGCCGAGGCCGCCAACAAGAAGAAGGGCTGGCTCGGCGGCTGGTTCGGCAGGGGATGAGCTCTTTCGCGTCCGCGCATTCCGCTGCTTGCACCTTCCCTCCTTCACTCTGCCCTATCGAGCAAAGCACTGCCGACAAGTATGTCTCGAAATGCCGATCTCCAATCTTGAACCTCCGCATGACCACAAGTGCCTTTCGCCTCTCTGAATGCAGGTCAGATCTATTAGACACGAACAGTGATGGGTAATTTCCATGAATGTGATAAATCTATATATGTGTCATGTACATTCTCGCCCGAAAACGACGGTCTCGTGGCGCAATGGCTAGCGCATAGAGCTTCTAGATCGTTAAGGGGGATTTTACCCCTTTTCGGAATAACTCTAAGGCTGCGGGTTCGAGTCCCGCCGTGACCTTTTTTTGCTGGCACCAATGGATGCGGAGTTGCGAGGGGAATCCCCAACCAAATTTTGGCTAAGGTTGATTTGGAAATGAGCGCGTTATGCTAGAAGACAAAATTTCGAGATGGTGTCACTGCGCGAGGAGGGGATGGAAAAAATGAAGAAAAATAATGAAAATGGAGATAAAGTAAGTGAGATGAGCGGACCATCAGACATCGCTCGGGTCGTGCTGACAATGATAGCGCCAAGTATGCGAAGATGCTACCTGCTATCACCATTCGCAGCCAGGTACAAGGACAGAATAATTGGATTCCTGCTCTACTGGATCAGGTTCACGGAGGCCCAACTCGTTCGCAGGGCTCGACGCGATCTAGAGAGCGCACGGAGTCTTGACAGTCAGGATGCTATTCGAATGCTGTACCCAAAGCTGCTATGTACAGGTCTTGGGTAGAGAGGCCCAACGAGCGACAGGCATGAGACGTCAGATGTGTCGTGGTCTTTGAACATGTCCTGGTCTGGCGTGATCGAGACCCTTGACTGCACAGACATGGTTGCGGTCGTGGTGGCGGTCGTTCTGAGGGAGGAAGCCGACGCTTGTCGTTCGAGGGCTTGACTTGGACATTGCCCTTTCTTGACGGGACGTATGCTTTCTGATAATCGTATTTGTCCCGGTCAGCAGCCAGCCATCTCTGGTGGCAGTCAATTATAAAAGCAGATGAGGACGTTGCAAGACGACTTCGATCAGCTCATCGTGATCTGGACAAGGACAGGCTGCGACGAACGTCGAGATTGTCAATACATACCGAAGGATTTAGAGCAATCTGGTTTTCGGTCGCCCAAGCTTGCAGACCGAGTGGATGTTGCGGAGAGGCAATTCATTCCTCGCCCAGGGCACGGACGTCCAATACGATGCTGTACATAGTGCCGGTAAGGTGGTGGACGAAGCAGCCATGAGCCTGATCCTGACGATGGCACAGGTGCGATTCGCTGAGCTGAGCCCAGTCCGTAGTTCCGACAATGTCGTCCAGCAACTTTTCGGCGCCGAACAGGCTCGTGTCGTACAGATCCATGCCGTTGTGCTCCATGATGGCCCGAGCCGTCACGGTGTACATGCCAAACACCCTGAAACGCCATACACCTTCGCCCCTGGCATAATCGTCGAGCGATCCATACTTGTTGTAGATCTCCGTCACGATCTCCAGGAACTTGTTAAAGTCGTGCCCGAAATCTCCCATGGTCGATGAAGTACCGAATCGTCGAAGAAACGTTTTGCAATCTGAGGAGGAGTAGGGTCTAAATTGAAGAGAATGGTCTGATGCTGGACAAAGTCATAAGCCGGAGCATTGAGCTCACCATATATAGACGCGGGTATGCAGCGCTGCGCAATCGCGAACGCTACCGCTCCTCATAGTGTCCCACACGGTGGTGTGCGCTTTGTCGAACACCGCCGCCGGCCAAACAAAGGGACTTTGAGAAGTGAATGCGCAATCTAAGACCGCACGACGGCGCACACTGTGATTCCGCTCCCGATCTTCAGTCGCTGCGGAAGCAATAGACGCAGCTGGAGCTTAAAGACAAAGGCATCTGCAAGCGAACACAATTGCCGGCACCTCCGAAGGGAGGCCGAGGAAGGATTGGAGCTATAACAACGGCCCATGGCTCTGCGCACAAAGGCCGCGCTCTCATGTGCGACAGTCTCGCGCAAGCCGAACGCTCGTCTCTCGTTGAAGTCACGAAGTTCTTCAGGATGAAGCGACCCGTGATCACGACTCCGACGCATGTTGATGGGACCGCACGCGCTGGAACTCAAGATTTTCCCCACCAATTCTCCGCCCAAAAATGGAGCATGCACCGCATCGATTGCCATGCAGAGATGCAAAGTATCTTTAAAGCTACGGCCGAGTGACCACACGATGCCATGTCTGAATCCATCCCGCCACCGAGGGATAGCGCAAAACTGGATCGCCCACGACATGTCGGCCTTGCAGGACTGCGCAGTCATCCAGACTGACAACGCACATTTCATAGTGCGGGAAGACCTTCCTTTGATGCAGGATAGGCCGTCTTCATAGCGGATGCAAGTCGACAGACATGCTTTCACAAGTTGGCTTTCTAGCTTAATTCTGACGATCCGCGTTTTGGCGGCGCTCTGAGAGGGGTGTGACAGTCGCGTGAGCTCCTGGTGGGAGTGGAGGTTGCATTTCGGCTGCAGAGACGCAGCAGGGTCCACATCCCGCCCACGGCGACCGTGCGCCCATCACACAGACCTCCGTCACTCTGCTGCACGGAAACACCGGCGGAAGCTTAAACCTCTTTTGATCTCTCCACTGCGCTTGCACACGTGTGACTTCCAAGACCAGCCAGCACAAACAGCCGGTCACAACAAAGCTTTCGAAAGCAACAAGACAGCATTCAAAGTTGGACCACCACGATTCCAGCCACGACAGCCAGCAGCGGAACAAAGCGTGGGGGACCGTCCCTGCCGTCCTTCCGCATCAGTTCCCCTTCGCCGTCATCAGAGGCAAGCTTCGAGCTGGACACGTTCTCGCCGTCCGGATCCGGCTCGGCTGAGCGCAGCCAAGGGATAGCAATGACTGATCCGGCAACCATAGGCGTTGACGCACCACCGCCAACGCAGCCGACAACAAACGGCAAGAAGTCAAACCGTCTGAGCGACCTGGATCGCTTCAACCCCCTGCGGTCTGCGGAAGACAACGACGAGGACGAAGACGAGCAAGACACGCTTCGGCCGCTGGACGACTCGGACTTAAGCTCAGCGAGCTACCTCGCCCGGCTCACGGGCGTGGCGTGTCTGGGCGGCCTGCAGTTCGGCTGGGATACCGGAATTGCAAGCGGCATGCTTGTTGCCATCCATGCCGACCTGGGTCACGAGCTGAGCGAGGGCGAGCAGGAGCTCATCGTGAGCGCCACTACGGTGGGCGCAATCTTAGGATCGGTCGTCGCGGGTAGAATGGCCGACTGGCTCGGGCGCAAGAAGGTCATGATTGCCTCCGGTGTCCTCTTCCTTCTCGGTGCGCTCGAGCAGGCTGCTTCGCAGGTGGTGCGCGAGCTGGTCCTCGGCCGCGTTCTGGTGGGTCTCGGAGTGGGCATGGCGAGCATGGTGGTGCCGACGTATCTCGCCGAGGTGGCGCCAACAAAGGTACGCGGGCGTGTCGTCGGCATCAACAGCCTGCTGGTCACCGGCGGTCAGGTGATCGCCTATCTCATCGATGCTGCATTCTACAATCTCCCACACGGCTGGCGCTGGATGGTGCTGGCAGGTGGCATTCCGGCGGTGTTTCAGCTGGTCGGCATGATCTACCTGGATGAGTCGCCGCGCTGGCTCGTGGCGCGCGGACGCATCATTCGTGCACGCCGCGTGCTGCAGCGCATCTATCCGAACGCAAGCGCACGCATGATCGACAGCGAGATCGAGCGCATCGCGCTCAGCATGGAGGGCGCCACGCAGCGTGAAGAAACGGACCCAGACGCTTCGCAGGCGGCCGAGCGTCGTGCCGAGGAAAACAGCACTGGACAGGCCAGTTTGCAGGCAACGCTGGAGCGCATCGCTGGGGCGCCTCAGCAAATCACCTCGAGCGCGCGCCAACGGACGACGCAGGTCAAGAGCAAGCTCAACACGCTGCTGCACGATCCGACGCATCGACGTGCGCTCGTGATCGCATGTGCACTCCAGTTCTTCCAGCAGGCGAGTGGATTCAACTCGCTCATGTACTTCAGTGGTCGGCTCCTGCTCATGGCGGGGTTTGTGGCCAACCCAAACGCAGCTGCGGTGGGCATCGCTGTTGCCAATTTCATCGGTACCGCCGTGTCGATGCGCTACATTGACGGCTGGGGTCGCCGGAAGCTCATGCTGTACACCACGGCTGCGATGACCGTCTCGCTGGTGCTCGTCAGCATCGGGTTCAGCCAGATCGACCTCGGACCGGTGAGCGGCAGCCCCGAGGCAGCGAGGGAGGCGCATTCGGCCTGGCCGTACTGGACGCTGATCTGCATGGTGCTGTTTACGCTCAGCTATGCGCTCGGGCTGGGCATCGTACCGTGGCTGGTGCAGGCCGAGATTTTTTCGGGCCAGGTGCGCGGGCTGGGCGCTGGTCTGGCAACGGCGACGAATTGGACGACGAATCTGCTGGTCTCGTCGACGTTTCTGCATCTGGTCAAGCTCATCACGCCGCAGGGGTGTTTCGGCGTGTTTAGCGTGGTGTCGGCGCTGAGTTGCGCGTTTACGTTCTGGCACCTGCCCGAAACGTCGGGCGTCAGTCTCAGCGATGTGTCGACGACTTTGGGTCGGTCGACCGGTGGAAGAAGCGGGCGTCAGGACGCATACACCGCGCTTGCGACGGCAGAGGACTCCGATTAGTGTGGGCCAGATCGACGTGCAATAGACAGCCGTTCGCGACGAATGAAGCCGCGGATGTGACTGAAATGAATGAGATTTGTACAGTGTATAAATTAGCGCGGGAGGAGGCTCTGCTTGTCCTTGCTCGCACGGTCGCGCGCAGGCAAGCCGCGACCGACCTCATCAGCGTCTGAATCCGACCCTGCACTGCCTTCCACATCGAGCACGAAAGGCGTGCCAGCCTCGCCCGCGCTTGGATCTGGCGACGTGTCGCGGTACTGGGTCTGCCGAGAATTGCGCGAACGGCGGGAAGGTTGCACTTGTCCCTCCTGCGTCTGTGCTTCCTGCTCGATTGCACGCAGCACCTTTTTGGTCTCTGACCAGACAATCCATCCTGTTGCCGCACCCACTGCAGACCCGATGATGATGTACAGCACATTGAGCGCCTTTGCCCATCCGTCGAGATGCGCACGCTGCTCCCTGTCCATGAGCACGAACATCCTCGTTCCGATACACACGTGCAGCAGCAACTTGGGCGTGATGAGCGCCGTAGCCGTGAGAAAATGGCCGAGCGATACGGCATCGACGAGGCTGGCGAAAAAGAGGTTCGAGTATGCAAAGGGGAACGGGCAGAAGCGGATGAGGATGGCCATCGACAGTCCACGGCGTCGCACCGCCGTCGATAGCGCCACGAATTTTGGATCGTTGAGCGCCGAGCTGATCCACGCCACGCGCTTGCTGTGGTGCACGATCAGAAAGCGCAGCACGCCGAACGAGACGGTGGCGCCAAGAAGACACGCAGTCGAGGCTAGCAGCCATGCATGCCACAGATTGCCGTTGAGCTTTGGATGTTCCGCAGTGGCATCAGCTTGGACGCCCCAGCCGAGACCAAAGAGGGTGATGCAGGTGCCGTAGCCGACGAGCGGCGGGAAGCTGACGGCCACCACGAGGGCGATGAGCAGCGCCGCGCCGAGCGGCTGTGCGCCAAACCAGATGGCGAGCTTGGCGGTAGCGTCGAACATGGCCTCGGGTCCAATGTAGACGACGACGGCAAAGATAAGCGCCTTGATGCCGACGGCGAGGTAGATGATGTAGCGCTGGCCTGGAGGCAGCGCGAGGAATGCCTGCCATGTGCGGTCGAGGTAAGAGCGCGCATCGAGGTACGCAGACCGGAGGCGGGATGGCGTGGAGCTCGAGGCAGTGTCCCGCCGCAACGGTGCGTACCTTGATCGATGCGGTACGGATCCAGGCATATCTGCGAGGGTGGTGCACCCGGTCTGTGCTGATCTACGGGTCTTCGGGAGGGATTTGGACTTTGACGCCACTTGACGTGTGAATGGAGGAGTGACAGCGGTGATCCGACGCCGTGACGAAGCAGAGATGAAAGGTGATTCCTTCGACGATCGGCACGAGGTGGCGAAGGGCAGCTGCGGGCCTATGCGTCGTTCTCTATGTGGCAAGATGGAAGAGAGTCGGCTTGGTTCCGATAGGCGCAGCAGCGGGTGGGAGGATTGCGAGTCTGAATGAAGTTGACGTTCGGGTCGCTGCACCGAGCGAGCCTTGGACCCTGGGCTTGGCCTTGGCGCTTTCATCCGGGGCAGACGTGCCGACTGAGTATTCGGATCGGGCGAGGTGGAGGCGATGTCCGATGCAACCCTTCGCGTTGAGTGCAAGAAAGGCGCGCCGCCGCAGCGCGTCTTTTGCTAGAGAGCAACACTTCGCCATCCGAGCTCCACCCACCGCGACCATTTCTCCTTCAACGCAGCGGCACCATGTCGAGCGCATTCGCATCCTCATCCGGCTCGAGCGTCGCATCCACGAGCGTGTCGGTGTCGACACACGCACGCGGGCTCACCGCCACCGAGCTCGAGCTTGCCACCACCTCTCTGCCCAGCACCTCGCTCACCATCGTCCCGCTCACCTCGATCGACCGCGTGCGTCTCCTCTCCGGCATCTATGGCCCATTTCGACCGCCCTCACCTGCGACTGTGCCGCTATGGGTGGCGCTGTACCTGAAGAAGCGGCGCAAAGCCGTGATTGTGCCGCCCACCTGGCTGTCCGTCGAGGCGCTCACCGAGACGCTCAAGCAGGAGACCACGCAGGCGGGCTTCTCGCTGCTTCCGCACCACTGGGTCGGCGTGTCGAGCAGTCTGCTTGACAACGCTGCGGATGACGTACCGCAGTCCAACCGGGTGCGTGCGCTGCTCAAGGACATCCGCGAGGCACGTCAGAGCAAGATCCTCGCCGGTGTGCCCATGCTCAACTCGGTGCATCTGCAGATGCACAACATCTCGGCACACGAAGTGGCCGAACTGCGCGGCTTCTTCTCCACCGCCTTTTCGCATCTGAGGTCGCTGCGCGCACCCGCAGAGGTGGAGGCAGAGACAAAGTTGCAGGCCGAACTCGATGCACGCACGGCGTACCTTCTCCTACCACCGCTTCCGGCGAGACTGGACGATTCGAGCGTGTCAAAGGCCCCGAGCGCACCAAGCGCACGCGCGGACTGGAGCTTGCAAGCCACAGAACAGGATGAATCCATGCGGTCCGAGCTGACCGATACGTCAAGATATCCTGAATCGCGTGCTGCGCCGAGAAAGTCCAACGTCTCGGATTCAGGATACTACTCGGGGCCACATGCAGCTGCGTCGCCCGACGCTTCGCGCGCCTCGGACGCTCCCGCCCGCCCACCACGCTTTGACGAAGACGACGACGAGTGATACCGCATGTACCCTGCAAACACCGATTCAACCCAGCATCTACACTGCTATCGCGAGTGGGCACAGTGCGCACTCGAGACGCCGCTTCGATGAGGACAGCCTCAGACTTTTAGTGTGAGCACATCCACGCAGTGGTCGCTTTGCTTTTGCGAGGGTCCTGTGAGCACAGCGCAGCAAACGTTAATGGTCGATGGACTCAACTGGATGAGCCTGCTTTCTGAGGCTCGGGCGTGTCGTGAGTCGCACGCTGTGAGCACGGCCAAGCGAGACTTCGCGGGGACGTCTGCAGAGTGTCAAGTGCATCCTCTCGGAGGGCGACCGAAACCCAGGGACAGCGTCCACTCTGAGCACGAGCACAGCAAGAGCGAGTCGTCGTCAAATGTACGACCACAGGCTCTGGTGAGCTTCCATTCAAAAGTGGACGTGTGATGAGGTCGCCGATCGATGCACGCAGGCAAGTCGCCAAGCTGGGACCTTGTGAAGCCGAAAGTTTTGCACTCGCACGCAGCTCGTAGCTCAAACTCGAACGCACACTGCGCCGCACGTCAACGGACGTCGCTGGATCCGTGAATGCACGCTCCCCTCGCTGATTGGACGAATGGCACACACCAGTTCACTACTCTTTCCGCTCGGTCGCTCTTCCAGCTCACTGCGGCGAACGCACCCCACGCAACGCTTCTTCTGCAATGGCCTGGGTATCATTAGCGCGCTCCGTGAGCGTGTATATGCTTACAAAATGTATGCTCATCTGTGAGCATCATCTACTTGGTCACGGTCGCGTCGCCCGTGGCTGCCTCCTGTGCCTCAGGAGGCGAGTTCAAGAGGTGCATCGACTGGCGCTTGACCATGCTTGCCGCCGACGACTGGCTCTCGAGCTTCATGTTGTCAAAGCAGTCGGCGTAGATCGAGTACGACGTGAACACGCTGTCGCGGTACGTGCTGCGCGTCTTCCTGGGTCGCGCGCTTGCTGCAGCGCCCGAAGCCTCGTCCGCATTTCCCTCCTTTTCTTGAACTTGTGCGGCCTCAGAACCCACCTCAGTCGCATCAGCGACCGCATCTTGCTCGTGCGAATCGTCACCTCCGCTGTCCGATCCCTCGTCCGCCTCGGCTTCCCGATCACTCTCGTCGCCGGCACCGGAGAGAACAATCCGTGGAGCAGCCTGCGATGGTTGCGACTCGCTCGTGCCATCCTCGCCCTCAGATGCCTCGGCAACTGGGCTCGTGCCGCTCTCGAGCACCTTGACGATGTCCTCATTCGCACCAAGCGCGGCCAATCCGTCGAGTCCGACAATGGTCAGCGGTCGCGTTCGGCCGCCTCGGCGAGGCCGCGGTGCAAGCTCGGTGAGAATTGAAGCCTCCTCCTCGTCAGCTTGCGCCTGTTCCTCGTCCTGCTGGTTGGTCAGCACCGTGACGTCTTTGCTCAAGCCGGGCTGCGAGTCCTGGGAAGAAGAAATTGAAGCTCCACGTGGACGGGTCGCCTTGATCGACTCGACGGGGGACGAAGCCTCTTCGACATCCACTTCGGTCGCAGATGCGCTCGCAAGGTTGGCATGGTCCACATCGGCGGTCTGCTGGACACCGCGCTGTCCCTCCGCTTCAGCCTCAGCCTCCCCTTCCGCCTCAGCCTCAGCTTCAGCCTCTGGCTCCGGCTCCGGCTCGGGCTCGGGCTCAAAGAGCCACTCGTGCATGGTGACGATCGTCTTGACGACATTGGCCGCTTTGCCAAGGTTGCCAAAGCCGATCGCAACGCTCGATGGGCCCGGAGGCGGGTTAAGAAGCGACGTGCCAAAGACAAGCGCGACATTGTGCGCCAGCATCTTGTTGATTTCGCCCTCTTCCACCACACGCGCGAGATGCTCGGCGGTGCGGCGCAGCACATCAAAGTGGCACTTGGGCATCTTCCAGATGATGTCGCGCATGGCGTAGAGGCGGTCGTCGTTCTCCATCGCATTGGTCGCGATGAGCGCGTCGTACGAGTCAAACGTGATGAGCGGTTCAGGCAGCTCACGGAGCCACGCCTTGATAGCGCCAGCGATGGTGTGCACGTCGCTGAACTCGCCCGTCGAGAGATCGATCGACTCGGCAGGCTGCTGGTCCCACGCTGTTCGCAGATTTTCCACGGCGCTCTTGGAGCCCGAGATTCGATAGATGCCCTGCTCGCGCAGCCCTCGTGCCTCGACCTCGGCAAACATGCGCTCGACAGCCGTGGGGACAGAGTGTCCCTCACGTTCTGCCAGCTCGGCCAAAGGTCGTGCATAGAGGGGCGCGGGCCCCGCCCTCGTCTTGGACGGGACGCCTCCCTTGCGCGCATCGAGAAGCTGAGGCGCGGCGTATTCCTTGGACGCGCGTTCGATCTGGCTGATCCATTCTGCTAGGTCCGCAGCATTGGTGGTCTGCAAAAGGTACTTGGCCCCCTCCTGCGAAGTGAGGTGGAAGACGAACGAGCGTTGCGCGTTGTTCCAAACCGAAACACGGGCACCACCCAATCCGGCGACGAGCGAAGGCTTCTGCAGGGGCGTCAGGCGCATCAGCTCTGCGGTTGGCTTGCTGGGCTCGTTGGGCTTGTCCAACGAGATCAGCGGACGCACGGCGCCCTTGAAGAGCGCGGTCATGCGGCGTGCTCGGATCGTCGCCTTGTCGGGAGGCGGCGCTTGAACCATGGCGGCTTTGTCCGACGACTGCGGCATCGAGGGGAAGGCAGTAGACGATACATTCGAAGCGCGTGCACGACTAGACGGCATGCTCGAAACGCGCGATGAGATCGGAGGAGCCAAGGGAAGAGACTTGAGCAACTCCAGTGCCGCTCGGTCACGACGCAGCTTCTCTTGCTGCTGCTTGGACAGGCCCGAGAGCGCCTTGCTCGAGGTGGTAGGGCGCAGCTTGGCATCGCTGCGAACGGGGGGCGCATTGCGCATCTCCTTTGCTGCGTCCTCTCGGAAGGCACGGCGATCCCAGATGACGCGAGTAAGGGCACTCTGCATGAGCCGGAGTCGGGCGCCAGCAAGGTCGACGAGGTCAGGGAGAGTGCATGCAGGTCGCACTCGCACAGCACCATCGATCAACGCCCACATGGTGCCTCGCTTTTCAAAGTCGATCAGCTCGACGTCGCTTGTCGACGTTGGCACACTCGGTGCTCGCGTGGCCGCCTCGGCGAGGCAAGCAAGGATCCAGCCAATGTCTGGTGTTCCGGCCATGTCGACAGCCGAACGCAGATCGGCGTCAATCTGCTTCGGCATCAGGTCGTCGATGCCGTCGCCTCGACCACCGCGTGCGGCGGCGACACCTTGCCACGCACGCAGGAAGATGCGCGACTCGGAAGATCCGAGGGTGTTGACGATGGCCGACTCGACGAACGATCCAATCGTAGGCTCACGGAATGGCAGCGAGGTATCCGCAATGGGACCTGCATTGCCAGCTTGAGCATTTGCAGTGGCTGTCGTCTCGTCACCCCGGAGCTTGAGCATGCGGGCCCTGCAGAGCCAGAGGGCATCGAGAAGCTTGGACAGCCTCTCCTGACGACGCTCGAGGCCGATGCCCGACTCGATGATATGAATGGCGATCCAGCCACGGAAGAGGCTTTGAGCTGCCAATGCGTCACGGATGGCCGAGGGAAGCCTAAGCTGGAGGCTGGCCGTGGAGTCCTTGGATGCGTCTGCATTGGTCCCGGCCGGCGCCCGCAACACGTCAAGGAGGGTGTACATGTTGGTGACGGGCTTGTCCTCCTCGCCCGGCGGCGTGCCAGCCGACTTGACCGTGTACCACGCAGTCGGTTGGATCGCCTGCTTCTCAAAGATCTCGCTGACGACGAGAAGGTCGCGATCAACGATTTTGTCGAAGAAGACCGTCGCGATCGACTCGAGGTATTCGACCAGCTCAGCCGCCGATGCGCGGTCAAAGTCGAAGTCGGCTTGCTGACGACTCTCGGAGATCTGCACTGCCCTCCTCCTGCCTGGCATTTGCGCCCATGATCCTCGAGCCAAACATGCTCCGAAGCTGAGCAAGGGCATGCACGACCTTTTGCTGATCGGGGTCCTCAGCTGTGACTTCCATGCCAGGATGGCGCAGGAAGTTGAGCGCGAGGTGGTAGAGGTCGTCGTCGTCCACAAAGTCCTGAGGGAAGCGGTCGATCCAGAGTCGCAGCGTCAGCACCACGCCCATGCGGATGCGGTAGACCATCTCCCAATCGGTCGGCTCTGCCTGGCTGCCAACCGGAATGACTCCGATCCACGACGGGAACTGGCTCGAGCTGCGGAACTCTTCTGCGCCTGCCAGCTCCTTGCTCGCCATGATCGCGGTGGAGAAGCGCTTTTGCAGCTGCTCGAACAGCTCGGGTGCAGAGCAGAGGCTGCGGAAGGTGGCGAGGAACGTGGTGCGGTACGACTCCATGTCCATGACCAATCGAGTCTTGCGCTGAGGTGCGCTCTGTTGGTCTGGGCCATCCATCGGAGAAGAGATGGGAGGGACATTGATATGCTGCACCCCCATGACGAGAAGGTCGATCATGCGATCAAGCGTGGCTGCCTTGACGACCACCTGGACCGGCACCACAATGTCGATCACCGAGCTTCGGTTCGACGCGGGCAAGCTGGAACGCTTCGAGACCTGGGAGAGTGGCCTAGAAGCGCGGCCAAAGTCCTGCGAGAAGCGCTTGCTGGTCATCGGGGAGCCGGGCAAGGACAGGTTGGCCTCTTGAACCAACCGCAGTACGAGCTCGTTGCCAATCTTGACGGCCCCGTTGCTGGCGTCGTCCCACTTCGTAGACGCTGAGATCGAAGACCACTCGACGACGCCGCTGAAGGCAGCGTTGCGACTCGATCGGCCCAAGGGTGGCGAGAATGCCGAGGCACGGGCCAGAGGCGAGCCTGCCAGCGACGGACGCGCCATTGAGCGTGATGTGATGGTGGCTTGGGGATCGTGGATCTGGTTTGCGCGTGGGTCATTTCGACGGACAAGGGACGCCTTGATCTGAGACGTGTTCAGCAAGGAGAGCAGCGGAAGCGGCTGCGGGAAGAGAAGCGGCACCAGCGGCAGGTCGGCGTCGGCGCTGGAGGGGAGAGAGAGTCTCTCGCGGGCGTCGAGGCTGCCAGCGTCGATGTTGCCGAGCGCTCTCGGCTCGAGCTGGAAGGAGCGCTCCATGTTGGACTCCATCGTAGACACTGGCGTGTTCGAATTCTGGAAGAGCAGCTGCAACGCTGCTTGATACTCCTCCACTGGCTCGGAATGAGCAGCAAGGGCGAGACTTGGCTCTCCTTGCCACGCCGAGCGCCATTCGTTGACCGAAACCCAAAGATGAGCGGCGTCTTCTGCGCGGCTCGAGATGGACATGGAGAGCAGGCCAGAGGGAGATGGCGATGGGGTGTTCGGCTGGCGCAAAGTGCGGTAGAAGGCGCTGCCCAGATAGGGGACGACTGCGATCTTCGTGCCGTTTGGCGAGGTGGTGAACGACTGCGTGCCATCGCCGACGAAGCGAGGACGCGCATGAACAGCTAGACCCTCGGTCCAGGAAAGGCTGGACAGGATGGGAGCCCATTCCTCTGCCACTAGGACGCGGTCGCCCTCGGCAAGATAACGCCAGGTCTGTTCGAGGCGAGTGACTGCGCGAGAGCAGAGAGCGGCGCAAACGGCCATCCAACCCGCCACATCGCCCAAAGAGAGCAGGTAGGATGCGATGGCGATCCAGTGGCGCAGGACCGAGGCGCGGTGTCGGGCGCCGTTCTGTGCGGCGTTGGGCGCGTCTTGGGCGGAGGAACTGGACTTGAGCAGGTGGCTGAGAGCGAGCGTGGTGAGCGGATGCGGCGACAACGAGTCGAAGCTGAGGGCGGCGATGCCATCGGCATCGGTCGCAATTGGGTGGAGGAGATCGAGGAAGGAAGTTCCGCTGATGACAAGACGTCGCAGAGCGTTGACGTGGAAGGCCTGGATCTGCTGGGCGATCTCGAGCGGCTCGAGCTGGAGCAGCAGGTCGTCCGACAACTCAAGAGAGCTGCGAAGCTTGCGCAGATCCTCGCGTGCACTGGCTGCCTCTTTCTCTGCTAGTCTTGCTATCCAATCTCTGGGCTGCTCGGACGTTTGGGCGTCCGAAAGAGACAGGATGGGGCTGGCATAGACCTGCATCTTGTTGTCGAGCTCGTCTATGTCCATCGATACCAGGACTGCCAGTTTCTTCAGCGTGTCGCCTGTGAGGATTCCAAAGAGGCCGGCCCGAGTCGCGACATCGAGCAGCGTGCGCAATCGTGAGGCAAGAGAAGGGACGGAAGCAGAGATGGACTGCGTGACATCCGTGCCGGCTGAGGTCAGTTCTTCTGCCTGCTTGACGACGTCGAGGAAGAATGCGCTGATCTGCTTGTTTGCTCCCTGGGGCGCATCTTTGGCGGAGGAAGCGTTGGCAAGCACGGCCACCACGAAGGACTCGACGGCGGACTCGGCAGAGCTGGCTGCTGCACGCGATCCGGGAACCAGTGGTGATGGGAGGATGGAGCGCCGTGAGGCTTGTGCTTCAGCTTGCTCTGTCGGGAACTGCGTGGCGTGAACAAACTCGTGCGCAAGTGCTTCCAAGGTGCCGGCCTGGATGCGGTCCGCCCATGCAGGAGGGGCATCAACAGTGTCGACAAGCACCAGATCCGGATGTTTTCCGGGCTTGAGCCAGGACTGATGACGCGGTGCGTCGACTTCGGCAGGTTGTGGCACTGCGACAGGTGTCGTCGGTACCTCGGAGGGAGTGGTGGTGGATTTGTTGGGGCGCGCAGAGGGAAGACGCGGTCGCAAACTGGGAGATGCGAGGGGCGAAGTCATCTCGGCCGTACTCGACGTTGCGCTGAGCAGGTCCTGCTTGCTGAGGCCGCTCCTCACGAGCTGGTCGGCGGTGAGGCTCGAGATGGAGGCAGAAGAGGCGGGGGTGTCGGGAACGCCACGTACGATGCCTGTGGGGAAGAGCGCCTTGACATCGTCCGAGATGTTACTGGGCGGCTTGTAGAAGCACAGACGGCCGTCCTGGAGCACGACGCGATAGGGCTTCCAACCCTTTGTGACGTCCTTCTCCTTGTCCTTGCCCTTGCCATGATCATGACCGCTGAGCTGGGCGAGGGTGAGGCTGATGTTGGCGTTTCGAGCCAGGAAGCCTTGGAAGGCAGCGCCTGGTGGCAGCGGCACTGGCTCTGCCGAGGTGAGGATGGACAGAGGCGGCACGGCAGCTGCAGAGGCGGCGCCGAGGTGAGTGAGGCCGAGCGAGGCGGCGAGAGAGGTGGCTACGGCGCCGCGCGCCGAAGATTCCTTGCCCATGAGTTTGGAAGCTTTGCGGGCGTGCTTTGCATCTGCACGAGCGGTGGATGGAGCGGCCGAGGACTGCATGTAGCTGTGCTGGGGCGGAGACATTCCAGACCAGTTGTGCGGCGGCAAGTGTACGGAACCGGAGGAAGGCTGGAGCTGCGATGCGACCGAGTCGAGCTTGTTGTGACCTGGCTTGAAGCGTTGAAAGGAGGCGGCGCTCTGGTGGGTGGGGGAGGCGAGGGTGCCCATGTCGCTTGGACGCCAATCTGGTTGAGGAACGGGGATGCCGTGCTCGCCCCAGGTGCCGGGCGAGGTGGATGTGGCGGCGGTGGCGAGGGAGGAGGAGGACTCGCCGTGTGCGGGGGAGATTGGGTAGGGTGATGCGGGCTGCTGCTCTGCGATGCTGAGGTCGTCGACGCTGCGAGAAAAGTTCATGGCGGGGCTGGGGGAGCGGAGGTATCTGTTGCGATCGATGGGAGGCTGTGCGGTGTTGTTGTGGTAGACGGCGGGCACTCGAGGAAGCTCGACGGTCATGCTGGTGGGCGAGGGGTAGTCGGCGCGGGAGTGCAGGTCGGACTGGCTCTTGCTAAAGTGCGCATAGTTGGAAGCCATGGTGGCGTCGGTGCGCTGAGGTTTGGAGAGCGGGCTGTGGGAGAAGTTGGGCTTGTGCGGGGCGGGTTGTTTGATGGAGGCGGTGGACGCCTTGCGATCGCGACCGATGCCGCCGAAGAAGCCGCGCTTTGTAGGGCTGGCGACGGCATTCTGTTGGTCTTCCGAGTAGCTGGGGCGGGAGAAGGGGGCGCCGGTGGATTTTGAGGGCTGAGATGCGTCGTGTGCGAGCGGATGGGAGCGAGCGGCCTTTTCGATGCCGCCGCTGGCTGTCCTGCGAGCTGGTGGTGCGGAAGGGGGCGCCTGAGGAAAGGCGTGGTCGTTCTGAAGCTGGCGGTGGTACTGGATGTGATTTGTGGTGTCGTCAAAGGGATCCTCTTGATGCACGGAGAGGGATGAGAGGGAGGTGGAGGCGTTGAGAGTGGAAGAGCTGGAGGAGGAGGAGAAGGGAGCTTTGGCCTTGTTGAGGAGGAAGTTGAAGGCGGACTGGCTGCGACCGATGGGCTGGGATGGTGGAGCTCTGTCGAGGTGCGCTTGAGTTTGTTGTGAGGAGGAGGAGGAAGACGCCGGGGGCGAGGGCTGCTGTTGATGCTGCTGGTATCGTTGGAGATGCTGATGCTGGTGATGGAGAGGCTGCGCCTGTGGGTAGTATGGCTGCTGTGCATGCTGGTTCTGTGGGCGTGCGGAGCCAGGGTGCGGACCCGACTGGGACAACGGAGTCGGCATGGCGGCGGCGCAGCTTTGCAGCTCGTTGTGTGGCGAGGTGGAAGGATGCGTCTACGGGAGCGCGAGAGGCATGCGAAGACGAGCAGAGCCGGTGGTTGGCCTTTGCGATGGTGGTAGATGGCGTTGTGCAGCCGCTGAGAGGAGGCGATCGATGCCAGGGTGCGCCTTGGTGTGTGCGCGCTTGGGCGACGATGAGCGGCGAGCAGGTGAGGTTTGGGGAGGATGAGGAATGTCGAATGGAACCTGTCGAGATCGCAAAGAGAGTGTGGCACGGAAGCCTTGGCGAGATCTCACGACGAACGACGAGAAAGGGCAAGCTTGCTGCGCTGCGTTTCTATTCTTCAGCTCAGTTGGTTAGGCGAGGCGCACGAAGCTCTCTGCGCGCCGCGCACCCGCACCCAAAAGAGACACTCTCTTTCGCCTCACGCTCTGGCTCTGGCTCAGGCTGGTGCGGCAAGGGTGCAGAAGGGTGCCAAAAGTGCGTGCACGGAGCCTTTTGACGTCCCCGCGCGGCGCGCTCGTGTGTGTGCCAGCTCAAAGACGCGAGGCAGCGAGCAGCCGGCCAAGCAGCAGGCGAGCAGACGCGGGCGCGGAGAGCGAGAAGGAGCGAGCTGCATGCATGCATATTTTCTTGCGCTGGCCTCGCGCCTCGGCTTGGCTGCTGCTTTTCTCTGTTGGTCTCGCGCTGCTGCTGCTTGCCTCGCAGCTCGACAGCGCGAAGGCGCGCCCAAAATGAGCAAAAGACGCGAGGCGGCGCTCCAAGGCGTCTCGCCAACGAGGCGAGCCCACTCGAGCCAGGCAGGCGACTTTGACTTGCAAATGACCAATTCTTCCCATTTTCCGCTGAACCCTGACCGACCCAACGCTTCTCAGCAGGCGGTTCGGCACGGCACGCACGCTCGGTGTTGGACTTCTTCTTGTCTGTGGCGCTTGCCGCAATCCCGTGGCTGGCTGGCTGGCTGGCTGGCCGGCTGGCTGGCATGGGGTCCACCTTCTTCCCACTCTCGGTCTCATCCCTGACCGCCAAGTCTCACTCGCAGCTTCCCGGTCGGCGTGTGAATCTTTGGGCAGGCTTCTCCGGCCCCGTCTTGCCGCGGCGATTCATAGGCTGCTTGGGCTGCTTTAGGTTGCTACGGATGCATCGCAATGCATGCAACAGGCTGCGCTCAGATGAGATGATCGGCGCGCTGAGCATGGTGGGCGTGCGGGTGTGCGAGATGGGAGGCGTAGGCGAGCCAATCCCATGCGGCCATGTCGGCAGCTGGCTTCCGACGCGCTCGGCCCACTCCAAAGCGAAGGTCTGGGTTGACTTGGCGGAGAAATACAAGACACGCATGCCGCTGCAAGGCGAGGCTCGCCACGCTCCGCACGCGCCAGCCAGCGGCCGACCTAGATGATGGTCCACAGATCAGTTCGGCAGTCTCCCATAGTTTGCTGAAGGTGTGCTGGCACTTGGATCCGCTCTTGCAGCTTGGCACCCTCGCTACCGACGACCGCCGCCTGGCCGTGGCATGGCCGAGCGTGTCTCCACGGACTCGCGCGGACCTCCTTGTTTGTATCATCCCCTTGCATGTCTACGATCTGTGCAGTCCCGATCACCGCGGTCTTTCCGACCGTCAAAGTGGGAGGCGCTCGCGATACACGACGGCTCACACGACGGCTCATCCAATCCGGGAGGTGACCGACTATCCTGCTTCGATCTAACAGATTGCGAAGTTCGCAAAAATCAGCGAGAACAGAAAAGGCTGAGAGGTAATTCAACAAAGGAAATCCGGCACCAAAATGAAAAGGGCCTGCTTCCCATCTCAAAGCGAACGAGGCGCACAGCTGCTGGGAGGTTGACGGCTCCCGACCCGATCTTACCGACGCCCATCCATCGGAAGAGCCTCCAGCTATCGCGAAGAAGGGTCAGCCAAGCAGGACATGCACACTGCCATCGGGCCGGATAGGCGACACCGGATAATCAGACCTAGATCAGCAAAGATCTGCCGGTGACAGCGCGCGCTAGCCGTAGGATGGTGACGGCTGACACTGCCATTTGTTTGCAGCCGGCAGCTACAGAACTCTAGAGTCCGAGACACAAGAGGGACAGCCTCTCCGGATCCCCAGAAAGCTGGCGTGGCTGCGCTGAGGAGGTGGCGGAATTACGGCTCTGAGCCAGCTTCTGACGAGCAGCGAGTCGGAGTGCCGGTAAAATCGGATGGCAGTCGGCCTGGCTTCGCAACCGGTTGCCGGAGAGCTGCAGCATCGCGCAGCACTGCAGCTCAGCAGCTCAGCAGCTCAGCAGCTCAGCAGCGCGACAATCGAGCAGCTGCGAAAAAATCAACCGCAAATCCGCAGTGCCGACCGACCGTCCCCACACTGTCACTCCGCAAAAAGGCCTATTCTCGGCGAGCTGCATTGCAATACTCTCCGCACCCGAACCACGCAATTCTGAATGTTCAGGCGGCAACTAGAAGGATGGATTGCTCGTGACAACCTCACGCGGTGCCGACCGTGCTGCCTCTGCCCAAGGGGCCGTGACACATAGTGCCCGCCGTCATGGCCCAATGAAAAGCTCGTGATTCACTTTCCCCGCAACACTCCAGCCTGCTTCAAATACTCCACGCCCCCGGCGGACGATAGCGATCCTCTCTCCCTCTCCCCATCCATCCGTTTCTTTCCTCTTCGTAGATTCCATCATGGCCCCCCAAATCATCAAGGCGCGCGAGGCCGATCCGCCGCGCGTCCAGCGCGGCAACCTCTTCGACTTTCTCTACAGCAATCCCAACAAGGTCGACGAGAACAAGGCGGCATATATCCGACTCGACGGCAAGAAGACCACGCGCAAGCAGCTGCACGACGACTCGCGTCGACTCGCCTATGCGCTGCGACACAAACTCGGCCTCCAGCCCGGCTCGAGGGTGGGCATCTTCTCGCCCAACAGCACCGCATATCCGTGGATCGTCCATGCCGGTCTCTGCGCAGGCGTGGTGCTCGTGCCCATGAACGCCGCGTACGGCGCCGAGGAGCTCGTGCATCCCGTCCACGACGCCGAGATCGAGTACATCTTCTGCCACCAGAGCGTGCTCAGCACCGCACGCGAAGGTCTCGAACTCGCCAAGCTCGGCCCCAAGTCAAAAAACGGCCAGAACCGTCTCTGGATCCTCGACGACGGCGACAGCCTCAAGAAGGGCGACAAGGGCGAGGTCGACGCACGCACGCTCCTCGGCGACGGCAGGCTCGACACGCACAAGGTGGTCGACGACCGCACCGAGGATGCCTTTGTCGTCTACTCGAGCGGCACCAGCGGCAAGCCCAAGGGCGTCCAGCTCGTGCACGGCAACCTCACCGCCGTCACCACCGCCATCGTCTCCACGTTTGGCGACGCCATCGGGCCCAACGACCGCTACGTGGGCGTGCTGCCGTCGTTCCATATCTTTGGCCTCGCCAAGCACATGTTCAAGAGCATCTACATTGGCGCCGAGTGCATCGTCGTGCCGCGCTTCGACCTCGACGTCTTCTGCTCCGCCGTCGAGAAATTCCAGTGCAACATCAGCTACGTCGTGCCGCCCATCCTCGTGCTGCTCGCCAAGGACCCGCGCGCCAAAAAGTACAACCTCAAGAGCCTCAAGTGGGTCATGTCCGGCGCCGCGCCGCTCGGCACCGAGCTCAGCCTCGAGGTCGAGGCCGCCCATCCCGGTCTGCGCGTCACGCAGGGCTGGGGCCTCAGCGAGACCTCGCCCACCGCCACTTTCGCCAGGCCGGACGAATACCACGACCACATGGGCAGCTGCGGCCGTCTGCTCGCCGGCGTCGAGGGGCGTCTGGTCGACGATGACGGCAACGACGTCGGACACGAGCAGGGCGACAACGGCAAGCCGGGCGAGTTCTGGGTGCGTGGGCCCACCATCATGAAGGGCTACCTCAACAACAAGGCGGCGACGGACGACTGCATCACCGAGGACGGCTGGTTCAAGACGGGCGACGTGGCCATCATGAAGGACGGCTTCTTCTGGATCGTCGACCGCAAGAAGGAGCTCATCAAGTACAAGGGCTTCCAGGTGCCGCCCGCCGAGCTCGAGGCCACGCTGCTCTCGCATCCCAAGATCGCCGATGTGGCCGTGATCGGCGTGCACGACAAGGCGCAGGCGACCGAGCTGCCGCGCGCGTACGTCGTGCTTAAAGAGGAGGTGGCGCAGAAGGAGAACGCGGAGCAGGTCGCCAAGGAGATCATCGAGTGGACCGCATCCAAGGTCGCCAACCACAAGAAGCTGCGCGGCGGCGTGAGGATCATGGAGGTGATTCCCAAGAGCCCGTCGGGCAAGATCCTGCGTCGCTTGCTGCGTGACGAGGCGGCCAAGGAGGGCAACTAGTCGTTGATCCAGGGGAGCAGGGCTGCTGCATCTACTACATCCACATAGAACACTCAAAAATATGATCTAGGCACACAAACGTCGTCCGGTGCTGAGCAGCCATTGCGCACCGCGCGGGGGGAATGAGCTGGGAGAATGGGAAGCGGGCGCAGGGGATGAGAGGGTGGATTCTTGTATCATACTGGGTCCGGGATGGAAAGCCGGGGCTCGTCGGTGCCTCATGTCAGCGTATTCGGGCGGTTGGGACGGGCCGCGGCGATGCACCACGCACCTGCACCGGCGAGATTTCCGCGGCTGCGCACGGGCATGATTTCAACTCACATACAAAAAGTCGCCGGCCTGAACTGCGCACACGCTCTCCACCCCACATCGACCTAGCCTACCGCAGCATACACGATGGTGGAAGGGATCACGTACGAGCACTTTCCCTGCGGGGTGCATACCGCACGTATTCCTGGCCGAGCGCCTAGCGTAGTGATGCTGGGCAGCATGCATGCTGGGTCGCGGGGATTGGCGACCAACCTGGCTGAAGAGGGGTACGAGGTGGTGTTGGTGGATACCACGCCTGGATCTGCATCGCTGTCCGCACTGCGCACGCCGCCCACACACGGAGAGTGGGTATCCGACGGTGACCTGCGCGAGACAAACGGCTGGGCAATGGCAACAAATGTGCTTGCGCTCATCGACAACGCGGGTGGGTGGAACCGGTATACGGCACTGCTGACGTTGGGGTTGGAACAAGACGATGCGGATGTGGTTGCGGCTTTGCAGGCCGAGACGTCGCGCAAGGGTGGGTTGGCAGCGTACGTGGCGTATGGATCGCAGCTGCAGCCAGCTCAGGCAGTCGAGGCGGCAAAGCGAACCATCGATGCGGGGCTACCGTTCACCGCGCATGTGGCTGAAGATGCACAGCTGGTGGATGCGCTTGTACAAGCAGCCAAGTCGGGCGACATCCCTCAATCGGCCCTACCCTTCCATCCCGAGCTGGATGCGTTTACCGCTGAGTTGGGACCGGTACGACCCAAGACATTGTCGGTGTTTACGTATGCAGTACCGGACGAGGCGTCGGTATGGGCGTGTGCATTCCCCTTTTCACACCACACCAAGGACTACGCCTTCAGCACCGGCATGCAAGATTCGCACCGAAGTGCTGCAGCAATGAGCTACTCACGCACCGTGGCGACGCTCAAGGCTGCCATGGGACCGCGCTTCCCGCTCGAACAGCTGTGGGATCAACATACGTACTTTGAATTCGCCACGCGATCCGCTGCACGCACCATGCGCACCATGGTCGCCGAACCTTATGTCAACCACATCGCCTGCCTCACCGGCGGAGCGGGTTATACTCAGTTGGCTCGATTCTACCAACACCATTTCACCAATGCCTCGCCTCCCGATACAACGCTCGTGCCGATTTCGAGGACGATTGGCGCCGATAGGATTATCGACGAAATGGTCTTTAGCTGCACCCACACCACCGTCATCGACTACTTCCTCCCCGGCGTACCCCCCACCGGTAAGAAGTTGAGGATCCCCATGGTCGGAATCGTCAATATGCGTGGTGATAAGCTCGCCTACGAAAGTCTTTATTGGGACCAGGCTAATACCCTCACCCAACTCGGCCTCCTCCATCCAACAAAGAGCTCGCTCGACCCCACCGTCACCCTGCCCATTGCGGGGGACCAAGTCGCCCAGAAAATTCTGCATCCCTACGGTACCCCCTCGAACGAGCTCATGCCCAACTGGCCCGAGAGCGAAAACAAACCCGTCCCCTCGGATCCCTAGCTTTTCTATAATGTCCACTGCAAAAATAGCATCTTGTTCATTACCTACACGTCTGGAAAAACAATGGCGCCAAGCAAAAGCGGGTGGAGGCAGTTGCGCGCGCGCGCTCACTTGGAGTCGGGCTGGTTCCAGGAGAGGTAGCTCATGTCGCCGAGCTTCCTGGGCTTGATCAGATGGCGCGCGGTAAAGATGAGTCCGAGCAGCACCGAGAGCGCGGCGACGGCGATGAACGAGAGCCCCAGGAACGGATTGCGCCCGCCGACCCAGGACGAGGTGCTAAACACGACGCTCTTGGTGCCGTCAAACATGCTGACGGGATAGTTGTCGACGACCTGCAGCAGATACCGTCCCGGCTCCATGGCAGCCGTGTCGTTGCGCTTGTACAGCTTGCGGAAGGTGGGCAGACCGGCGACGCGCATCCACACCATGAAGTGCTCGTTCTCGCTCGGGTCGAACACCTGGCCGTCCGAGTAGCCGTTGGGGAAGCCAAACTCGCCCGTGGCGCCCTGCCAGAAGGGCGGCGGGACGATCTGATCGGCGGCGTACTTTGACTTTTTGTACTTGTCCTTCTCTCCGGGCCAGACGATGTTCTTTTCGCTCATGACGTACGTCTGGTTGGCCGAGTCGGAGCCGGCGACGTTGAGCAGCACGGGGTTGCTGAAGGTGTCGTTGAAGACCGAGTTGGCGATGAGGCCGCACGGGTAGTAGATCTTGTTGGTGGCGGGGTCGACGTCGACGGGCTTGCAGGTGCCGCCCTTGATGGTGCCGTAGGCGACCGAGTCGCCCTTGAGCTGGTTCGAGTCGATGGACTTGACGTAGCGACGGTGGTTCTGGTAGTAGTTGGTGAGCTTGTAGTAGAGGAAGACGCTCGAGTCGAGACGGCTGGGCACGCTAAAGTAGAGGTTGCACGTCTTGGAGCCGGCGTCCCAGGACCAGGTGGGTGGCTGGAAGTTGCTCGTATTCTTGTCGTGCAGCTGGTAGTCGTACTTGCTCGAGGGGATCTGCGCCTGGGTTGGGGTTGCGGGCGCGGTGGAGCACTGTGTGTAGTCGAGGGTGAACTCGTTGACCTGCTCTGCAAAGTAGTAGAGCACGGCGCCGATGGGCGCAAAGATAAGCGCCACCAGGAAGAAGGTGGGGAGGACGGTGCGCGGCGTGAGAATGGGCTGCCATGCTTTCAAGCGCTGCTGCTTGAAGGCGGTGTTGGCGGGTTTGCGCTGTGCGAACTTGCGCAGACCCTTTGCGGACGATGCGTCGCTGTCGGCGTCGTTGGTGGAACCGTTGCGGACGGCGTCACCGGCGTCGGTAGCGCGCGCATTCCTCTTGAAGATGGCCATGGCGGCGGTGACTCTAGCACGCTCAGCCAGCTGCGAGTGGCTGCGGGGTAAGTTGAAGGATTTACGTTGAGCCAGTCCACTGAGTGCCGAGCTGCGGAAAGATTGCTGTTTGACAGTCGAAGCGATCTGTGATGGGGCGGCGATGTATCGGTGACGTCTCTGGGGTGATGGGCGTGGACAGAGAAGGAGGAGCGCCGCCAAAAGCTCAGCTGCAGACTGCGAGTGCGATTGCGTGATGGATGGAGGAAGTGAAGTGGGTGCGGGATGGAGCCGAGCGAGGATGAAGTCGAGGTAGTGATGCGCGTGCGAACGAAGGTTGTGTGAGGGCGACCCTGAGAGTGGTGTGGCAGCAGACAGGCAGCAGACGTGCATCACACCCACGGCCCGGCCTCGAAAATCCAGCCTCCCCTCTCTCAAAATCATCAACTCGAGCTGGCTGTGCGTTGGGCCGCGCGCGTGCCCGAGTTGCTGCTCAAAATGGATGATGCGCTTGGCTGTGCTTCGGCCTCCTCTCCTCCACGGAATCTCACTCCCGGATTGCAGTCAGCAGGCAGTCAGTAAAAAAAAACAATCCAAAAAATCCACAGCTGCAGCTCGGAAGACCAACAACATCCGCTTCTCGCTGGCGGCACGGCGCGTTGGCCCCTGAGTGTGAGTGTGGCCAGTCAAGTTGTGCTTCGCCCAAGCATCTCGGACTGAGCCTATGTGTTCATGCTCTTCGACTCGAAGGGTCCTAAGCCCGCTTCGGTACTCCTGTCCCTGAATGCTTGGCAGTTCCGACCGAATGTCCGCCTTGGCCCTGCAACCATAGAGAGAGCATGGCCACGCTGCAGCTGCATGTCGATCATGGCTATACGCTCAATGCCGACATATGTCTGGCTTGCATCCGATGCGCCTCTATCTGCGAGATCGAGATCGCGTACAGGTGATCCCGATCCCCCGATCCCCTCAGTCGGCGCTTTCAAGCTCCGCCCCGGGCGTTGGTGGCGCGGTTGGAACGTCGGCTGCTGCTCTGTCTCAGCTTTTTATGCTCAACCAGCAGCTGTCGTCGGCCGTGCAGATCCCTCACGCCAGCCGCACAAGCCTTTTTGCAACTCAGACGGCTGTCCGACGTTCGTGCAGCACTTCTCGCTCCTACTTCATATCACGCACTCCACCACCGCCACCACGTCCACCACCACTCCCACCACCTTTACGTGTCGCCATCGATACCATAGTCTGTGGCCTGTGCGGCGCTTCGCAGCTCTCCCAACACACCCTCACAAACACACACACACACTTGGGCACCTCCACGCAGACGTCTACAGGCTCGGCGTCTCGACCGCAACGCACATGTCGCCCACTCTCACACCACCACCAAACGCACCATCATGAGCTCGTCCCAGCCTCGCGCCGGCGACGCCTCCCTTCTCCACCTCCTCGATCCCAACGACCTTCTTCCAGGACACACCACAGCAGATCTATACAGCCTCCGCCACTTCACCCTTCGCGGCGGTCTGCCAGATTCCCCGAGCTGGCTTCGCGCGCAGGCCTGGAAGGTGCTCCTCGGCTACCTACCTCCCGAGAAGAAAGAATGGCCTTCAGTCCTCGCCAAGAGGCGCAAGGAGTACTATCAATTCCTGTCAGATCTCTCGCCATTGTCTTCGTCCACACAGCAGCCAGTCCCTCCTCACCAAACCACCAACAACGATAGACTGCTGGATCAGATCTACAAGGATGTCGTGCGATCTCGCAAGAACGGATTCGCCTTTTACCAAGCATCGCCCAGACCGAGCGCCTCGTGTCCCATCGTCCCCACACCGACTCCCGATGACAATCAGCCGGGTACGAGCCTTGGCCACGTGCAGAGGCTATCTGCCAAGGACAATCTGCTGCACCGCTTGGCCGCAATCAGCCCTGAATACAGGCAGCAGCTCATGCTCGAGCGCACAACATCCACCACCAGCAGCAGCTCGAATGGCTCCAGACCGCCTCCACACGTCTTGCACCTCAATTCCAGCTTAAGCGTCTCCACCGCTCTCAACTTGGCAGCCAATGGTGCTCCCGATTCCTCCTCAGAACCAATCAAAAGTCCGCCAATCGTGCTCTCGCCGCCATCTCCAGGTGGACTCTCACGCGAATCGTCACGGCAGTCCTTCACCTCGGCTGACGACGCTCTCCAAAGCTCAACACACGGCTCCCACCAAGACGCCGACAACGATCATGCCTCGAAAAGCGCTATCTTCGACGCAGGCACCCAGCCACAGGACACCATTCATGGCGAGCGCAATTGGCATTCGCTCGTGCGCATCCTCTACATCTTTGCACTCCTCAACCCAAGCATCGCGTACGTCCAGGGCATGAATGAGGCGCTCTTCATCCTCCTCTACGTGTTTGGTTCCGCACAATATCCTTCGGCGACCTCCGCGAGCATCGCACCCAGCACCTCGCAGCAAAGCATCGCCGCAGCCGACGGAGAAAGGCCGTGGGACAACGACGCCGACCTCGCCGACACCACGACGCATGCCGAGGCCGACGCATTCTGGTGCTTCTCCACCCTCGTCGGCGAGATGCGCGAGCTCTACGACTTTGAGCGCGTCGAGCAGCAGAGCCGTGCAGGCGCACCGCTCGTCGCCGACCACCAGCCCTCGCAGACCGGCATGGCGGGGGCACTGCTGCGCTTCAGCCTGCGCATCAAGTGGCTCGATCCGCCACTCTGGCGCGATCTGCGCGCATCCAGCCTTGACCCCAGGCTGCCCTACTACTCGCTCCGCTGGCTCGCGTGCCTGCTCAGCACCGAGCTCTCGCTCCCCTCGGTGCTCAGGATCTGGGACGCGCTGCTGGCAGAGCAGGACTCAAACAGCGTCTCGGGCTCGGCCAAGATCGAGTTCCTGATCGACGTGTGTGCGTCGATGATCCTGCACATCAAGCCGCTGCTGCCCAGCAGCGGCGATGGGCACCAGCTCGAGTCCGACGGCTTCTCGGCTGGCATGCGTGTGCTCCAGGCGTATCCAGATGACGATATTGCGCCGGTAGTCGAGGCAGCGACACTGGTCAGACAGCGTCGCCTGGCGGCGGACCTGACCGGTGATGGGCCGCCCACCGAGCTGGACGACGGCGACGACTCAAATGCGACGCTGGCAGCTGTCAAGGCGAGGGCGGCGCAGGCTTGGCGCGAGTGGAAGAGCCCCACGCCCAGCAGCCCTGCGACACCCAGCCGCACCGTCCCGAAGGCGGACAGCGGTACGCCAACGACGAAAGGCGGCTGGCTCGTGTCTCGGGCGCGGGCGCGGCCGAGCCTGAGCGCCGAGGATGCCGACACCTCGACCACGAGCAGCGCCGACGGCGACACGTCCGACGTGTCCACCGCATCCAAGGGCTCCTTCAGCGGCTTTCTGGCCAAGTACGCCGAGGCGATGCAGAGCAGCGATGCGGCCGCCAATCTGTCCAAGGCGAGCACGAACCTGACCGCCAAGGCGCTCGCGCGCTTCGGTGACCGCTCGAGCCGCGAGTCGACGCCCGAGGCCTCGGTGCCGCACCAGCGCTACGGCTCGCTCGGCCGCGGTCTGCCGCTGAGCCCTCCGCCGTCCGAGTCGGGCGCGGGCGACTCGCGTGTGGCCACGATCGGCGCGATAGGAGCGAACTTTTTCGGCCGCAAGCGCACCAACACCGTCGAAGGCAGGTCGCAGTCGGCGGCGTTCCACTCGCCGCGCACGCCGGATATGACGCGCTGGTCGCGCGATACCATGCCGGACTTCCCGCTGCCGAACGTCTCGGACAGCCCGGCGGGGCGCATGGACTATGTCAACGCTTTCGGCAAACGCCTTAGCGTTGCGGCGAATGGCCGGTCCATGGCTTCGCCCGCTTCGTCGGTGGCGGGCGACGACAGTGGTGAGCGGCGCGCGAGCGAGAGTGCCGGCTCGGTGGCGCTGCCCAGCATGCGTGCTGCCGCGCGCATGGGCATCCTCCCCGCACGGTACCGCGAAGAGTCGGCAAGTCCACGTGCGGCAGTGGGGCCCAAGCCTTTGCTGCTCTCGCAGGCCGCGCGCCCACCGCGCGAGGGAAGCAGCGCCGGAACGCTCACGGTGGACGAGCCGTCGCGCAAGATCTCCTCGGGTCCCATGGGGCACAGCATGAGCAGGGAGAACAGCCACGAGACGAGGAGCAACACGTCGGCGTCGTTCAGTCGGCGCTCGTCGCGGTCCACCTCGGTGGCGGATAGTCGGCGCAGTTCGGTGGTCGATTTTGCAGACGCGGGCATGCCCGGGCTTGCAGAACCAGACACGCTGCCGCCACTGCCGAGTCTGACGGGCCAAAGTGCGGCGGCTACGCTTCCCTCGCGCTCGGGTAGCTTTGCCTCCGACGCAGGCCGACCGATTGTGCTCCAAGGTGGGGCCAAGGATGGCGTTGTTTCGGCGGGAGCATTTGCACGCGCGACCAAGGCTGAGGAGCGGCCCGAATTTGGCCAGGTGGCGAGTTCGTCCGATGTGCCGCTGGTGGCGGGCGCAAGCATCGGGCGCCCACGCGGGGCGAATCGCCAGCGCACCTCGAGCTCCACCGTCGAATCGGCCGTATCCACTTCCGGATCGCTCGGCAACAGGGTGTCGAATCGCAGCAGCCAGACGACGAATGCGGACGCCAGTGTGGGCCCCGTCCTCAATGAGGAGTTTGTCGACGAACCTAGTGGGATGGAAGATTGCAGTGCCGAAGAGTGGAGGCCTGGTCATGCAGTCGCGCTGACAGATGCCACTGAAGAAGCAGTGCGAAAGTACACGCTGACCGACCAACCAACGACCAAGGAGCCACCTTCTACAGCAGGGCTGGTTAGGACAAAACGCTACGTCAAGAACCGCCAAATGTCCACAGCGAGCACGGCTAGCACTGCCCGTCGTTCGGCTCTCCGCCTCTCAAATCGCTCGTCCATCGATCCCACCGCAAATGCAGAGGTTGAGGAAGCGGGTGTAGAAGCCGGCCTAGACTCGCTCGCTCTCAACGGTTCAGAACCCCCACGCGCACCTACGCCATCGACAGACCGCAGCACATTCATCTAGACCTCGGCTCCACCTTTTCGCTCTCTCGCAATCCCTTGCATTTTGTCGTTTTCATCATTGATTCAAGCTCCGAGTTCGTGGGCCTAGGCATCGGCTGAGCCGAGTGCGCGACTGAGACGACGCGAGGCAAAGCGGCCGATGCTGCCGATGCTTCCGACGACCGAGGTGTCGTGCGCGTCCTGCGTCTGGTAGCGCGGGGTCTGGCGCGGGGTGCCCATGTCTTCGAGCACCGAGCGGCGCGCCGGCGACCCAAGTTGCTCCTCCGACGGCCGCTTGATGTGGCGAGGCGGTCGCGGAGGCGGCTGCGGCTTCGAGAGTGATGTGCTGGGATCGGCAGACTCGGTATGCATCATCGTGTGGCGCCGCTGTGGGACGCCGTCGCCGGGCCGCAGCGTGTCGAGCTGAGACGCGAGTGCGTCGACGATGCGCGAGCCGCGCGTACCATGCACCCGATCCGTCCGCAGCTCTGAGCCGAGTCGCACCGTCTCCTGGCTCGGCGAGAGAGCGTCACCGCTCGCGATGCGGCCAAACTCGTCGGTGACGCCGTTCAGACCCAGCTCGCCAATGGTGCTGCCGTCGCTCTCGGTCTGCGATGGGAGGCGCACGCCATTGCCCAGCGCCTCTGGGCTCGAGGCTTCGACGCTCGACGCCGACGCGGTGGATGCCGCCGATGCCGGCTGACCCGAGGCAGTGGCATTCGAGATCGAAGGATTGCTCAGTCGCGGTCGGCGCGGCGTGAATGCCAGCGGCGCTCGGGTAGTGCCAGTAGCGCCTGCACTTGCTCCTGGTGCCATCTGCGGCGCTTCACTCGCAGGGAATGGCCGGCCGATGGTACTGCGTCTGGACGCCAGCGGCGAGTCCTGCGACCCTTCCTTCGGCAGCTGAAGACGTTCCACGCGCCGCTGTGCCGCTGCGGAAGACGGCGACAGCTCGGACGTTGACCTGGCATGGTTCGTCGAATGTCCCAGCGACGTCATCGACCGGATCTGCGACGCGGTCAGCATGTTGCCGCGCTCTGCACTGCCCGTCCCGCGGGAAGACTTGGCCTGCAGGGAAGGCGAGTCGGTATGCAGACTCGAACCTGGCCGCATCGAAGACTTTGCTCGACGCAGCAGATGTGCATCCGAACCTGCTTCAGCAACTCCAGCGCCGATGCGCGAGAATGGACGCGGAGAGTGTCCGATCTCGACGAGCGCCTGATTGAACTGTGCCTGGCGCCCTTTTTCCGTGCGATCGAGCAAGAAGAGCAGGTCCTGGATGGCGCGCGCCTGCTCGAGGACGAGCTTGTTGACAAATGCCAGCCCTTCGTCCAGCTGGCCGAATGCCTCGGTAGCTCCGTCTCCCGGCTGGCCAAGCAGGTGCTGTTCAGTGGCGATCGGGTGCAACGCCGACAGCTCGGCCCACATCGTAGATGTGCCTCTGACAATCGCCCCGAGCAGCTCTACCGTTCGAGTGGTGTGGGGCCCTGCCGCGATTCCTGCTTCTGCGTCGACCGGCGCCTTGTTGTAAAGCGCCTCGTACTGAGCTAGACGGACGGCGAGGTTGCGGATCGGTGCCGGCTCTTCCACTTGTGGTGCATGTCTATCCCCTGCAAAATGGTTCTCGTGAGCCGTACCCATAGCCGTTGCGCTTCGTTGTGGTACGCCAAGACGCTGACTCGTGGCGGCGCGTAGAGCGACGAGGTCGTGGAGGCGCTGAGCCGTGTCGGACGAATGGGCCGGATCGGCCGAGGGCCAGGAGCGATCATAGCGAGACGGCTGAGGGTCTGTTGAAGGATGCTGTGGCAGGTACGGAGATCGGAGAGCGTCAACCGGCGACCTGTGCAGGCCGAGCACCGACTGGGCGCGTACCGAGCCCAACGGCGGCGACCTGAGATCCAGCGACGACCGTGCGGGAGCCAGCTGCGCGTGAGCTCGCATCGAGGCAGATGCGGGCGGGCGCTTGGCAAAGACGGGACCTCCACGCCCGACAGCCAGGTTCCCAATCTGGTGACGGAGTGTGTCCATAGCTGCGTCGTCCGCGCGCTTATGATGACTGTACAATGCTCTCGACCGGTCAGAGGAGGTGGTCAAGGAGGAGGAAGCCTCGGTTTTGATTGATGGACTGTACGCGCGCGCGCCTCCCGCTGCCGTTGCTGGGCTAGGCGCATCGTCGGAGAAGAGGTCGGGGCCGTGTTGTCGGCGCATACCGACGCGAGAGGCGGCGCGATGCAGCTCCGATGCGCTGCTCGACGACTTCTGGGAGCGGTTGGAGGAGGTGGAGGAGAGTTTGCGCGCGCGAGCCTCTTCGCTGGGCGAGCCCATATCAGAAGGATGCGGCGTGCGACGCGCGGAGCTGGATGGCGTGCTGTGCTGGGATGCGCGGTGGAGGTAGCGTTGTGCCGAGCCGGAGTCGACCGAAATGCGGCTGCGTTGAGTGCCGAGACGTCCCTCGTAGTCCGCCGGCGAGGCTTCTTCAGCCGCCGCATCCGAAGCGTATCGCCGACGTCTGGGTGATGTGTACGCATGCGTGCGTGGTGCCGCGCCTTCCTCGCGAATCTCGTTCAAGCTGTCACGTCTTGTGGAAAGAGGACTGTGCGGCACAGAACCGCCTTGAGACTCTCGGGAGGATTTGGCGTCAGAGACCAACTCTTCGCGCTCTTCGCTCCCAGCCGAGTCGTCTGGCTCGCTGGTTTGGCGCTGGTGTGCAGCACGGTAGGCTCGGCGGATCTCCTTGTCTGGCAAACGGAACTCGGCAGGCATAGGGCTGCGACTCGAAGACGCCAGGCTCGGCGACGCTCGATCGTCAAGGGAGCGTCGTGCTGAGGCGCGTCCCGACGTCCTGGCCAGTCTCCTGACTGAGCCGGACGAAGTGTCACCGATATCGGCGTAGCGCGAGGATCTGGCCGAGAATGGCGTGGAAGGCGAGGCAGCACCGTCTCGGCGCGTGTGGGTGCGCGACCCGGACCTTGCCTGCTCAAGTCCGTGTGCTTCGGCGTCGTCGAAGCGAGAGGAAGCGACGGAGAGAGAGGTGGATTTGCGCGGAGAGTACTTGTGAGGTGTGGTGCGCGGGAAAGGATGCCTTTGGTCTGCTTCGTCGTCGTGACCGGCGGGGCCGTCATTGTCGCCGCGATCAAAAGCCATGCGGGACTCGGAGCGGATCTGCGTGACATCGCGCAGATGCATGTCGCTTCGATGCGGTCTCCTCTCGCCGGGCGAGTTGACAGAGTCGGCGCGTGCAGACAGGGAGGAGGAGGCGCGAGGGGCGTGTGGAGACGTGCTGGACTGCCTGGAGGCCGAGCGGGTTCTATCGTCTGTGTCGTCCAAGACGGGTGCGTTGGACCCATTAAGGCGTGCGGAAGACATGGCGTCCGAGTCGTTCGTCATCGTCGGATGGATGCGCGATAGGTGAGTTCGGAATGTGCCGCTACCAGGCTGCTGCGGACTGGTGGCAGCCAGGGTGGCGCTCCCGTCGGTGTTGGTGGTGGTGGTGTGGGAGGAGGCGACAGAGGGAGAGCGCGACTCAGCAGACGTCAGGCGGGTGTGACGCGGCTGCAGGTGCTGCGACGAGACGGATTTGCGGCTGGACGGTACCTCAACGCGGAGCAGCGCGTCGTTCGGGTCCTTGCGGGCGCGTCCGTCGCTTCCGCTCAGACTGATTGTCGGTTCGCTGTGCGGTGGCGTGGGAATGCCGCAGGGCCTTGAGTCGGGCCTGCCGACCGACTGCGTAGAGTATTGATCCGATCGGAAGCGGATTGCGTCGAAGTTGGACCTAGAGCCAGCGGGCTGCATCGATCAGAGCTGCAGGGGTCTCCGATTTTAAGCTTTACCTCGCTGAGCTTGTTCAAAAGCTAGACCGAGGAGAGTCGACACGGCCACGGCCTATGCGAGACGACGAAGCTCCGTTGGGCGGACGCAGCTGGCAGATCACCAACCTTGCGCAAGGCGATGAATGCTGTGCGTGAGCGTCTTGATGGATAAGTCTGGAAAGCGTTAGTTCCGGATAGTTGCGGTGCGGCTCCAGGCTGCAAATACACTCGCGAGCGGAAGGACCGCGTCCAGAAAGACGACGACGGCGGCCAGCGATGCGTCGGATGGACCGATGTTGGTGACGAGAAGTGACAACGCATCTGCTGGCCTGCGGACGGTGTTGGAGTGCATATTTTCATGGAGAGGTCTCCGACTTCCGCGCCCCTTTCCTCTCGCGTTACGGCTGGACCCTCTCTCGCCTATGTCGGGGGCGCGAATGAATTTACCGGCAGGGCCGATACCGCTTGCTCCCCTCGCTTGCATCCGATATCCGCTTTCGTGTGTCGGCTTGTGCTCTCGTTCCCTTCCCTTCCGACCGCTGACGGCGTCCCAGACTATGTTCAACAAGCGGAAGGCCCCCGACAGCCCCAGTAGCTCTACGACTAACTAACGCCTTCCTTCCGCGTGCACGAGCCTCTCTCGCCTCGCAGCCTCATGCAGGAGAATGAAGTCGGCGCTAGGCAGTTCGCGCGACGCGTTGAATTTTGAGGGGTGGGAACTCGATGTCACGAAACCTAACAAGGTCCAAAATTGGGCTGGAGAGAGCTGCGATTGTGACAGACACATGTGGAGAAGGCGCAGCAGCATGGACCCTGAGCTGAGTGGGTGCTGGGGCCCACGCAGCCACTCGCCGTTCCTCAAGACGGCCGACTTGAAGCTCGGCACACCTTATCTCGGGCCTCCTCCAGCTCCAAGATCACATCGGCATCGCCTCCCCCCTTCAGCAGCTTTGCGAACGGCGCTGCAGCTCCTTTTTCGTCCATCCGTCTCTCAAAGCGGGTGATGGAAGAGCCTGCTTCGCCTAGCCACACCACACCGAGCATGTGCCACAGTCGGTGAACGCACAAGCTCCGGGCCTCCCGTCGTTGGCCGCGATGGCATCATACTTTCTGCCTTCCTTTCTCACCGGCTGGGAGCTGCCCTCCGTATCAGCCTTCTCGCTCTCGGCCAATCTGCAAAAGAGGATTCTTTCGTATCTCCTCAAGAGGACGCTCGGTCACTTTGTCGATGGAGGCCAGCTCGACCCGACTCAGCTCGACGCAGGCATTGGAAGCGGCAGGATCGAGATCCGCGACATCGAACTAGATGCAGCTGCACTGAACCAGCGCCTCGCCTCCCTCCCGGTCTCCGTCGCATCCGGCCGCATCGCAAGGATCCTCATCCAGCTTCCCGTGCCCAATTTCTGGAGTGGCGAGCTTTCCGTGCTGGTCTCTGGCATCTCTATACGTCTGGAGCCCTCGCTTTTCGAAGCGCCATCCTCAGACTCCTTCGCGGAGGGCCTTGCTGCCTCCTTTGCCAGTGCAGCCAGCGAGATCCTCTTCGAAGATGAAGAGGCAAAGGATCTCGAAGAGTCCATCCATCAATCCATCTCTGCAGACACGCCAGCCGATGCCCATAAGGCCGACGACGACCAACCAGGGTCTCTGATCGCATCATATATCGAGGCTCTCCTCACACGACTCAAGATCACGGTCGAGAATGTCGATATTGCGCTTGTTTCTGACGATGTCGAGCTTTCAATCCGTCTCCAGAGTGCAAACGTGCACAGCTCCAACACCCGCAGCGAACGAGCCCCAGACGAGCCGCTCAACGTCGAGGCTGTAAAGTCAGATGTATCTAGCTCATCAACGGCCCCCCTACCAAGTCTCTTCAGCGACACTACGAGGACGCTTCAGCTCCTTGGCCTCGAAGTGTGGCTCCAAGATCGTCGCAACGTTGGCACCGGCGACGAACGGGATTCTTCATCTTCCTCAGACACATCGGCTGAGGATGATTCTCAAGAGGAGGGGCGCTTACCGAACATGAACATGGACCAATCTATAGCATCCCTTCAAGAATCATCTGCCAGCCTATACCAGAGCGCCATCGAAGAGGACACCACCTCAGCCGGTATCGCGGACCACGCAGACAGCAAGCGTTCGGATCTGGTCGACCGCACCGAGCCTCTGCGTCAGATAAACTCTACGCATCTCTTGTTCAGCATGGGCCAAGAGCCTGTCATCGTGACCTTGAAGACTGTCAAAGAGCGGCGACAAATCCAGGACGCGGGCGCCTCTTCCCGCCGCGCGGTTCAGCGCCTCGTCCGAACCACTACCAGCATGGACGTGCAGATCGGCAACGTCGCCTCCATCCTATTCATCGAACATCTAGGGCTTCTGATGATTCTCATGCGACGTCTTGCGCGCAGGTACGAACAAAGCAGCGATTTGCAAGCCTCTCCAACAGATCAGGTCAAACACTCGCGACCATCTTCACGCGCATCATCCGGCCGAAGCATCGACTTTGGCTGTCGTGTTAGCAGTGTGAACATCATACTGGGCTACGACGATGCGATCAAGGCAAGCGGCGTCATGGGTTCGATTCACGCTTTCTGGGCGCGGCCCTCCCGTTTCCACCCTGACTTTGGACACCTTCGCATGCGATGCGACGGGTTGGCCGTCGGGTTCAAAGGTAACGTAGGCAGCACCGCCCTTCCTTCCGGACCACCCAGCATCAATGTCACTGTCGATGATATCGGCGTGTTCGAGCATTTGCCAAGCAGCCTCTTCCAGCATGCACCCCCCGAAGCGTCGCGCGTCCTGCCTATCCTCCTACTGGATCCGAACCTCGTTCGCGCGAGCGAGTGGGATACGGCAGCTGGTAAGCATCCTCGCCATGATTACGCAAGAAGCACAGTCGATGTCTTCGACTGGCGCTATAGCGTTCCGCAGGCAACAGCCTACCAAGCCGCTTCAAGCTCGTCTCAAGACTCCCCCCGTGCCACGCGTTTCCGAGCCTCCGAGCCGCGATCCGCCTCATCCCAGGTGGGGCAGAGTCCTTACTACCGGGCGTCCTACGGGGAACGTGGATGGAAATTGAAATCATCGTCAAAGTCCAGCAACACCTCGCCGGGCCCTACTCCGGACCCCGCGCAGCCGTACGTCAGAGTCTCTGTGACGCCAGCATCAGCGCAAGGTCGTCGGGGTCATATCGTCGTATCTCTGGCTCCTGTCCATTGCTTTGTTGATGCGTCGCTGGTGACAAGGCTTTTGCCGGCGCTGCACAAATTCGCCGGTGCCCAGATTGCTGCTATGCAAGCAGAAGCCAGATCAAGCCGCTTTATGGATGGATCGATCGCGACACTAGCATCCAGCATCGCCACGCTTCAACCGTCGGCGTCGGATCTTCTCGACGACATGGCCTCCCAGTCGAACGCCGTGGAGCAGGGCGGATATGATCTCGATGTCAAGGTCAGCTTCGTGCGAACAGAGATCAGGACACCGCAAGTATCCTACAATGCTACCGCTCTCGCTGGATGGGACCTGCGCAGCGCGAGGCAATTTGGGCTCGACAAGCGAGCCGGCGTTTTGGTGGTTCAGGTACAGGATCTGGAGGTACGTTCTGGACCATCTTTGGAAGACAAGCCGCGCCAGAACGTCCGATTCGCTCAGCACCAGACATGGCCGCGTCCGGCAGACAAGGATGCGGTCATAACCGGCTGCATTTGCGCCAAAAAGGTCTCAGCCTTCCTCGGCCTACCTGCTGATACACGTGCGCTGGTACTGGTCTCCATGGATGCGCTCGATGCAGAGAAGGGTGCGAATGGCCCCTTTGCAGATTATGATGCGGGATCGCTTCCGCAGGTCCAATTCTCGCGCATCTCGATGGGACGAGTTCCCGCAGTGGGCTCATTGCCAAGTGACGAAGCGCAGAATCGCTGCAAGATCATTTTGCCTTCTGTCAAAGTCGAGCTCGGCAAGCGACAGCTCGATTCGCTCCAGTATATTGCAGATGACCTCACGCAGTTGGCGACTATCTGGGGCGCTGATGACCCGGATGACAACTCTGCTGATGCTGAAGGACTCAAAATCCTGGGCAGCCGCTTCTTTGGCAGTCGAGCGGGCATGTCGGTCATTTCCGCCAGCACCGACTCGACGGCAACCGCCACTGCCAGAGCTAACAACACCAACTCGTTGCTTCATGCCACCATCATTCGAGCTTCCATCCGCATCTGGCTCCCGCACCTGGAGGGTGGCGATGAAACCCTCGCAACAGGGGCAGGGAGTACGTCCAAGAGCCTCCTTTTGTTAGCCTCGGACTTTGAGGTCCTTCTGAACAGCGACAAAGTACGAAACACCACGCGCATTGAAGCTCGCGTTCCCGAGATGCAGCTCAGCGTAGAGGAGAGGATCTTGGCCGACCAGACCTCGAGCTCAGTGCTGGCAGCCCGCACAGCGGAAAGAGATCTCGACACACGCGGCCACGACAACATGCTAGTGCTCGTTCTCGAAGCTTACACCGAGCCGGGCACTAGCTATCGAGAACAGAACGTCGAGGTCGTGATCGGCGCGGTCAAACTGTCGCCCTGCTTCGACAAGGACCTTGTTCCGAGGGTGAAGCGGCTGCTGAAAGCTCCAGCAGGCGTGTTCGAGAATGTCGAGCCAAATGAAGTGACGCGCATCAGCTTCAAGGCCAAGGACTGCTCTGTATACGTGGCTCCTCCGGACACAGCACAGCGTGCCGTGCTGTCGATCGACGAAGCATCGGTCAAGACCAAGCTCACATCGCACGCGCCCAAGACTTCCGTCAAGCTGGCCGTGGCCAACGTAGACTTTTGGGCAATTGAGTCCGAAGCAGGCCTTGCCACAAAGGGCTCTTCAGTACCACAACGGGCCTCACAGTATTGGGCCCACCGAGGGTTTGCCCGCGTTCTCCACGTTTCAGAGTCGAAGGGCAGCATCCATCTCACGTCCATGACTCGGCCGGAGGTGGATGTGAGGATCACCAAACTTCGCGTCAAGGTACAGATGGCAGCCGATACCCTGGAAGTGGTCACGGGCATCGCTGGCTCAATCTCGTCTCTGTCGACGCCCTCGTCTGCCCAAGCCAACGCAAAAGCAGGTTTCAAGGCTTCACCAAGGCTTCACAATATCGAAGACCAGCAGCTTCACCCGCAGTCATCAGCGTCAAGTCCAACGACGCCATCCGACGGCCACTTTGACAAGATGGCTGAATTGATGTCGGGAATCGAGGACGATGCGTACCGTCATGCGGTGCCTCTGCCCGTAGCTGTAGACCTCGTCGACGACGACGTGCCGTCCGACGCCACTTTCCTTGGGGCGAAAGGACGATACCATCCTGAAATCGTCGAGACGACGCTCGACGCCGACGAGTTTTTCGGTGGAGAATCCGTTGCTTCGTTGTCGCTGGCTGCGCCTCGGACGGACACCGTCATCTACGCGGATGACGATGTCACCGTGCGCCTTCTGGACCCGAAAGGCATCCGCCCCGTGCAGGGGTATTTCACAGACCCTCAACTGCGTCCGCAGGTAGAGTCTGCGCTAGGCCCAGCCGCAAGCTCGGTTCGTGTTCGCGTAAGCGATTTTGATATGTCGTTGCGTCTACACTCTGGTTACGACTGGGCAACGACGCGCCAGGCGGTGGAAAGCGAGGCCAAGTCGGTCAGAAGGCGGCTGCAGAAGATCAAGCAGCTGCTGGCTGACGGGCAGGTTCCGGACGACAGCGTCGAGGCGGCGACGAGCAATCTTCTCGACTCAGTCCATATCAGCCTACCGCAGCTTCCTTCGCAGATGGCACCTGAGGAGATGATGCAAGCTGTACAAGACGAGCTGGGCCACCACTCCGACTCTGACGACGATGACTCGGCCTCTTGGCAAACGCTGCCGGCTCCACGATCTGGACAGTCATCGTTGCAACCGTCTGCTCAACCAACGACGGCTACGCCTGACTCGGGTCGCCATGCCAAGTTGCAGCGCTCCGCACGCTCGCTGATCGACTTCAACTTCCGCGGCCTCGAGGTAGAATTCGACCAAGCCGATCCGTCACAGCCGAGCCACATTGCCTCGCGCATCGCCGTCACCGCGCGTCGCTTCGAGATCATCGACAACATCCGCACCTCGACATGGCAGACGTTCCTTACCGAGATGCGCGATCAGAATGCGGCCGTGCACCGCGATGCTGCGGGCAAGATGGTGCGAGTCGAATTGCTGAATGTGCGCCCGCAAGGCGGGGCAAATGCGGATGGGATCGCGTTTGAAACGCCCGAGGTCCGAATGCGCGCCAAGATCTCCCCTCTCCGTCTCCACGTCGACCAGGACGCACTCGACTTTTTGAAGAAGTTCTTCACCTTCAAACCGCCCGGACGCAAGACGGTGCCTGTCGAAGCGTCCGCTGGAACGGTGCTGCCGTTCATCCAGTTCGCCGAGGTGTTGCCGATCAAGATCAAGCTGGACTACAAGCCGAAGCGGGTGGATTACAATCTGCTGCGGCAGGGCAAGACGATCGAGATGATGAACTTCTTCCACTTTGAAGGCTCGGAGATGGTGTTGCGTCACATCACCTTGCGAGGGATCAGTGGATGGCCGAGGCTGTTTGATTCGCTCAACGACATTTGGACGCCGGATGTCAAGGCGAACCAGCTCGCAGACTTTTTGTCGGGCCTGGGTCCGATCAGGAGTTTGGTCAATGTGGGAGCCGGGTTGGCGGACCTGGTGCTGCTGCCGATCGAGCAGTATCACAAGGACGGTAGGGTGTTGAGGGGCGTTCAAAAGGGTGCGACGAGCTTTGCCAAGAGCACTGCGCTCGAGGCGGTCAAGCTGGGCGCTAGGCTGGCGACGGGGACGCAGGTCATCCTGGAGCAGGCCGAGCACATCCTGGGCGGAGAGCTGCCGGAAACGGTCACGGCTCGTGCGGTGGGGCCGGAGGGAGAGAAGCAGAGCTACGAATCGCTCAGCGAAAGCATCATGCTCGGATCCACTGCGGACGTGGGGGCTTCGTGGATGGGCCAAGCAGGCGATCAGGCCGATGGCGAGGTTCCGGCAGTCAGCAAGTACGCCATGCAGCCCGATGGGATGCGCGATGCGCTCACGCAGGCGTACAGCGGTCTCACCGAGGGACTCACCGCAGCAGCCCAAACCATCCTCGCCATCCCCATGGAGGTGTACGAGCCCGAGACGTCCGACCGATCCGGACCATCTACCGGCGCAACAGGAAGACCTATCGTCAAGGCAGTGCCCATCGCCATCCTGCGCGGCGCAAGGGGCGCCACCCACGCCATCGCAAAGACCATGCAGGGCGCCCAGGTCTCGCTCGGCGACTCGGAAAACGCGCGCGAGCGAAAGTACAAGCTGCCCACCTCCCGAACCGCCGCCCGTCGCCAAGGCTAGGATATTCACATCGACCTCAACTTCGCTCTTTTCGATTGAATCAAACAAACAGCATTGAATTCCCTTGAATGTAACTTGCAGTGCCAGATGATGCGGTCTCTCTACACGAATGTCGCGTGCGCGCTCAGTTCTTGGCCTTGGAGACGTAGCTCGAGACGAGGAAGCTGATGGCGTTTTCGGCGGCCTTGACGCCCTGGACGAACTGGGCGTTGTACGCGGCGCGGTCGGACGTCTTGAAGCGGCCGGCGTCAAGGTAGGCCTTGAACGTGTCCTGCTGGTACTGGGTGGCGAAGCCGAGGCGCGAGAGCGAGTCGGTCGACGCAGCCAGGATGCGCGAGGTGTAGAAGCCGTCCGAGAAGCCGCGGTCGGAGACGCTCGCGTTGGTGGCGGCACGTCGCTCCTGCTGCACAACGCGGGCGGCGCGCGAGGCGAAGCCGCCGACTCCGCGGGCGGCTACAGCACTCTCGGCGGCGTCGGCAGCTGCGGGCGTGAAGAGCGAGTTTCCGAAACCGTTGGGGCCGACCAGGGTGAACGGGTCCTCGTCCTCCTCACCGGCAACGACGAGGAAAGACTTGCCTGCGGTGGCCGAGGTGCCGTTGGTGGGGAGACGGACGCGGCTGATGTCGGTGCGCAGCGAGGCAAGAGGCGAGAGCTTGTCGCCCGTGGCGTTGGCGATCCCGGCGAGGGAAAGCTTCGACATGGGGATGCCCCACGACGAAAAGTTGCCAGACAGGAACTTGTTGGCAGCGCTCTGGAAGCACCAACCCGAATTCTGGTCACAGTTCTCCATCTTGTACGACCAGAAGGTCCAGCCTGCACCGGTGGTCTGCCAGATATCCTGTTGAGTCTGGCAGAACTCGGTCTGGTCCCTGTTCGGGTTCTGACTGCCCTGGATCGAGCTCCACGCCAGGGCGCACGACCATTCGCCGACGATGAGGTTGCGACGCGCCACAGCGGACTGCTGAACAAATTGGTTCATGATGGATCCGTCGAGCTTCGAGATGTGGCCCTGTGCCGACAGGGCCTGGTCCTGAGGGGTGTAGACGTAGTAGGCGTGGTGGTCCGAGACGACAAAGTCGGATCGCTTCTGGACGAATGCAGCGCCCTTTTCGAGGACGAAGGCATCGTGGAAATAGAGCGGAATGGTCTTGGCATACGGCGAGGCTGCGCGCATGGCGTCCATGGCGGTGGGCAGCCAGGTCCAGTAGCTGTCGCGGTTCTGGGGCTCGTTGAGCAGCTGGATGCCGATCACGTTGGTCACGTCCGAGATCTCGTTGGCGATCCAAACGAGAATCTCGGTGGTAAGGTTCTGATTCCACGAGTTGTACCATTGGATGTTGCCGTCGTTGAGACCCGAGTGGGCCTGGCCGTTTTGCGAGCCGTACGCGCCGTGCAGGTCGACGATGACGCCAATGTCGTACTTGGCGGCCCAGTTGATGGCACGTGCGACGTAGCGCCAACTGTACTCGTAGACAGAGCTGTACTGCTCAAAGGGACTGTAGTGGGTGAAGTAGGGTCCTACGGACCAGTAGCCGATGGGGAGGCGCACCGTATTGATACCCATCTGGGCGAGCTTCCTGAAGTCGTCTTCGGTGATCCAGGTGTCCCAGTGCTGCTCCATGTAAGCGCGGGCAGAAGAGAGACCGTCTCGCGAGGTGCCAAAGCCGTCGAGAATATCGAACTCGGCCTGTTTGGTGCCCGTGGCACACGACATGAAGCCACCCTCCATCCAGCCCTCCTGTACGAACCACGAGCCGAGGTTGACGCCCTGCTGCTGGCGGTATCGCATGATGGTCGCCTTGACCGGGTCAAAATCGGGGAATACGGGGGCTGGGAGCTTGTCCCAGCCGCCATTTGGCGTGTATCCGGCGGAATAGGGGCAGTTGCCTGGACCGACCGAGCGGGACGAGGCGAGCTTGCGACCGTCGGCGCTCGTGGTCTGGTTGGCAGCATCGACAGGGATGAAGAGAGTGGAAGGGACACCCCAGTCCGAAGTCTTGTGCGTTGCGGACCAGTCGGTGGTGGAACCGGTCTTCTGAACCTGGAACGAGTTACCCTTGCTGTTGAGGGCATTGCGACCCTGACCAGAACTGGCGATGGAGGTGCTCTGGTTGGCGGTGGGAAGCTGCGGGATGGGCTTGTAGTTTGCAGCCGCTAGGGAGAGGGCACTAGCGACCGTGTTGAGGCTTGTGTCACGTGGAAGGAGCCTCATGATCGAAAAGCTCTGTCGAGGTACGGGGAAGGTGTAAGAAAGAGTGTCGGGCTAGACGATGGATCTGAAGCCAGTCCAGATGCAAGGTCTTGGGAAAGAAGTCTACTGCGTCGGAAGAGGAAAGGAAAGGACAGAAAGGACGCAATAGCGAGGACCGGCCTCGGGAAGACGACAAAGGAGCAAAGAGAGTGAAGTGGATGATGGTGCAAGGACAAGGGGAACGGAAAGGACGCAGGGCGAGCGTTCGTCTGCTTTTAAAGGAGCCCGCGAGGAAGGCGCCAACTAAGCGAGAGCGGAAACCTGGACCAAGAAGGGAAAGAAGGCTGAGTCGGCCCCTCTCGCCACGCCCCAAGGAGCCGACAACGAACGAGGCGGGAGAAGGGCTGCCAAGAGGCGATGCATTCAACTTCTCCTGAAACCGACACTGCAGCGAGCGGCCGCCCTCCATCGGCTAAGCCGAGCGGGGCGCAATCCCGTCGAGACGCCAAGCGCCAATGCGGGCATGGTCATGCAGCTAGGCCAATGCAGAAGCAATTTTAAGGTCTAGACTGGTGTTGAGCATGCTTTTACTGTGTGAGTGAGCAACACAGTAGCCCGTCATGGTGATGCGGAGGGCGGATGCCCGAGGAGGGACAGGTGTTCAACATCCAAGCTCGAAGGGGCGGCAGCTGACAAGTGCTTGGCTTTCATTGCCCAGACCCTTACGATTCCGAGACACTTAGTGGGCGCTTCGCTTGTCCGAAATGTGTTAACCAGCAGAGTGACGCTGCTGCCTCGACGATCAAGGATGCGGTCCTGGCCACCAAGCTGACCATGCGGATCTTGGCAGAAGTTGACATGTCGCGCCCCTCCGTCAAAAGTCGCGCGAAGAATTCAGGCTGGGCTTTCCCGATCCCTCCACGGCCCCGATTTCCAAGTGTTGGTCTCAGCGCGCGCGTCGCTTCTTCCGAAAGCAGGCTAAAGCAAGGTGGCCTTTCGGGTATGCCCACGCCACGCACAGAGAGTGCGCCACGAAGCCTAGCCTGTGATTCGCGGATGGCCAGTTCCGGGTCGGGCCGCCTTTTGATTGTGATTGCTCGGTGGCAGCGCTTTTGTGTGCCTGGTCTGGCCCCTTTGTGACGTTTTGGGCGTGGGAAGCGACACGCACGCACGCACACATGATGGCCAAAAAATGCCCCGGTCTGCTGCCCGAAATCACCGGTCGGCTCTCCCACCGCCTTTCGTTCGGCACACTTCTTTCCGCCTCGTTAGCGCTTGGGCCTGCGATGAGTCGCGAGACAGCTCAGGACCTTCTCCACACGGCTCACTCGAGCGAGGCGGCCAGGGCGCTATCGGACCCTGAATCATCATGCGGATGAAAAGGGCCCTCCGTTTCGGCTTAGCTTGCAGACCTCCACGCTAGCACGTATCTTGCTCTTACACCTTGAACGTCCGTCGTCGTCGCTCGGAAGCCTTCCGATCGATCCCTTCTCTGGTCTCACAGAGACCGTCAACTCTGTCATTCCAGCATGGCTTCCGCGCTCTCCGGAGCCATCTCTGTGCTCATCCTCGGCGGTACCACACACTTGTCGCGGCCGCTACTCAAGTGGCTCCTTGACCCAGCTCAGGACGCTGCTAGGTCCAGTGTCGAGATCAAGCATATCCGGCTCGCCGACAAGTTCCTGATCTCCAACGGCACCAGCACTACCTACATCGAGCCAGACACATGGGAGGCACTCAAGGACCCGCGCGTCGAGTATCGCCAAGTCAACCTCAACCTCGCTCCCAGCCTTTCCAAGGTGTATGACCATCCCGATGGCGACTCGTACGATGTCGTCTTTGATTTTACCGGCGAGGGCGTTGGGCAGGCCGACGTGCCCGAGGAGCTGCTGATCGAGCGCACCGCCAAGCTCGCCCACTCGATCGCAGCCGAGTCGCTGCGCAGGAATGTCAAGGCGCACATCCGCGACACGGTCGCCTTTCTCACCATTGACCCGAGCTCGCCGCCCGCTACCGAGGCCGACGTTGTCAAGCCGAAGACGCCACGCGCCTACTGGTGGTACGAAGCCGAACGCGCCGCCGCCAGCGTGCCTGGCCTGCCACTCGCCATCACGCGCTCCGCCGAAGTGGTGGGTCCGTACGTCTTTCACGCTTCGATACCGTCTCGCTACGCACTGGGCAGGGTGTACGCGCATCTCAACGAGACGTACAAGCTGCTCTGGGGACCGGATCTGCGTGTGCACACGATCCACGTCGACGACTGGTGTCCGGCCGCGTGGAAGCTGGTCGAGTTCATTTCGTCGCGTTCGCGCGCCGAGGCAGATGAACAGGCGGGCGAGGCGCTTCCGCCCGTGCGGATGAAGGACAAGCTGCAGGACTCGTTGCGCGAAAACGTCGGCGAAGAGTGCTGTCCGCGCACACTCACTCCGCGCGCCCCCGTGTTCAACCTGGTCGACGATACCGATCTGACGCAGGGAAAGCTGCTGCGCATGATTGGCGAAGCGTTTGGCATCCAGACGGGCTTCACCAACGCCGTGATCAATGCGTGGGCGCGCGTGGACCTGGCCAGCATCGTGGACGACATCAACGAAAAGCACGCCAACGCAGTTGCCGAGATCGTGCAGCAGACGGGCATCGAAGATGTGGCGCTCAAGGGGTGGATCGACACCGAGATGCTGGCGAATCGATCGCTCGCACTGAGCAACGCAAAGGCAAAGCGCGTGCTCCAATGGCAGCCGAAAGTGCAAGTCAACCGACAGAGGCTCGACGAGATCTTGGATAGGATCCGAGAGCTGAATCAGTTCCCCAAGTGATCCCGTCCGCATATTGTCATTCGCATGTCGTTGTGTCGCAAAGAAAAGCATTGCATTCGTGTTCGTATCGGCGTGTGTGCCGGTTTAAGGGTATAGTTGTGTGGATCAAGTGGCGTTACTTGCCAAGATCCCATTCGCGCACTTTGGGCGGTGACGGTGCTGGTGGTGGGGAGGCAGACCACTTGCGTGAGCGCGACTTGTGTTCCGACTTGCGGTCGCTCGAGCGCCGGCTGGTGTGGCTGCGTCTGTGGTGGCGGTGGTCGTCGTCGGATGCGCCGTCGTCTGGATGCGAGCGGCCGCCCCTGGATTGCTCCGATCGCTCCGATCGTTCGGATCGGCTGGACCGAAGGGAGCGGTGAGAGCTGTGGCCGTGTCCATCTCGCGCTGAAGCGCGTTCTTTGTCGTGTCGTCGCTTGTTGCTACTCGACTGCCTGTCTTCTTTCCGTTCCGACCGTCGCTGCCTCTGCCTTGACTCCAAATCCGGATCGGGCTCTTCAAAGTACTTGTCCATCTTGCTCGACATTTCTTCCCCGAACCTCTCCAGCTGTACATCCGATCTACCAGAGCGGGCTTTCTCTTCAGGATCGCGTTCGTCATCTGACCAGCCTCGCATCTTTGACGATCCGGATCTTTCCGCACGGCTGGACGGAGCAGACCGTTGCTCGGATCGCTGCTGCTGGCGCCTAAGCGCACTGTTGTGGCCCTCGACATTGCGGATGATGCTGGCAAGGAAGCGTTTGTTCGTGTTCGGCACGCGTGCTGCCGCTGCATCGTCCGGCTCGAGGTACGAGGCGATGCCGCGCTGGTCGGCGCTTGCTTGCTTGGTGCGCGACTTTTGCACGATGAGCTCGGCGATGTAGGTGTCCAGGTCCTCGGACGACACCGATGCGAGCTCGGACCCAGCCTTCGATCCCATTGGCTAAAGCACGAGTGTCGTGTGCCTCGGGATCATCGTCGTCCGCACGAAAGCGTTGTACCAGAAGGAGCTGAGGATGAAGGTGCTGATTTTTCGGGACCCGGAGGCCGGAGCGGATGTGGAGGACTCGACGGATTTTCGTGGACCCTTGCCGTATGGTCCTTCTTCTCATGCACCTTTCCGCAACTCACTCGCAACGATGACAAGCAGGCAAGGCAAGGATGGCGCCGTACTGATCCTCAACGGCCTACCAGCGCGGACTCAGCTCGTTCTGGATGCGCACCCGCAGGCGTACGTGATCAACGACCAGTTCGCGGGGATCAAATCGCTCGCCCCGGGCTGGCACTGCATATCTTGGACGCTCGCCTCCGAACCGAGCAACGAAGCGGATGCCGGAGGTCCATCTGTGGAAGGATCGATCCGCAACGTAACACTGCGCTATTTCGAGTCGGCGGAGATCGCGGTCCGCGACCTCGACCGTATCCACCAGCGTCTGGTGGTTCCGAATTCTGATGCGGCTAGCAGCACAGCAAGATACAGGGCCATGGGGGTTAGCAGATCGTACAACGCAGGGACTAGCCAGCAGCTTCAAACGGTGGTTTCGCAGGAAGTGCTCGAAAGCGTCCAGTCGCGGCTACTCCCGGCGCCGGAAGAGGCGCAGCAGCGATGGCGTAAAGCAACGCGACACCTTGGGTGTGCCGGCGGCGCAATCGGTTGCAAAGTCGTGGCGCGGGTCGTTGGCGTCGATCTGGAAAGCGGAGATGCCAGTACGGATAGCCTGGCGTCTGGGCTAAGCGGATCCGAGGATCCAGGAGAAAAAGTGGCCTTCGAACGGACGGGCAATGTCGGCCGGAACGAGAACGGCATGATGGTTTGGGGCAAGTCGCAGCCAGCTCCAAGCCATGTCGAAGTGGAGAGCGACGGCGAAGGGTCGGAGGACGAAACGGCCGAATCAACATCAGGGGTAGTGGATCGAAAGAGAAAGCGCGTCGAGAATCATGCCGCGGAAGGAGCGGAAGAGTCCGACGACGGAGTGCTGCTGTTCACCGCGTTTGATCTGCGGCGAAGCTGGCCACCAAACGCGGTTGGCGCAGAACTAACACGGTGGAGCCAGGACAAGAGCTGGCTGCTGCGCGACGTAGCCGCGCGGGCTCATCAAGGCTTGGTATCGGAGGGAGACACGAAGTCAGAATGGTACCTGCCGCTCCTATGCGAGTTGGAGCTGGCATTCGTGCTGTTCGTCATGGCGAGCAACGTGCATGCGTGGGACGAGTGGAAAGACCTGCTCTCACTCTTCTGCCGCGCAGCATCGATCATTGGCTCTCAGTCTGCGTTTCACCTCCATCCTGCTTCCATCGATGCCTCTTCAACTCAGCCCATGGATGTCGACGTGGAGCAGGTCAAGGTTGACGCGCACGTGGCGTTTCTCGACACACTCGCTGCCCAGCTAGACCTGCTCGACGGGGACTTCTGGTCGAATCAGTCCACGGCAAAGGAAGAACAAGCGGTGCTAAAGGAGCTGGATGTGCTACGAGCGAATATCGCAAGGTCTCTTGCGCTGGCTGGCACGTTCGAGGCTGGAGGAGGGGATGAAGAGGGGAGGGCGAGGTTGGTCGCAGCCTGGAGGAAGGTGTCTCATTTGGCGGTGAGCAAGTTCGGATGGCAGCTCGACCGCAGGCTGGACGAAGAGGCCGAGATCGAGGACGATATCGAGGCGGAAGAAGGCGAAGATGCGCCAGTGATCGTAGACATATAGCCTCTATACAATCACGAAGCTTCATCACGGATGCTCGAGGGTGCGAATGGGAGTCGGGCGCCCGAGCCAAAATGTTTGAACGGCGATGTAACAAATCCTTGAAATCGAGCCGCTTCGCTGGAAGAAGGAAGAGAGGAACTGCGCAATTTTACCGCTGCAGCGGGAGAGCGGAGGGTTGGCGTGTGCGCATCGCCGCGAAGGCGCGGGGCGGCAGGGAGGAGCGCAGAGGGCAGCGCAGGATGAGGATGAGCTGGCGAAGCCGCGCTCTGACGTGTTGGTCTCGACTCGCCTGACCGTGCACCATCATCGCAAGGATTCGTGCGTCGTCCCACCCTTCCGACCACAGCAACAGCGTCAGCATACCATAGACGTGCTCTACATTTCCACCTGCCATCCAGTATGGCACTCCCACCGTCGTCGGCCAGCAGCGCCGCGGCATCGCGTGCGCACACCCCCGCCGGCCATCGTCGCTCCACGCACCTCGCCGTCGGTCTACCTGCGCAGAACAACGACGCACAAGCTGGAGCACGGACGCCTGATCGCCATGATGGCGCAGGTCTCCAGGCTCACAAGCTGCACCTGGTGCTCTCCGAAATCACGTCCGTCACCTCGACCGTGCGCAAGGCCACGAGGTGGAACGCAACCACCTCAGCCGCGCTCACTCGCATCACCTCGTACAGCTACTCGGCCGCACAGACCCCACAAGCACCCTCTCAGCCGCGACCGCAGCAGAGTTCGGTCGGCGATGTACAACAAGCACCGGGTGCCGATGCTGCGTCCGCTGGAACGAGCTCAAGCGCACGAATTGCGCTGCGCGGAATGCAGCGCGGCGCCACCATCGACGCTGCCTCGTCCTCATCTGCAGCAGCTCGGAGGCTAGGTCTGGCGCTCGGCGTCGATGGCAAGGCTGATGATCCCGTCAGCCTCCTTACCGCCTTTGCCACGCTCAAGGCTCAGCTGCGAGCCTGCCACGACTTTGCCGCTTTCCCCCTTCCCACGCTGCTCGCGCCCTTCCTGCGCCTCATCCTCAGCCCGCGCACCTCGGCCCACGTCACATCGGCTGCGCTCCAGGCCGTGCACAAGTTCCTCGTCTATGGCGTCGTCTCCCTCGACGCGCCCGATGCACAGATCGCCGTCGCCGAGATCGCGCACGCCACCAGCCACTGCCGCTTCGAAGCCTCGGAAGCCACGACGGATGAACTCGTGCTTGTACGCATCTTGTCGGTCATGCGCGAGCTGATCTGCGAGCCAACCCAGGCCCCCGCTGCAACAACTCCCGCAGAAGCGCAGCGCAGGCATCCCACAACGCTCGCCGACTGCCTCGGTGACGACAGCATCTGCGAGATGATGGAGACGGGCCTCTCCATGTGCTGCCAGACCAGACTGTCCGAAGTGCTGCGCAGGACCGCCGAGCTCTCCATGACCGCCATGGTGCGCACGCTCTTCAGCCGTCTGCCCGTCTTGCCGCACTCGGCAGACGAGTTCTTCGTCTCGCGATCCGATGGAAAAGAGCCCGAACCCGAACATGCTACCCTGGCTGCCGAGCCGGTAGGCGAGGATGCCGAGCAAGACGAAAAGAAACGCCGCCGCATGACCATGCCAGACCCCACTAGCAACGCCTTCCCTGCTGCTGCCAAGCAGGTGCTCGACCATCTCCGCGAGATGGGCGAGGAAGAAGATGCGGAGCAGACACAAGATCAGCCGCAGGAACAGGCACAGGAGCCAACACCAGACGCAGACTCGACTGCTCCCGCGGATCCGCAAGTTGCGGACGAGACGGAATCGCAGCCCGCTCAGGATGCTCCTGCCGTGTCAGCTCAAGCCGAAGACAACGCCGAAATCGAGCCGACACCCGCAGAGGCAGCGCCAGCCGAGCCCATCCACATTGAGCCGTTCGGACTTCCGGCTATCCTCGAGGTGTGCCGTGTCATTGTCTCGCTGCTCGATCCGAACAACCTGCAGCACACAAACACCATGCGTCGACTCGGCATGTCGATGCTCATCTCGGTGCTGGAGACTGCCGGTCGCTCGATCGGCGAGTTCCCCTCGCTGCGCGCGCTCATGCAAGACACTGCATGCAAGTACCTCTTCACGCTTGCACGCAGCGAGGACACCATCCCGCTCTCGCTCAGCCTGCGCGCGCTCTCGACCATGTTCGAGACCATGCGCGAGCATCTCAAGCTGCAGCACGAGTACTTCCTCAACTACCTCATGGACAGGCTCGCGCCCACCTTCCCGCTCGCGCTCGAGCCGTGGAACGAGCGCTCCTTTGACAGTGTCGCCCGCCGTGCGCTTGCGGCCGAGTCGATCAGCCGCACCGGTACTCCCGATCCCAACGCAGCCGCCGCGCTGCAGCAACAGCCCACACCCCCGCCTGCGCCGCCTGCACCTCCCATTCCAAAGGGCTCTGACAGGGCGCCGGCCACCGGAGAAGCGAGGGAGCTGTACTTGGAGACGCTCGCGCTGCTCTTCCGCAACTTTGACTCGGACAGGGCCGCCGAGTATCTCGTCGACCTCTACCTCAACTACGACTGCGACACGGACTGTGACAACATGTACGAGCGCATGCTCCACTTTTTATGCCGCTGTATTCACGCCGCCAACCCGCAGATTGCGGGCCAGCAGGACCCCGTGCAGCTCTTTGCACTCGATGCTCTGCTGTCTTTCGTCGCGGCCACAGCGGACCGCCACGAGGCGGGACGTACAGGCTCGGACGAGAGCGGCACTATTCTGCCTGGCGGGGTCTCGGTAGAGGCACTTGCGCAGCAGAAAGCCAAAAAGGCGACCATTCTCGATGGCGCAAGCCGCTTCAACGCCAAGCCCAAGGATGGCCTTGCATTCCTCGAACGGGAGGGCCTGCTCGACTATGGTGACGCCAGCCTCTCGCGCGAAGAGCGCGTCGCTCGCTTCCTCAAGGAATGCCCGCGACTGGACAAGAAGCTTGTCGGCGACTACATCGGCCGACCGGACAACGTCAAGGTGCTCGAGGCTTTCGTGCGCCTCTTCGACTTCAAAGACAAGCCGATTGCCGAGGCGCTGCGCGAGATGCTCGAGAGCTTCCGCCTGCCCGGCGAGTCGCAGCAGATCGAACGCATCACCCAGACCTTCGCCGCCACCTACTTTGGCGCCAAGCCCGACGGCATCGCCACCGAGGACGCAGTGTTCATCCTCGCCTACTCGGTCATCATGCTCAACACGGATCTGCACAACCCGCAGAACAAGCGCCGCATGACCGTCGACGACTACCGCAAGAACCTGCGCGGCGTCAACGGCGGCGACAACTTTGAGCTCGAGCTTACCGGTGCCATCTACGAGAGCATCCGCAAGCGCGAGATCGTCATGCCCGAGGAGCACGCAGGCTCGCTCGGATTCGAGTATACCTGGAAGGAACTGCTCAGGCGCTCGCGCACTGCTGGCACGCTCGTCGCCTGCAACACCACTGCATTCGATCGCAGCATGTTTGAGGCCAGCTGGAAGCCGGTGCTCTCCAGCATTGCGTTTGCCTTTTCGACATTTGCGGACGATTACATGGTCGAGCGCGCGATCTCGGGCATCCGACAGTGCGGCATCCTCGCCTCCGAGTTCGACCTGGTCGAGGTCTTCGACTTCATGGTCCACACATTGGCGAGCGCGACGGGCCTGCTCGACAGTTCGGTGCCGCAGACGCTCACGATCAACCCGACCGTCGAGGTGGAAAACCAGAAGGTCACCGTCAGCCCGCTCTCGACGCGCTTCGGCGTCAACTTCAAGGGTCAGCTTGCCGCCGTGGTGCTTTTCACCATCGCCAACGGCAATGTCGACGCCATCCGCACTGGCTGGTCGGACGTGTTTGAGATTTTCAAGAATCTCTTCGCGCACGGCATGCTACCAGCGTCCATGGTGATGATGGAGGATCTTGCAGACGGCCAGGTGGCCATCCCGCTCAAGCCAAAGAAGATTCCAGGGCCCTCGCCGCAAGACCCGCGTGTGCAGGGCGGCGGTCTGTTCAGCACGCTCTCGTCGTACCTGCTATCGCCATACTCGAACACCAACGAGCCAGCGCCGTACGAGGCGACGCCCGAGGACATTGAGGCGACACTGAGCTCGGTTGACTGCATCGCAAGCTGCCGTCTCGAGGACCTGTGGCACCAGGTGCTCCAGCTAGGCACCGAGTCGCACCTCTGCGCCGTGCACTACCTGCGCTTCCTCATCGAGGCGCTCACCGTCGAGAAGGTGCTCTTCCGCGAGTCGGCCGGATGGAACACGGACGGCACCTCCACGCCCAACAGCATCCACGGCGCCGGCAATGGCAAACCCAACGCTAAAGACGGCAGGCTCCAGCCCATGGCTGCTTCGTCATCAAGCAGCCTCGCGGCCGGTGGCGCAGCATCGCACGGAGCGGCTGGCGGTCTGCCGCTGACGTACGACCCGCGCGTTCCGTTCTTGCTCGAGCTGCTGGCGCAGATCGTGGTGAGCTCGCCGAGTCAACTCGTGGCCGAGACGTGGCCGTGGGTGGCTGAGCACATTTCGGCCGTGCTGCGCAACGCCAAGGCGTATCATCCTATGGTGGTCGAGCGCGAGGTGGCGGCGCTGTTGCGCATAATCGCCGCGGCTGCGGGCGAGGAGAGTCTGCGCGACCAGATCTTCCTGGCGCTCGACTTGCTGCGCGAGCTGCCGGTCGAAATTCGCATCTCGGGATCCAAGCAGCTGCTCGCCGGTCTCACACAGGTGCTGTCGCGCCACCCGGGCTTCGTCCGCTCGCATACCGAGTGGAGCCTCGTGTTTGCGCTCATTGCGGACAACTCCAACATGCGCAATGCCGACTCGGCGCGGCTCGCGTTCGAAGCGACCAAGGCCGCCGTCGCCGCCCCTGCGGAGAAAGGAAGCAGCGGCGTGACGGCGGACAACTTTGTTCCGGCCGTGACGCAGCTGGTGGAGTTTGCGAACGGCGCAGACACGGCCGCCTGGCGCAACATGATGCTGCGCGAGTCGCCGCAGCGCCGCACGACGCTGACCGAGAAGAAGGAGATGGCCGATGCGGAGAAGGTGCAGCAGGAGCGCGGCGTCGAGGCAGCGGGCGCGCTCGAGGCGCTCAAGTCCGAGATCCCGCGTCTGGTAGCTGCTGAAGCGGAGGGTGCGGATATCGATGCGGCGTGGAGCAAGTACTGGCATGCGCTGCTGAGCGGACTGGCTCGACAGTGGACGAATGCCTACGCGCCCGTCCGCTCGACCGCGGTGACCCTGCTGCAGCGCGCGCTTTTCTCGGCTGAGCTTGTTTCCGATGCACATGCCGCGCCTTCGCGCACGGCATTGATTGGCGTCGTGTTCACGCAGACGCTATTCCCGCTCATCGAGGAGCTGCTCAAGCCGCAAGTGTACCAGATCGACCCGCCGTCGGCGGCGAACAAGAACGGCGGCATGCTCGAGATCCGCATCCGCGCATCAGCGCTCATCTGCAAGAGCTTCCTACACCTCATTCCGCACCTCGCTCCGCACGAGGGCGGCTCGAGCGACGAGTTTGAAAAGCTCTGGCTCGACCTGCTCGACCTCATGGACCGCATGATCAACTCCACGGGCGGCAACGCGGGCAGGAGGAATCCGCTCACCGAAGCCATTCCGGAGAACCTCAAGAACGTGATCCTCGTCATGGAGACGTCTCGCCTGTTTGAAGGTGCGGAAGAGGAGGGAGGCAGAAGGCTGTTCAGGCTGACGCACGATCGACTGCAGCGATTCCTGCCCGGGCTCGTTGACGAGGTCTTTGCAGCCCAGGATGCAGGTGCGGCTGCAGCGCCACAACCTCAGCCAGAAGTTCAGGCTGACGTAGAGACAGCCGCGCAGCCGCAGGACCAAGAGTGATTGCGCTTCACCTTAACTTTAATGCAATCTTTCGCAAGTTAGCCGTCACGCGTATCACATCGAGTGAAAAGAGCGAAGTACTGAAGCGTGAGGGGACCAATTCGATTCGGATGAGAGCGTCGCAGCTGCGAACCCGAAATTGGCTTGGTACGGAAGGAACTAGGCTTTCTTCGCAAACTTTCCGTTGACCCTCGGCATAGCCCTGGCGAGGAGCTTTTGGCGGTACCGGTTGTTGCTCTTGCCAGAGCGCTTCTTCGGTTTGCGCTTTTCGGCGCGGACACTCGAGCTAACGATCGGCGGATTCGAGCACTCCTCGACTTCGCGCTTCACCGAGGGGGAGCGGCTTATCGTCAAGCAGTCGGTCTGCGGTTCACGTCGTCCTTGACTTTGCGCTTCGCAGCGGCGGTGCGGGCCATCGTTGAGAACGAAAAGACGGTATCGAAATGAAATAACGAGATTATGTTCGGACGTCGATGAAGGGTCGGCGAGGATATGAGGGTGCGGAACGAGGAGGAGGGCAGGTCACGGCAAGTGGCCGGTTAAAGTACGTGCGCCACCCTCTCCTTCCCCTCCTCCCCTTTCGGCGTGTCCTCTGTACCGTAGGCTCCGGCTCAGTTCGACGGGGCCGGAGGCGAGTCTCTGACACTGGCGGGCCGCCGTGACGAAAGTGCGGAGGGCGGAGTCGTTCTCTTGCCCTGCGCAGCGGGTCGGGCGTAGCCAGCGCCACAGTCAGAGTCGGCTCATCCGAACCCATTCCGATGATGTTCCCACGGCGACGCCTGCCTACGCTGTCACCTGGGCCGTCACGTCAACTGTCACAACGGCAGGCCGACCCTTCAGAAGATTCGCAAAAAGAAAAAAAAAGAAAAAAAAATGTAAATGAAAAAGGGCGTGCCGATCCTCCGGTGCCGATCTGCGTGTCGCCGATCTCCCACGGCGCGTCCCTCCTCCTCCTCCTGCTCACACCATCTCATCGCCGCGGCACCTCAAACGGTTCATAGGAAACGGAACTGCGATTTCGACCGACTAACATGCAAGCGAAGGCTACGCTACGCTCAGTACTGTCGCTTGAAGGGAGGAACGGGCTTGCACTCGGCCTCGTCGAGCGTCGTGTTAATGACACCACGGTAGTCGAGCTTGACCTTGTCGCCGGTGCTCTCGTGCTGCCAGGAAAGCGTGTGCTTCATCCAGTTCTCATCGTCACGATCAGGATGATCCTCACGTGCGTGAGCACCACGAGACTCCTTGCGAGCGGCGGCAGAGTGCATGGTCTGGGTGGCACAGGTGAGGAGGTTCTTGAGCTCGAGGGTCTCGACCAGATCCGAGTTCCAGATCATGGAGCGGTCCTGAACCGAGACGTCGGGGAAGCTGTCGTAGACCTTGTCGATCTTCTGGACACCCTCGTCGAGCGTCTTCTGGGTTCGGAAGACGGCGGCATCGGACTGCATGACACGCTGCATGTCGTTACGGATCTCGGCGGTGGTCTTGGAGCCGTTGGCGTTGCGGGCCCAGTCGAGGTCGTTGATGGACTTGGCGCCTGCGTCACCCTTGAGCTCCTTGTGGGGCTTGCCGGGCGAGAGGTTCTCCTTGATGTGGTTGGCGCACGCACGGCCGAAGACGACAATGTCGAGCAGCGAGTTGGCGCCGAGACGGTTGGCGCCGTGGACGGACACACAGGCGGTCTCACCGGCGGCGTAGAGGCCGGGCACGATCTTGTCCTCGCCGTTGGGGCCCTTGGTGATGACCTCACCGGTGTACTTGGTGGGGATACCGCCCATGTTGTAGTGGACGGTGGGCAGCACGGGGATGGGCTCCTTGGTGACGTCGACGCCGGCAAAGATGGCGGCGGTCTCCGAGATACCGGGGAGACGCTCGTGGAGCACCTCGGGGGGCAGGTGCGAGAGCTGGAGGTAGATGTGGTCCTTCTCGGGACCGACACCGCGACCCTCGCGGATCTCGATGGTCATGGAACGCGAGACGACGTCGCGCGAGGCAAGGTCCTTGGCGGTGGGAGCGTATCGCTCCATGAATCGCTCACCCTCGGAGTTGAGCAGGTATCCACCCTCACCGCGCGAGCCCTCGGTGATGAGGCAGCCGGCACCGTAGATACCGGTGGGGTGGAACTGAACAAACTCGAGATCCTGGAGCGGGAGGCCGGCACGCGAGACCATGGCCATACCGTCACCGGTGCAGGTGTGCGCCGAGGTGGCGGAGAAGTAGGCACGGCCGTAACCACCAGTGGCGAGGACGGTCTTGTGGGCGCGGAAGCGGTGGATGGTGCCATCCTCCATGTTGAGGGCGGTGACGCCGACGCACTCGCCGTCCTCCATGATGAGGTCGAGGGCAAAGTACTCGATGAAGAAGTTGGTGTTGTGGCGGAGCGACTGGCCGTAGAGGGTGTGAAGCATGGCGTGGCCGGTTCGGTCGGCAGCGGCGGCGCAGCGGTAGGCCTGGCCACCCTTGCCGTAGTTGAGCGACTGACCGCCAAAGGCTCGCTGGTAGATCTTGCCGTCCTTGGTGCGGGAGAAGGGAAGACCAAAGTGCTCGAGCTCGATGACGGTGCGGGGAGCCTCGCGGCACATGTAGTGGATGGCGTCCTGGTCACCGAGCCAGTCGGAGCCTTTGACGGTGTCGTACATGTGCCATCGCCAGTCGTCCTCGGTCATGTTGCCGAGCGCGGCGTTGATACCGCCCTGGGCGGCGACGGTGTGCGAGCGGGTGGGGAAGAGCTTGGTGATGCAGGCGGTGTTGAGGCCGGCCTCAGCAAGACCGAACGCGGCACGCAGACCGGAACCACCGGCACCGACGACGATCGCATCGTACTCGTGGTCGATGACGGGGTATCCCTTGGCGGCGTCGAGCGGGCGAGCGGCCTCCTTGGCGCGAAGAGGCTGCGAGGCGATGATGCGCGAAGCCGAGGCAGTGGAGTGGAAGCCGGCGAGGCGCTGCGAAGGTGCGACCAGGCTGGACGAAGGCGCACGCGCGACGGCGCGCGAAAGCGACCTTCCGAAGATCATGGTGAAGCTGGTGTGTGTGGTGACAGTGGCAGGACGATAGTGCGGAATGTCAATGCTAGGTAGCGGAGGGCAGTGACAGAGAGCCGACTCTTTTGATATAGCGGTGGTGGCTATTCAACGAGATGGTGTAGGTCGTACAAGAAGACGGCGCGAAGGAGACGGGCCACGGAGGCAACCGGCGAGAATCTGACGATCAGGCGTGGCGCGCGCGGGTGGCTGCTGGCCAGCCGAGGCGTCGACAGCAGCCAACTACCGCGGGCGATGAGCTAACTTGCCTGCGGGGCAAACACGGCCGGGGGCGCTTTTTCTCTCACCTCACAGCACGCTGCTGTATTCCAGGCTGGCAGGCTGGCAGGCAGGCTGGGGGAGCGACGGATTTCGATAAAGCGGTGTGCTGTTGCCTTTTTTCGGCTTTGAGCTGTGCCAAATGCGCGTGCGCTGATTCGCACGCTTCCTTGAGTAAGCCGCGTGTGGTTTTCAAGTGCTTTGGATTCTCTGCTGCTGATGGCTTTGACAGGCGCGCGCGGAAGAAAGTGACTGCCCAGCCCACTGCCGCTTTGGTAAGCGCGTCGGCCAGCCTCGAATATTGGAATCCCGTTCATTTCCGTAACTCCTCGGCGCACAGTCGCTGCGCTGCAGCGCGTGCCCAATCGAATCGATCCGACCTGAACCGAGCACGCCCTAACATCTTGAAAGCAAAGCTTATGTGATACTGACATCGAGGTATTCAGGGTCCAGCTCGAGAAGAATTCGTTGTGCGTCAAGGGCCTCGGTACATTAGAGGCAAGCCTCTTGTCTTCCCCTCATCAATCATGGCTCTGATCATCGTCTCGGGACTGGCATCGTCGGGGCGCTCTGCGCGCTCTGCGCAGATCAAGGAGGACTTCGAGCGGCGCATCCAGGAAGCTGCTTCGGCCGGCTCGACTTCCTCACAGCCTCTGCCGAACCGCGTCGTGATCGTGTCGGACCACGACATCCACGTCTCGCGCTCCGCCTACTCTTCGCAGCGCACCGAAAAGCCCGCTCGCGCTTCGTACCTCTCTGCAGTCACACGCGCTCTCGGTAGGGATACGATCGTGATTGCCGATGGCGGCGCGGGGCTCAACATCAAAGGATTCCGCTACCAGCTGTGGTGTGCCGCACGCGAGGTAGGCGTTCGCTGCCTCTCGGTGCACGTCCACGCGCCCCCCGCCGTATGCAAGTACTGGAACACAACACGAAGAAGTCAACAAGGAGAAAGCGCCAGCTATGATGACGAGACCCTCGATAGCCTGCTGATGCGTTTCGAGGAACCCAATGCAATGACGCGCTGGGACTCGCCCCTCTTCCTCGTTCCCACTACATATTCCGGCTCAGCAGAGGACGGCGTAGATGCGGACAAGATCGTGGTCGAGGCGGCTCCCTTCGATGACATCTGGAACGCCGCTGTATTGGGCTCGGTCAGCAAAGCGCCCGAAGTGGTCGCACCGACTCGGTCGACCACCGCCAACTATCTCTCCCTCCTTGAATCTTTCACACAAGCCGTCGTATCGTGCATTCTTCAACACCAGTCATCGCTTGGGCTGCAACCCGGAACATCTGTGCCGATCTCACACGAGAGCTTCGGCGGCGCAAAGTTGGACTTCACTCCACCGAGCGACAAGCCCGTGACGCTCGCTTCGCTGCAGCGAATTCGACGCCAGTTCGTCCGCATGCACAGCTCCGGCTCGGCCCAGATCAACCAACTCGGCAATGCGGCCCGCGAAGAAGGCGTCCACTTCAGCCTCACCTCCAAAAAACAAAACGCACAGTCCGCTGTGCAACAGCCGCAGTCGACAGAATACGCCATCGCAAAGCGATTCCTTGCCTTCCTCCAAACCGCCCTCTAGACCTCTATCCAAACTCGGAAATCTTGTACTTGTACCGGCGCAATCACACTTTACACCAAGCCTCGACGTCTTTGTACACCGTGACATGCAAGTTTGGTTCGTTGATGTGAGCAGGTTAGACAACAGTGTATCGGCCCGTGGTGCCTGGATTGCGCGCTTCGGCCTCCAACGCAGCCTGGGTGGCCTCGACGAGCAGCCTCTGGATCTCGCGCACCGCATCTTCGACCATCGACTTTGTGTTGGACTCGATCAGCAGCTGCAGCTTCGGCGGCTCGCCCGGCTGCGGCTCGGTGCCTTCCTTGTAGAAGACGCCCTTGTTGGTGATCGATGCGCCCGTCGACTCGATCAGATGGCTCATGGTCTCCTTGTTCGTCACGCGCCAGCGCGCGCGTTGCGGGAAGTCGTTGATCGGCACAATCGCATGGTAGTCCGTCGCATCCGGATCGCGCGCTTTTCGTTCCTTGGCCCGATCCGTCTCCGACGTCTTGGCCGACTCGCGCCGAGCATTGGCCTGCTTCCGGATGTTCTCCAGCACCGCAGCCAGCTTGGTCGTGTCGGCTCCGTGCGCCTTGGCCGCTTCCAATGCCGCCTCTTGCGCTTTGAGCTGGGCGGCCTCTTTGGCCTCCTGCTCCTGCTCCTTGCCCTTTCCAGCTCCACCAGACGCATCGTCGTTCGAGGATACGGTGCGGTTGTCACGCACCGATTCAGGCGCTGCACCGTGCATGATTTCGATCTTCATACCTTGGATCTTGTTCAGCTGCTCCTCTGAGCTGGACGCGCCCGGCTGCGTGCCTCCCTTGCCTGCGCCATCGCCAGCATCACCAGCAGCGGCTGCTTTGCCATCCTCGTCCACTTCACCGTACGCCGACTTCTGCGCCTTGAGCGCCTTCTCTCGATCCGTCTCAAGCCTGTCCAGACCCTTGCCGCCGAAGCCGGATCCAGCCGCCTTGGCCTTGCCTGCAGCGAGCTTCTCCTTGAACGACTCGGCCATCTTTTCGAGCTCGACCGGCACATGTGCGCCACTAGCCTTGAGAGCAGCAATGATGTCGCGCGCATAGCGGTCTTGCTCAGGCGTGACGAAGGTGATGCAGGTGCCCTTCTGACCCGCGCGGCCCGTACGCCCTGCACGATGCACATAGTCCTCCATGTGGTTCGGCACGTCGTAGTTGATCACGAGCTTGAGCTGCTTGACGTCGAGACCTCGCGCTGCCACCGAGGTTGCAGTCACGATCGGCACGTTGCCGGCCTTGAAGTCCGAAATCGTCTCGTCTCGGTCGACCTGGTCCTTGCCGCCGTGTAGCGACATGGTCACGTAACCCTTGCGGATGAGATCTTTGAGGAGCTCGTCGGCAGCCTCCTGTCGGTCGACAAAGATGAGCGTACGTGCATCCTTCTCGCGATTGTACATCTCGCCAAGGATCTCGAGGAGGCGGTGGAACTTGCTCGCCTCGGGGCGCACTTCGACGATCTGCTCGATCTCGGCTGCGACCACGCTGCGACCGCCGACGGTAATCTCCAGCGGCTTATTCTTGAGCACCTTGCGCGCCAGCGACTCCATCTGCTTCGGGAAGGTGGCTGAGAATAGCACTGTCTGACGATCGGGTCGAATGTTGTTGACGATTCGCATCACCTGCGGCTCGAAGCCCATGTCGAACATTCGGTCGGCCTCGTCCAACACCAGGTAGGTGACGCGGCGCAGATTTGTCACTCGGCCCGAGTTGGCTGTCAAAAGATCGATCATGCGGCCGGGCGTTGCGACTACGATGTCGGCCGTCTTCTTCATCTCTGCAATCTGCTCCGAGATCGGCGCGCCTCCGTACACACAGGCTGCACGCAGACCCAGCGCACGAATGAAAGGTCGCATCTCTCGGTAGATCTGCACGGCGAGCTCTCGCGTTGGAGTCATGATGATGCCCACGGGGCCCTCGGATGTCTCGACGGGACGCTGATCCTTGATGTGGCGGAACATGGGCAGCAGAAACGCCATGGTCTTTCCTGAGCCTGTCTTGGCGACACCGATGATGTCTCTGCCAGACATGATGGCAGGGATGGCCTGGCTTTGGATAGGGGTGGGGGTTTCGTACCCAAGCCGTTTGATGACGTCGAGACAGCTTGCGGGAAGGCCGCAGTGCGACCATTTTGTGAGCGGTTTGGGACAGTCCTTGCCACGCACCGTGATGGCGTCCATCTCCAAGCGAATCTGGTCGGCGAGCTCTTCGGACATGTCGTCGATTTCTGCCGGCGGATGGTAGAAGACCTTTCGGAAGGGTTCATAGTCGACGGCCGAGTGATCGACGGTGGCCAACTCCTTCTTCTTGACTTTCTTGGCGGCGATGGCCAAGAGGTCTTCTGTAGCAACGCCGACTCGATCAAGTTCGTCGACTTCCTTGTCGGAAGCGTCGGCCTCTGCATCGCTCTCCTCCTGTCCCAGCACAACAGCTTTCGTCTTGTCCCTGGATGCAGCAGCATTACCGTTGCTCGCGGCTTTGCGGCGATCGTTCTCGTTGACGCGCGCCACCTGAGACTTGACGGTGGACATGAAGGCGTCCAGCGGATCTTCTTCCTCTTCGTCGTCCACGTCCATGTCGTCGGCCGCTTTGGCGCCGGGCTCTCCAGGCGCGGTGTCTGCTTCGTCGTCGTCGGCGAGATTCTGCCCGACGGCGTGGTTGCCGACGTTAGGGTCCAGAGGAGGCAGATCGTCGAAGCGTGTCATGCGCTTTTGGCTGGATGGTTCGGCAGCGTCGTCCATCATGGATTGCGAACGATTCTGGGCATTGACCTTGGAAGGATCTGCACGCAGTGAGAGAGTGCGGAGACCGGAAGCATTGATGGAGGTGGGAGCACCTGGTCCACTCGAGGTGGCTGTAGCAGCTTCTGGCTTCTTTGTCCCAGGTGCGACACTGTCTGTGATGTTCTGGGCACGCACTCTCGCCTCCTCGAGCGCCTTTTTAGCGGCTTGCTCCTTGCGCCATGCTTCGAGGCGTGCCTTCTTTGCGAGCTTTGCCTGTTCTTCCGCCGACACCGGAGTTGCAGCAGATGAGGTCGATATGGATGCGAAGGAAGGGGGTGCGCTCGGCGGTGGTCCAGGAGCTGCGCCTGGTGGCGCTGCTGGTCTCTGTGGAAGCGAATCGGCAATGGGCGTTCTGGCACCCTGCATTGCAGTCTGGTTCAATTGGGTATCCGACGGATACGGTGCACCTTGATCCCAGCGCCTGCGACCGCTGGATCTCGCAGCTGCGTCCTCGGCATTGCTGTAGGAGGACGTAGCAGAGTAGCGATGATCTGGCCTGTCTCTGGCCCAGTCTCGCTGACGATGATGGTCATGGTCGCGGCTGTATTCGCGCTCGCGCCGCCTAGATGAATCGGTGCCACTCACGTATGGATCATCAGCACGGCCGTGATGACTGTGCGAGGATGGATAGCGATGAGAGGGGGGAGAACGAGAGCGTCGTCTGGTCGGCTCGTGTGCTTGGGATCTATGCGGAGACGAGGCATGATGCTTACTGGTGCGCGAGCGATGCTGGGATGAACCCGAGCGACGGTAGTCGTCGCGGTCGTCATAGCCAACCATGGTGCCGTGCAAGCGAAAGGGTTCAGGAGTGCTTGCTGTGTCGCAATGACGGAAGGAAAGTAAGTCGTCCAGATGTCGCACCGCCATTTCCACCTGTGCCGAGCTCGGGCATCTGAGCGACCCTGCTCTGCCCTCTGCAACGCCGAGTTCCGAGCGCCGAGATCGAGAAAGCCGTCTGAGTGAGACTCAGTCGCGAGAGCTCCGAGCAAAGTCGCGTGGAGCTTGCATCCGCTGATCCGCTCCACTTTTTTTGACTTTTTTTTTTTTTCCTCAGCGGAAGCAAGGTTTGGGTGACGCTTGGCCTAAAAGATCCTGGCCTTTGGGTGGCAGAGACAGAAAGAGGCTGCTGAGACCCTTTCGAAAAATTCTTGGTCCGGTGCGTAACGACGGCATCCTTCCGACAAGAGCAGCAGGGCTTGCCACCAGCACATGCAGCCTTTGCCTCTTTTCAGCATCAACACATCTGCCTGATCGAGCCCCACCAAGGCCCCACCACACGTTCAGTTCATCGCGCAATCGATCGGACCAGCCGCTGGCGCTCGAGTCCAGGCTAGGCTCATTTACACAGCCCATTCTTTTCAGGACACCAACCGCTTTGATCCAGCGTATCCTTGCCGATTCGCATTCGATCGAGAACCGTCACCAGCACACCAAACCCTCACGGTCTAGTGGCCTCTGATCGCCTCAGCATGCCGGTCGCAACCGAAGAAAAGGCCTTCGGGGCCCAGGACTTCATCGCCTTCGACTTTGGGGCTGAACAGGAGGAGGATGTGCCGCAGTCCTCATCAGCTTCCCGCTCTCGTGGCGGAAGGAACCGGGACGATGACGCTCCAGGTCCATCACGCAAAGGTCAGAAGCGCAAGGCGGAGGAGCGCGAAGACGACGGTCGCTCCAAGAAGGAGAGGGAGATGGCCAGGTCGCGTCACACGCCATGGTCCGCCGACGTCGACTGGGCCAAGTGCCAGAACGGTGCTGAAGCGTTGCATCGCGAGCTCATGGCATTCGACCACTGGATGGCGCCCACCGCTGCCGAGCACGAGACGCGCTGCATGGTCATCGAGCTCATCAGCCGCGCCATCAAGTCTCAATTCCGCGACGCCGAAGTGCACCCCTTCGGAAGCCAAGAGACCAAGCTCTACCTTCCGCAGGGTGATCTCGACCTCGTCGTCGTCAGCCGCTCCATGGCCAACCTTCGAACGCAGTCTGCTCTTCGCACCATGGCAGCCTGTTTGCGACGCCATAACCTCGCCACCGACGTGCAGGTGATTGCCAAGGCCAAGGTGCCCATCATCAAGTTTGTCACCACCTACGCGCGCCTCAAGGTCGACATCTCGCTCAATCACACCAACGGCCTCACCACAGCGAGCTTCGTCAACAGCTGGCTGCGAAAGTGGCCACACATCCGACCGCTCATCATTGTGGTCAAGCACCTCCTCATGCAGCGAGGCATGAGCGAGGTCTTTTCGGGCGGCCTGGGAAGCTACAGTATCATCATCATGGTCATCAGCTTCCTCCAGCTTCATCCCAAGGTGCAGCGTGGCGAGATCGAACCAGGCCGCAGCCTCGGCGTGTTGCTGCTCGAATTTCTCGAGCTTTACGGCAAAAACTTTGGCTACGACAACTGCGGCATCTCGATCCGTGGGCGAGGCGGATACTTCAGCAAGGCGCGCCGTGGGTGGAAGGATGAGCGAAGACCCTTTATGCTCTGCATCGAGGACCCGCACGATCCCTCGAACGACATCTCCAAAGGCTCCTTTGGCATCATCAATGTCAGGTCCACGCTGGCCGGTGCGTTCGACATCCTCACAGCAGCCATCTGCCAGCAGGCAAACGAGGCGGGTCCGAGTCGCAGCGCGCGCACCGACAGCGGGCGCAATAAGCACCGTCGCTTCTCGGTCGATTCGGATTCGGACTCGGATGCCGAGGCGCGCCGTGCGCTCGTGCGCGACTCGACCGCCGAGGGCGGCAAAGACGACAAGGACCCCAACAGTCTGCTGGGCACCATCTTGGGTATCTCGAACCCGGTCGTGCGACAGAGGAAGGAGATGGAGGAGCTCTTTTACTCGGGATCGTTGCAGTTCAAGCTTGGCCGACCGGCGCCACCCAACAGTCCGCCTCCGGCCCGTCCGCGCGAGGTGCGTGACTCGAAAGCAGACGCTCCCGCCCCTAAGGCGCAGAGTGCGCGACAGAGCAAGCCGAGCAAAGACAGTAAGCCGGGCAAAGACAGCGGCGTAGTCGCGATCAGCGAGACGGCGAGCACGGGCAAGCGCGGTGCCATGCCGAGCCTCTCTATCCGTGGCTCAGCGAATGCAGCCAAGGCCTCTAGCAGCGCTCCTGCCCCTGCGAAGCGCAAAAAGGAAGCTCGCGCCGAGTCGTCGGATGACGATGAGGTGCAGTTCGTAGGAGCGCGCAAGGCGGGGGATGAGAGCGAGGAGGACTCGAGGTACAGTGCAAGTCGTTCGGCCAAGAAGCGCACGCGCAAGGCCACGGCCGAAATCACGCAGGAAGAGCTCGAGGATCTGTCGCAGTCGGCACCCTCGACGTTTGTGTCGGACAACAGCGATGACGAACGAGTGGATGCTGGTATTCAGCTGCCAACACTCGAGACGAACGGTGGCACCAAGGCATCGCCAAAGACGTTGGGTGGCGCAAGGGGTATGGCGAGGATTTCGTCGCGCACCAAGAACGACTTCTGGGCCGCCAAGGGCGTCGACACGTCGGGCGAGCCGTCGCCTTCACCACCTCCTGCAGACGAGTAGTGGCACACGCATTGAGGCGATGCACATCGATACCAAAGCCCTTTCAAACATGTCTGGGCAAGACCGACCCCGTGCGGCTGTGAATGGTGTTCAGAGCATCAAATTTGCAGTGAGATCTCGAGTGGGTATGATTTATTCCCAGTCCGAGTCTTCGTCGGACTGGGGCGATTCAGATGGCTTGGTGGGTGTCTTTGCTGGCTCGGCAGACGCCGACTCTGGCTTCGGCTCGATTGCTGCAGGTGCGGGTTTGGCGTCGGCACCAGCAGCCGCTTCTTCGTCGTCCTCATCCCATGCAAAGTCTTCCTCGTCGTGAGCCGGTGCAGCTACGTCGGTGATCTTGCTGTCCGCTGGCTTTGGTGATGCCTGAGTTGCTGGTGCCTCCACAGCCTTCTCCTTGGAAGCTTCTACCGCAGCGGAAGCAGATTCGTCCTCTTCGGGCGGGACGATGCGGACGAGGTCTCCAACGAGCTCCTTCATATCCGACTGCATCTCGCGCGCAAAGTTCTCGGTGGCGTGCAGATACCTCGTGGCGAGCTGCTGAGACTCCTTCAGATCCAGGTGGGGCAGGTGCGACTGGATGGTGGCCGACAGCTTCGACAGCGACTCCTGCAGATTCTTCTGGCCCGGCTCTCCGTCTTTCGGCGATGTGACGCCCTGCAGCGTCGAGGTGAGCGACTGCTGCAGCGACACAAGCCGAGGGTCAGCAGTAAGCTTGCCGAAGAGCGTCGAGATGGATGCACCCAGAGTGGGGCCTTGCCCTTGCGCACCCTCTTGTACCTCGATTGTCGTTTCGTCAATGGCTCGCTGCTTGCCTTTGCTCGTTTCGGACTGGGCGACAGACTCGGACGTCTGCTCGCCTTCGAGGTCGGAAGCAATGGGTGCGGCTTGACTTTGGTCACGGGCCTTCTTCTGGGCTTCGCCGATGGACGTCTCGAGCTTGGCATACTCGGCTTTGGCAAAGTTGACAATGCCGCCGCGAGTCTCGACTTCCTTGCGCGCTTGTGCCAGCGAGTCCTGCGACTTCTTGGCGATGCCAGACCACCAGGAGGAAATGTTGCCTACGAGCTTTTCGACATTCTGGTCGAGCTCGGTCTTGGCAGGCTCGTCGGCTTCGTTGGTCGAAGGCGTGGAGGTGCCCACACGCCCAGCAGCGCCCATAAGTCCCGGGTCGTAGATGTCCATCGTGTTCAATAAAGATAGAGAGAGAGAGAGGCTCGGCTTGATGAGGGTGGTGATGTTGCATGATAGCGTTGCGGGAATGGGAGCGTGCGCAGTTACGTGTGCAAGGTGCAAGAGCGCGTGCCCGAGATCCGAAGCATGGGCAGCTGCAACCTGAAAAAAAGAAGCTCGGAAGCTGTCGGAAGATCCGGCTCGCTTTGTCGTCCCGCACCCACCTACCTCGGTACATCACATTGTTGGGTCCACCGTCACCATGACCAAGCTCCCTTCACAGGCGGCATGCCGCGCCTGCCTCGGTGCCCGTCAGACAGCCCAGCCGGCTCAGATCCAGGCGAGGGTGCCGCAAGTCACTTCGAGGTTGCACGCCCGTGCCCACAGCCTCCACACTGCGACAGCGCTGGCCTCGTCGGTGCGTTCGGCCGCCAGCCTGCATTCATCGCTTCACTCGAGAGCTTTCTCGTCCTCTCCGCTCCACAACTTCAGCGGGTCGCGCGTCTCTCACTTGCCGACCACCATCACGATCCTAGGCAAAGAGTACCCGACCGACGATTATACCAACATCCCCGACTCGATCCTCTCGAGACTGGCGCCTTCGCCCACGTTGCCCTACACATCTAATCACCCGCTCGCACTGCTGCGTGACCAGATCGAGGCGTCCATCGGCCCGAACTATACTCCCATTCAGGCAACCTCGCCTGTAGTCTCCACGGAGCTCAACTTCGATGACCTCGGCATCGCGGCCGACCACCCTGGCCGAAGTCCGACGGATACGTACTACGTGAACCGCGACACATGTCTGCGCACGCACACGTCGGCACACGAGGTGCAGACGTTCCGCAATAAGCACGAGCGCTGGTTGTTGACCGCCGACGTGTACCGCCGCGACGAGATCGATGCGTCGCACTACCCGATCTTCCACCAGGTCGAGGGTGCGGCCATCTTTGCACACGAAGACTACGCACCCGGCGGCAAGGTGGAGAGAGAGTGCATCGAGATGGAGCGAAAGCTGGCAGGAGCCAACTTTGAGATCGAGGACGTCGTCGGGCTGTCGGAGGCGGGAGGGTACCAGAGCCATCACGACCCGCGCGAGGCGGCGTTGGCAGTACGTCATCTCAAGGCGACGCTCAACGGGCTGGCGTTGGACCTGTTCGGCGAGCGCCATGCATTCGATGCGGCACAGAAGGGAGGCGGGTCGGAGCCACTGCGCGTGCGATGGATCCCGGCCTTCTTCCCGTTCACGTCGCCGTCGTACGAGGTGGAGGTGTGGTTCCGCGGCAAGTGGCTCGAGATCCTCGGCAGCGGCGTGGTGCAGCAAAAGACGCTCGACAAGGCGGGCGTGCCCGATCGCCTCGGATGGGCATTTGGACTGGGCTTGGAGCGCATTGCAATGGTGCTCTACTCTATCCCGGACATCCGGCTCTTCTGGACAAAGGACCCGCGATTCCTGGGTCAGTTTGCCAGCGCACCCACCAACCAGGTCTCGGCAGCAGGCGGTAAGGCTCCCTCCACCAAAGCCTCCAAGCCGAAGCTGCTCACGTTCAAGCCATACTCCAAGTACCCGCCGTGCTACAAGGACGTATCGTTCTGGCTGCCGCAGGAGCGCAAGTTCCACGAAAACGACCTATTCGAGATCGTTCGCGACCGGGTAGGAGACCTGGTGGAGGACGTGGTCAAGATCGACGACTTTGTTCATCCCAAGACGAAGAAGCAGAGTCTGTGCTACCGCATCAACTACCGCTCCATGGACCGATCGCTGGAGAACGAAGAGGTGAACCAGCTCCACTCTGATGTGCTCAACAGGCTCGTTGACCAGCTCGCCATCGAGATTCGTTAGTGGTAACATGTGCAATGACCAACACCCCCTCCACTCTGCATCGACACCTAGCTGACCAGTATGACGAGTCAGACTGCTTGACCAGAACGACGTGGACTGCGTACACTCTGCGAATGGAATCGAGGCTGAAGGGGAAGGGCATTGCGAGAAGTCCCTCGGATTCGAGACTCTGGCTTGGCTGTAGCGATGGTCTAGAATGCGCATGCATGCTGATCGCGCCCAAGTCACGATTGGGCCAACCAGCAGCCAGCAGCAGCTCAGGGCGGCCATAGCGAGACCTGTCTGAGACACATCAAAGGCCAGGCAGTGTGTGAGAGGCTGTGATTATTTCGCGCCCAGCTGCCTTCGCTTCCTCGCCGAAATCCAGGCTTTAGGAATCCAACTTTCCAAAGGGCGGCAGCAGCGGCGGAGGCGGCAGCAGCTAGCAGCAGCTTCGGTTGGCCCGGGCTCGCACTCTTTCAGGGTTCGCACGCTCGAAGCTCCAAGCTCGAAGCTCGAACCCTTCCAACACGGACGGACGCGTTGCCCGCAGATGGCACACACACCAAACCGCATTTCATGCTGCCAACCTGCGCATCACTTCCGACACTTGTTTGCATCACATTTGCTCCGCGCCGCTCCCACCTTCCTTCCGACCACTGCCGACTCCATCCACGCTGCGCACTTTTCGGAGGCTCCCGTCGGTCTTGTAGCCCCATCGCGCTCATACATCACCCAAACTCGAGGTTGCAGCGCTAGTCTACGTCGGCACAACGCCGCGCCGTTGGCATCCAAGAGCACTTCATCATGGCCGCCTCCGTATCGTCTTACCGCAGGTGGGAGCCACTGCCCAAAATCCTATACGGCCTCGCAACCCATCCCTTCTCGCCGGATACCGACGTGCTCGAATCCTCCGCCGGTCCGCTCGAGTCCCTCCCGCCTGACGTCGTGCACAAGCTCCACGAGAACCTCATCGCTCTCGAGCTCGGCGACGAGGTCTACGTCTTCGAACAACTCGGTCATGCCGACGTCAGCTGGTACCGCGGCTATGTCGTCTCCACCAACCGCCTCCCTGTCGCCGCTGCCAGCGCCAGCAGCCTCAGCGACTACAGCACCTTCCATGCGCTCGGAAACAACTCAGCAACTCCGGTCACCGAAGAGCCCCAGGTCTACGTTGGCGTCTTTCCCTCGACCCACATTCATATCCGCGAGCAGCTCGACGATGCTGAAATGCGCCTCGCCTCGGTCTACGAGCATGCCAAGGAGCTCGGCATCGTAGGCGCAACAGCTCCTTTGCCACGCCCCAGAACGCACATGGAGACGCTCCCCGAGCTCGATGAATCCATCTCCCAGCCTTCCAGTCCCAACCAAAATCCTACCTCGCATCTCCCATCAATCGACGCAGCAACCCAAGAAGTCGGTGCAAACGGTCAGATCATCGACCACCCGCCACCGCCTCTGCCAAGCCTCAAGTGCGGCGACGAGACCTTGTCCGGCGCACACGACCCTTTGATCGACGAAATTGCGTGCGCACTCCGCGAGTGGTCTGCGCTTACCTACAACTACCTCGTCCAACGCGACTATACCCTGCTCAACAGCGTCAAGGAGCACATCGAGGTCCTCTACATGGCTCGCAAGCAGCTCCTCGCCAACACCCTCTCCGCAGAGGAAGTCAGCAAGCTCAGAAGAGAATGCGTCGCCAGGCTCGTCAAAGGCAACGTCGCTCAGGGACTCGACGTGGTTGTCCGCCACCCCAATCGTGGCGGCCTCGTCGACTTTGACATCAACAGCAAGGACGCTGATCCCGACAGCTGGGTCAGCGGTATCCGTCTGTTTGCGCTTCAGGCGGCGCTCGCCTACGTCGATCACGAGAGCGACAACTCCTCCACCACCGCTCCGGGCGGCATGGATCTTTCCGCTTCCAACGCTTTCGGCATCAGCTCCCCATCCACAGGCAACATCGGAACGCTTGCGGGGCTTCCTGGTGATGTCACCCGTATGCCCGGCATCGGCGCAAGACAAGCTTCCGTCGCATCGATCAAGCGCGTGGACGACGCCTCAGCGGCAGCCAAATACTTCCACGTCTTTATCGACCTGCGTGCCTTTGTCGCAACCCCGTGTTCGGCCGGCGAGGTCGTCGAGCTCTACTTTTCGCTCTACAACCGTGCAGAGTCGCGCTTCCTCACCGAAGACTTCTGCATCATCCTCAACCACCGCGGCGTTCCCACAAAGGACTCCACCGGCCGCATCGACAAGATGCGTGCCGTCTTCACCGAGCTCAGTGCAAGCGACATGCAGGATCTCAACGTCGTCTGCCGTATCGTCCGCAACGGCGGCATGCGCGTCTCCGAGATCAAGGCCACTCCGTCCGGTGCCGCGGGCCAAGACCTGCCGCACGATCGTGTCGACTCGTTTGCCGATCCCACGCTCGCCAACACGCCGTCCTTCCGTCCCAAGCGCATGGCCGGCGATCACTCGTTCCGTCGACCCTTCGGATGCGCCGTGCTCGAGCTTGGACAACACCATCACTTCCAGACCGACGTCGCCAACTCCTCGTCCATGAGGGAACACGTCATGCCAATCTTCGTGCCGGTCAACGAGGCGGCTTTCAGCACCCTCCACCAGGACATCATTGCATCCAGGACGCGCGAGTTTGAAAAGTCGCCGCGCGCCGACATGCTGGCGGTCAATGTCAAGGTCTTCTACGGCGACACCGCGTCCATCATCCGCGAAAACCCCTCGTTGCTCCAGGACACGCCTCCGGCCGCCCGCCTCGGGTTCCCCGACGTGGTCTTCCCAGGAGACACTCGCAACGAGGCCTACGTCAAGCTTTGGAGCGGCGAGTTCTATCCGCCAGGAAACAAGATGGCAGGAGGCTCGCTCAGGAACATTCAGGTGTCGGCCGAGGTGCGAACGAGAGACGGCAGAGTGGTCGAGGACGTCGTCTCTCGCGGTGCGGGAGAAGCGCTGGTGACCCAATTCGACAGTCTCGTCTTCTACCACCAGAATGCGCCGACTTGGGGCGAGCTTATCAAGCTGCAGCTGCCCCATGACATTATGGAGGACTGCCACCTCTTCTTCTCGTTCCGCCATCGCAGCTCGAAGGAGGAACGAGGGGCGCTGTCTGCGAGCAACGGCGTTTCAGCGTCGCAACAAGCGACATCGACACCGTCTTCTTCTTCTGTCTCCATGTCGAAGCCTTTCGCGCACGGCTACTTGCCCTTGTTCGAATCCAACCGAGCCTTCATCCCAGACGGAAGCCATACGCTCTTCCTCTGGCGCACCAACAGGCCACCCGCTCAGATTGGCCCGGACCTCTACTTCAACTTGCCTCCCGTCACTCCAGCCGGCCGCAATCCCGGCGACGTGGTCCCACCAAGCCTACAGGGAACCGTGCAGCCTCTGCGGGACATCCTTACGCTCCGCACGTTCCTCGTCTCGACAAAGTATTCTCAGAACGACGTGCTGCTCAAGCTTCTCAACTGGGAGCGCCTGCTGTCCGAGGACTTCGAGGAGTTGCGCAGTGTGTTGAACAAATTTACGTTCGTCGGCGAGGTCGAGATCGTCAAGTTCTTGCGCGACATCTTTGACTCGCTCTTCGGCATTGCTACGAGCAGCCGCAACACGCACGGCGATCTCGACGATCTTGTCTTCAATGGACTCGTCACCGTGCTCGGCATCGTCCAGGATCGCAGATTCAACAACTTCAGGGCTACGCTCGATGTATACATCGAGCAGCACTTCAAGTTCACGACGGCCCACAACAAGTTGATTGCCTCCATGGCCAAGCTCATGGCGGAACCATCGAGGCCGGAGACGTCCAAGGACCTCAGGGCGGCCATCAAAGTGTGGCCGTATCTGTTCAAGTTTATCATCCAGAGCCGCGAGAACCAACGTGGGGATCGGGATGTGGGCGGCGGTGCGGTGCTCGACCATCTGGAGGCCGGCTTCAAGCGAGAGCTCGAGGGCCTGCTGCGCAGCATCAATCAGCTCATGAGCGCGACCACGCCTTCGTCCATCATCGGAACGCAGACGCTGGCGCTGCAGCACTTTGCTGGAATCCTGCCGGACCTGGCGCGTGTGTTCACCGCAGACGAGCTGGTGCGTACGGCCACTGCTTTTGCCGACAGCATCTTCATAACCAAGGGAAAGATGGCTATCTGGAAGCTGCTGCACATTTTGCAGCTGACGCAGGGGCCATTGTTCGATGAGCAGGCGTCGCGCTCGCAAATGATCCCCAGCATCGTCCGATGGATCGGTCCTCATCTCGGAGCGTATGACGAGTCGGCCCATGCTCCGGCAAAGGCGCTCGAGAACGCACGCGACGCCGCTCGTGTGTCATGGATCGAGGCGGCGCGACTGGCTATCACCATCCTGGCAGTGATCCTCGATCGCTTGCAGGTGAGTCTTGCCGCCGGCCCTAGCCCGATATCCAATGGCGCTCCTCGAGCTCGAGGACGACAGGAACAGGACGACGTCGACTATCTCCTCAGTATGATGCCCAAGCTGCTAGACACCTACCGCGAGCTGTCAAGCCGAGCCACCATTCGCGCACTTGAGCGCCACCGCGCCCCTTCCACCACTCCATCGCCGGTACCCGTGATCTTCCCGTCCAGCTATCCCTTCCCGCTCGTCGCCAAACGCCCTCAAGGCCATGCTTCGGTCGTGAACGGGCCGTCTTCGCGCCGAAATCGCCGCCGCGACCGCACCGAGTTCCTCAACTGCGGCCTGGTCGAGATCGCCGCCGTGCTGATGGTGCTGATCGTTCTGAGCCCCAGGAAGCATCTAGTCAGCTTCTTGGACGAGGAGCGCGACATCGGAGGCGAAGAGCGAACGGCCAAGCTGCTGCTGGACTTCTTTGAAGTTGCCACGTCGATCTTGTCGTACGAGGCTTTCCCGAGCACCTGGCTCAACCTCAACATCTTCAGCCACCAGATGGTGATGAAGATGGCCGATCCGCTCGCGTCGGTGATGGTGCGCCACTACATTCCGTCAGCGGAGCAGAGCGAGACTTTCAACACGGCGCTATGGCGATCGTGCCTCACCATGCTCCTCACGCTGCTGTCGAGCGATCAGCTGGTGATCGAGCAATTCAAGCCCCAGCGGCGCAGAGCGGTGTGGAGGCTCGCAGGCGACATCCGAGGCGAAGGCGCTCAGATCTTTGCCAAGCTGTGGACTTCGATCGGATGGCCTGAAGCTGCGGCTGACGATGCGGACGGCGAACAGAACGGCCGAACGGACGAGAGGATGAACACAGGCGGCTTCCAGGTACAGTTCGTGCCCTCGCTCGTCGAGCCGGTGCTCGAGCTGTGTCTCTCGCACCACGACGAACTAAGAACCTGCGCCGTGCGCGTGCTCGCGACGATGATCACGTCCGAGTGGCATCTCAACGGTGATTTCAGCGTGATCGAGGCCGAGATCATCGACAAGCTCGACGTGCTTTTCATGACGCACACCAAGGGCGACGAGATCTCGCGTGCATTCTTTGTGGGGCAACTGCGTGCGCTTTTCGACAACCCCAACGTGGATCCGGGCCTACGCGAACAGGTCGAGGCCTGCCTCGTCTCGGTCAACCGCTTCCTCGATCTGCTGCTCAGTGTGCGCAGCTTGCCGCTAGAGGAAGGATACGAAGACGATCGCATCGCTGGCACGCTCAAGCTCCTCGGCTTCCTGAGGCAGGCGAATCGCGTGTCGGCGTTCTCGACGCATGTCCTCCGCCTCGTCAATCTCCATCTCGAAAACCAGAACTACGTCGAGGCGGCACTCACGCTCAAGCTGCACGCAGACTTGCATTCTTGGGACATGGACAGCTTCGTCGAGCCTTTCGGCGAGTTGGATCTGCCGCGCCAGTCTCACTTTGCGCGAAAGGAGACGCTGTACATGCTGATCCTCGACTATCTGGGCAAGGGTCAGGCGTGGGAGATCTCGGTGGACATCTGTCGCGAACTCGCGCAGCAGTACGAGTTCCGCTCGGTCAACTACGTCCGGCTTGGCGAGGTGCTCCACCACCAAGCTAAGCTGTACCAGAGAATCGCCACCGAGGAGCGCGCATTCCCGTCGTACTTCCGCGTGGCGTACTACGGGCAGGAGTGGCCGCCTTCGCTGCGAGACAGGATGTTTGTGTACCGCGGCCAGGACTGGGAGAAGTTTGGCGCTTTCTGCGACCGGCTGCATGCAAAGCATCCACAGGCAACGCTGATCAAGAGCGCCGCTGTGCCGGACGAGGAGGTGCGCCTTGCCGAAGGCCGCTTCCTCCAGGTGACTGCGGTCCAGCCGGAGCCAGACCGGACCAAGGAGATCTTTACCAACCCGGAGGTGCCGCCCAACGTGCGTACGTACCACGAAAAGTGCGGAACGGATCTGTTCTCGTTCGAGCGACCGCTGGGCAAGGCGGATGCGGGCCAGGCAGAGCAGTGGGTGGAAAAGACGTATCTGCGCTGCGAAGATGCCTTCCCCACCGTGCTGCGCCGCAGCGAGATCGCCGAGGTATACGTGGTGGAGATCAGCCCCCTCGAAAAAGCGATCGAAGACGTCACAGCCAAGACGAGCGAGCTCGAGACGCTCGAGAAGAAGTACCTCAGCATCCGCAAGGTGTCCACGGGCAAGATCAACACGAACCGGCTCTCGATGGCGCTCAATGGGGCGGTGGATGCACCGACCGAGGGCGGCATTCCGCTGTACAAGAGCACCTTCTTTGCGCCCGAGTACGCCGCGGCGCACGCGGACCAGCAGGCTGCCATCGACGAGCTGCGACAGGCGATCGATGCGCAGGTGATGGTGCTGTTCAGGTGCATCAGGCTGCATGCACAGCTGTGCCCGCCCGAGATGAAGTCGTTCCACGAGACGCTCGAGCGCTTCTTTGTGCAGAACTTTGGCGAAGAGATTGCACAGCTCGACCTGGATATTCGCAAACTCGGCGAGGCGCCGGCCGGTTCATTCGACAGGCAAGTTGGGAGAGGGGACGAGAGTGGCGAGGAGGACGAGAGGCATCCGACTGAGCGCGCGCTCAGTCGCGGTTTCACGCTCGGCATGGGCGCAATGGACCGAGCTGGAGCGGCCAACGGCTTCGCAGTTGCGCATGATGGCAGGCAGGATCTGCAGCCCAATGCGCAGTACGGCAAACGCGGCGCTGCGGCACAGTCGCCGTTGCAGCGTCACATTGCGTTCCTCACGCGCCAGGCCGAAGCTCCTGCGAACATAGAGCCGGCTCCTGCCGCTGTCGTTGCGCAGAGGAAGCTCACGGCCGACTCTGCATATGTCGCCGCCGCGGCGGGCGGGTACGGAGAGACGAGTGCGGCGTCGAGTAAAGTGCTCCCGCCAATTTCAGAGGACATGCTCGGCGGAGTGGCCAACATGCCTGCTGCGCCACTGCCGACGAGCTTTTCGAAGCACAGCCTGTCGCGCGCCGACTCGAGCTATTCGATCCCGGACACGGCGAGCAAGCAGGCCACGCCGCAGAAGCAGGGCCCTGGCAACAGGCTGAGCAAATTCATGGGCGGCGTGGGCCGCAGGAAGGCGTTCAATGCCTAGATAGCCAGAAGATGAAATTGCAGGGTCAGCGTCACGAGCACGATGTTTCGAGTGGAGACGGATCGGTCGGTGAGAAAGAATGTGCCAGTGCACTGATTGTGGGGAAGCCAAAGGGGAGAGCTGGTCGCCAGTGTTTGGCCGGTGAGCTGCGAGCGGTGGAGCGCGTTCTGTTGACAGTCCAGTTGGCCATGCCTGCTCGCAACCTCGGATGGCAATCTAGAACCCGATCAAGTCCAGGAGAATCTTTCGGCAGATCAGCAGATTTGCGGCCCGTCAGCGACTGGTGCCCCGGCTATGGCTTTGCGTGGGGCCGTCGAAGAATGTCTGCGGAGCGGGGGAGATGAGTATGCCCCAGCGCGCGCGCCTCCTTTCCACAAAGACGGCCCCCGACCAAGTCCATCACGCGAGTAGCGCCGATTCGGCTGTAGTTCCATCGCGGGGTGAGAAAGACTAGCCTCATTCGCTCGTGCTTAAAGTCCTGACGCTTCACGCGGGAGATAGAGCATTCCCCTGTCATCGAGCCCCATGACCGCCTCAATCACGCTGTGTATCTGATACGAGCCACAGAGATATGAGATCCGCGATGCGGTCGCGTGGCCTTCTCCGACGCATTCCGTTCTCACGCTCGGCCAAAGGAAGTTCGGTCAGGAGCGGTGCGAGAGCAGACTGATTACGTCGGAATGAAACGCTGCTCGCCGGTGGGAAGGGCCTCATGCATCTATCTGCAAGGCATCGAGCGGAATCTACAGCGCCATGCAGCCACAAGCCCGCTCATCGGCCCTCTCCACGGCCATTTCCGAAACCAAAAGCAAGAACCCTGGGGACCTCGTTGCGAACCTGAGATGTTGAAATGTCAAAAAACTGGCCTTCCCCCCTCAGAGGCCCAGTGGGCCGTAACTTTACGCGCCGGCGTACCGGTAACGCGCCCGCGCGCGTCTTTCCAGGGTTCCAAAGATACGCTCTTTTCGAACAGCTCGCCAAAGCGCTAAATCAGCGGGTCTCAGGATTGCCTTTTGGCTTTAAGACTCACGCAAGAAGAAAAAGAAGAACGCAAAAAGGAGGAATGTGTCGCGGGTCAACCCCGCGAGAGAGTTACTTCTGGAAAGCAACCCAATCTCCATCGCGGCACGGATCCGACTTCACTTTAAGTCCTCCTTCGATGCATTGATTTGGTGCAGTGTAGATCCTTCCCGTGCGTAGGCGGGGGGGAAAGGTGAGGTCTGCTGCTCGCTGCAAGGTTTGCCAGGGCGGCGTCGTTTGTTATGCAGGCACTGACAGCAGGCTGCTGCGAGCTGCTGCGAGTCGCTGCGAGCTGCAGCGATAGTTCTGCATGATCACGACAGCTTGCGTGCGCGGTGCAGGTGTGATTTCAGAGAAGCAAAGACGAAAGATACGCCCCTCGAATCCCGGTAGAACGACGTCGAGAGTAGAGAAGCCTTCCATGCACGCCACGGGCCCGTCCATTCGGTCGCTCGGGCCGGCTGACTCCATTGCCAAGTGGCATGTTGGTTCAGATTGGGCCTAGCTGACCGACGTGGACGAGCGACGAGCCACACGCTAGTGCGGAAGCGGAAGGGCGGGTGGCAAGCCGACGCGTGCCTGCCGAGCTTGGCCCTTTGGGCCTGCCCGCATTCCAATTTCTCCTGCAGCTCATTTCAACGCCGACAGGCGCTTGCTGGGATCGCGAACAATTCTATGTCCGGCCCTCGGCCCGTCTCGAGCGAGGCTCCCTGGCGGCGTTGACCGCTGCATCCGTGGTTGCTGTTCGCCGTCCCAGACGACGGTCGGCGAGGGCAGGGTGCAGGGTGAAGGGTGCAGGAGAACGCATGGTGGCAGGCGACCATGTCTTACGCACCGTGGCATCGACGCAGATGCAGATGGCGCTTTGGGCGAGCACTCCCCGTCTCGCATCTGGCCTTTGCTTCTCGCGCTCAGCTGCGAAGGTCGGCTGTCATGGCAGGAGGCGATTTGAACCATTTTCCGCGGTCCGTCGTGTGAACGTGGCCACTACACAATGGGCCCCGTTGAGAGAATGACTTTCAGCATAAAGCGCATCCAAAGCTCGATGGCGAGACGCTTGTCATTGTCGAGCCGACGTCGGCTGACTCGTTCCGCTTCGACGGCTCCTCGTTCGCGCCCTATCTCACCTCGACCGCATTGGCCACAGGAACCACTTTGCGGTGAAGCCCTGACCTGGCTTCCTCGGCCATTTGCAATTAGTCCGCGACCTGAAATTCGCGCACGGCGTCGGTCCGCAGTTTCGCGATTCTGGCTGGGCAGAGCATCTGAGTTGAGGCGCCTGGCTCGCGATTCGGCTGGTCCGAAGATCCAGAAGGATGAAGTCGGGGAGCGTGTGACCGTATGTGGCGCTCCTTGGGGGCAAGGGGCGGGCAAGCTCCGCCGAATCGGCGTCAAAGACACGCAAGTGGCTCGACGGCTTTTTATGCGAGCTGCGTCCAGGCAGGGTGACCAGACGCGTGCAGCGGTGCAGCAGCAGCCGCCGCCCAGCTCGGCTGATCGCTGCAACCCACCAGCCACGCTAAGGGGCGCCACTCCTTCCAAGGCCGAAAAGCCCTGAGCCTCCCCTGTCAACCACCGAAGGCGGCTCCAATTCCAGCCAGGGCACCTGCTGCAGCGGGTCTCTTGCTCGTGGCTCCCCTCGCCTAGTCGTCTGGCCGCTCCTCCCCCTGCCGCTCCCTGGGCTTCGACCTCTGGAAGCCCCCGCACTCCCGCCATACCCTCCTCTCCTATCCGTCCCTGTCTACGGCAGATCCGACAATCGCAGCCGGCTCCACGCCTGGCTTGTCTCCGGACTCCATCACTTCCGGCTGGGTTTCTGCCACCGCCTTTTCGCATCGCCGACTTCGTCACAGCGGCTGTTGACTCTCTGAGATCCGAGGGAGCTCCCGTCACATCGCTCTCTCTCTTTCTCCTTTCCGACTCCCGACACTCGCCGGCCTCAGCATCAATCACGACACGACAGACTCCGACAGACTCCAGCAGAAGAAGAAGCTCGTGTTCATGTCCTTGAGGAAAGATTCGGCCCGACCTTCGCCTACACAACGCAGAAACGCTTGAGGTCATCCTCGACCCAAGCGTGCGTTGAGTCAACGCAGCATGCCCCGACCCAAAACTTCCGCAACCCATAGCGGGTCGCGTGACGGCAGTGGAGAGGAGAGCGACGCGACGCTCGACCCGCACTCCTCGTCGTCCGCACCCAGCCGGCGCACCCGCAAACGCCCCGCACACATGGCTCGCCAAGGCTCCGTCGAACAGACTTCCTCGCCCGCCTCCCGCTCGTATGCTGGTTCGCAGAACGCTTCGAACGTCGCCGACCTCTCCGACGTTGGGGAGGGCAACAGTCAAGCTCGCTCCCGCTATACCGACCGTAGAAGCAGCGGCCAACCACACCGAACGGTCACATCTGCCTTTGAATCTCCCGACCAGGCGCGCGAACGTCTCGTGCTCATGCAGTCCAGCTCTCCTCGTGTCAGCAATACGCAGTCTGCACACGACCACACCCACCCTGCTCGTAGCAACACAAATACGCCAGACGCTCGATCGCGACTAGACACGGCTCACGGAGCGCAAACACCTCACGCCTCGTCATCGAGATGCATCGAAACATCGATCACCTCGATGTCGCAGACCCGCATGAACGGATCTGCGTCCAACCGCATGCAGGTTGCTGAGGCATCTGCCAGACTAGAACCAGCGACCACTGGCCTCTCGCTCCACTTGCCACCTTACGAGGCAGGCAGCTACGCAGAGATGGAACCCGCTCGGAGTGGGCCTCTACAGCCTCTGTCTTCCTCGACTCAGCTCTCGGCCCCTTCCATGGCAAGCACCGCCAGCAACATGTCGCCGCCACGGCCTACGCGGGCTCTTCCGCGACGTCGAGCATCGGCCCGCACTCAATCTAGGCCGCTGCTATCGAGCTCCAACAGCGCGTCGTCATCCTATGCATTGCGATCGCGATCGTCCTCGAGCTCCAACGTGCTAGCATCCAGCAGCTCCGCAGCCAACATCATGGCCTCCGGTCAGAACCGTCTCAACCTTGCCACGGGCTGTGCTCCCCTCGGCGGTGGATTCGACCCTTCGTACACTCCGCCCTCGGGCATGTCGACTCCGCGTACGCCCTTGGCCGAGATCCCGCTTTGGCTAGCAGACATGCGGAGCCAGAGCCGCAGGAGCAGCACGAGCTCCACCAGCTTCATCGACCGCGATGACTACCTTACCGCTTCGAGGTCGGCAGCTTCGCATCACGCCAGGACGCTGTCCGCCTCGTCTTCTGGTCCGTCCAGTCCGGGTGCCACGCGAACCGGTTCCATCTCTCCGGTGGTCCCCTTCCGCCGCTCGCTGCGGGGTCGAAGGCCGCGTCAGAGCGACGAGAACGCACGCCTCAGCCCCTCGCCGTCCTACTTTGGCGAGTTCGAGAATGGCTCGGCTGCCTCGACTCGGGGCGAGATGACGGCGCTCGACGAGACGCCTGACGCGGACGATAGCACCTCTTCTAGCATGATTCATCTCGGTACCACGTCTCCCTCGACGCCGTCCGTGCAATTGCAAGCATCGAGTCCGGCCATGTCGACACGAAGTCGCACGTTGAACCGCCTCGCCTCGATCCGGGCCCGCAGGCTCACAGATCCTCTCAACGCCCCGATCACCACAAGCGCACCTCCAGCTTCCGAAAGGCAGGATGCTCGATATGCTCAGAGAATCGCTCTGAGCTCCAGCTATGGCCAGCTGCGCAGTACTGTGGCCGACGAGCAGAGGTCGGCGAGTCTTCTTGAACGTCGATTCGCGGCGGCCAATGTGTCTGCGAGCCCTTCCGGACCGACTGGGCGTGTCTCGAGTCGACCCAGCTCACGCACGTCGTCGCCGGCGCGTGGGACCCGGGCCTCCAGACGGCGCAGCACTGCAGCCGAGGGCCAGGTGGGCTCAGCAGTCGATGCCAACCATCTGGGACCCGTTCCAGCTGACCTGCCACCCCTTCAGATCCATACTGCGCGATTGCATCGCGACGCTGCACACGAAGTCCCCTACCCCGCTGCCATTCCGGGCTTACATGACGCTGCAGGCTCGTCGAGGCTCTCGGGACTTGAGGGCGCCACCGCGGCCGGCCTGGAAGGTCCGGCGATGCAGTTGGAGCCGATCTCGCCCTCGGCGTTCTCTGAGATGACGAGCTTGACGCAGGGGTCGACGGCTTCAGAGAGCGTGAACAGCGTCGGGGGAATGCCTACCACGCCGTCGTCGTCAGCATCGCTGCTGGATCCCTTTTCGCGCTCGCTCGGCCACGATGCTGGCTTCGGGGAAGCTACGGCTTCCTCCAGCCGTGCGAGAGGGGAAGCCTCGGTCCGCACCGACGAGACTGTCGATGCGGGCGCCAACAGCGCTGCTGCCTCGCAGCGCTCAGACCGCATGCTGAGGCAGCAGCGCAAGAACCCGATGGCCGCGCGCAGCGGCGAAGAGGATGCGCTTGGTCTAAGACTTGATCCGCGTCCTTGAGCTTTGATGAGCCGACCGTCTGCCGTGCCATCTCTTCCCCATAACAATCAAAAGTTGGCTGTGTCTCGCAGCCTCGCCTGCATTGCTTTCTTTCCTCCCATTGTCGTGGTTGCATTCGTCTTTGTCCTCAGTCCGCGCCCTTTCGGTCATTGATATTCTTCTGGCCGTAATGACTGCGTGACCCGCTTGAGTGTGCGATGGACTCGAAGTGAGCGAGATGAAGCGAGCGAGACAGCGATGGGCAGAGCGCCGTGCTGGTGTGCGAGCAAAAATAGAAATAAAAAATGGCAAAAAGAATCTCCCAACGTGGGGCTCGAACCCACGACATTCAGATATCCCAAGTGAAACTTGGAAACCCTTGAATAAGAGTCTGACGCTCTACCGACTGAGCTAGCCGGGATAGATGTCTCTGCCTCCTACTATTGCGGATATATCCTCTCTGTTGCCCCCCAGGGAACGAGACGATCACGACTTGGACGTGCCAGAGGAGGGATTTTGCAAAATTCGTGTTGGCCTGTCCGCCCGGCGCTTTGTGTGCATCGCGACTGCGCATCTGCTGTGTCTCTATTGGCAGCGGATCGGCTGATGCGAGTCGGTCTGCAGAGCGGCTTCGTCTGCGATTTCACGTCGTGCGGATTCGACTTGATCGCTGGTGGGAAGATCACGTCGTCGCATCCGCACTTTGCTTCCGCATCCTCACCATCGTCATATCTGCTCCGCGACACCTCTCGCTGCTCGGCCCGCATCCTTCCTTCTACGTGCGACGTTCCCGCCGGCATCTGCAGCACTGCTTCTTTCCACGTCGCGACACCTACAGCCGACACGCACACCGGTGGTCTGGATCCGACGCCTTCTACCTCGCCAGCTTCGATACTGCGGCTGCTGGACAGACTGCGCTTCACCCCTTTGCGGCACAGCCTTCCTCTTTGAATCGATCTGCTGTTGGTGCACGGCATCAACCTTGTGGTCACGGAGACAGACAATCCTCGACAGCCGATCCCGGAATAGAGAGGCTTCGACTCGCAAGGCCACGCGTTCTTTTGGTGTCGCAACGACTCAGCACCCGCTGAAAGTTCAATAGCTCAGCATGTCTGGCGGACGCAGCTGCGCACGTGTCTACCCAGGCGCCAACGAAAAGTTTGGCCGCCCGTGGTGGGACTACGACAACCTGGCGGTGCAGTGGGGCACGCAGGACAACTACGAGATCCTTCGCAAGGTGGGTCGCGGCAAATACTCGGAAGTCTTTGAAGGCGTCAACATCGCCTCAGCATCGGGCGTGCCCGAAAAGTGCATCATCAAGGTGCTGAAGCCGGTCAAKAAGAAGAAGATCAAGCGTGAGATCAAGATCCTGCAAAACCTCGCCGGCGGCCCCAACGTGGTTGGTCTTCTGGATGTGGTGCGCGATCCGCAGAGCAAGACGCCGTCGATCATCACCGAGTACATCAACAACACGGACTTCAAGATCCTGTACCCCAAGTTCTCCGACTTCGACGTTAGGTTCTACATCTTTGAGCTGCTCAAGGCGCTCGATTTTTGCCACTCGCGGGGCATCATGCACCGCGACGTGAAGCCGCACAACGTCATGATCGACCACGAGAAGCGCAAGCTTCGCCTCATCGACTGGGGTCTCGCCGAATTCTACCACCCGTACACCGAGTACAACGTGCGCGTGGCCAGTCGATACTTCAAGGGACCCGAGCTGCTAGTCGACTTCCAGGAGTACGACTACTCGCTCGACATGTGGAGCCTGGGATGCATGTTTGCCAGTATGATCTTCAGGAAGGAGCCGTTCTTCCACGGCCACGACAACTACGACCAGCTGGTCAAGATTTGCAAGGTGCTTGGTACCGACGAGCTGTACGCGTACCTGGAGAAGTACGACATCGATCTCGACCCGCAGTACGACGATATCCTGGGAAGATACCAGCGAAAGCCGTGGAGCAGGTTCATCACGTCCGAGAACCAGAGGTACATCTCGAACGACGCCATCGACTTCCTCGACAAGCTGCTGCGATACGACCACCAGGAGAGGCTCACGGCCAAGGAGGCGCAGGATCACCCGTACTTTGAGCCCGTGCGGGCTGCTGCGGCGCGCGGCGAGGTCGTGGCGAGCTAGACAGTCGCGCAGCTCGTCACGCGATACAGCTCGTCCCGGCTGTCGAGCGCCGAGTCCAAAACAGGCTTCGGCGATGTCGTATGTGTGCCGTCTATCTCGGCGGTGGGTCACGCAGGGCTAGTTTGGCTGCACGCAACGCTGTACCCGCTCTTCGGTGAATCTTATTTCTTTCTGGTCACGGTCTTCTAAGTTGCGAAGTGGTTTCGGCTGTCATGGTTGGCTGTGCACACCTCGATGAGGCTTGAACGTTTGTGCATGGGCGACGACCGGTTTGGCACACCTTAACTCAGTGTGGTATCAACGTGCCGACAAGACTGGTGATAGCGAGCAGGATTAGTGCAGTCGATGGCGGTATCGACAAGGTCCAAGCGGTGCCGATAGGGGGCAAGCAGTCGACGAGGCTCGGGCCGATGGATGCTGCGTTTGCGCTTACTCTGGCCGTGGTGGGAGAAATTTGGCGCCTGCGTGTTGCGAGGAACGTGCAGCAGGGGGATCGGCATCCGACATGACCACAATTTTGACCCCAGCAGCAGAGCACGACGGCGTTTAGCCTGACGATCCGCATCGTCAAATCCGGCGGCGCCAGACGTGGGTGCGTGTGTGTTTTGTTGAAATTTCGCAGGGCGCGTGCGTGCGTTTCTGCCAATTCGACGCCCGGCTCGCAGCTCGCGAACCCTGAAATCCGACCTCCGAACCCTGTCCCGCCCGCTGCTGTGCGGTGAAAAGTTGCGCCGCTCGTCATTACACATGCATCCGCACGCAGCGGAGGTTCATATAATAAGACCATCCGACAGGACAACGCGCAGCTCAGGGATCCGACATTGTGCTCTCAACCACCATCGACTAGGTAGCAGCGGAAGCGCATCACAATCGTAGCCATGGTGGCCGAAAGCGTCGAGCCGTCAACAGGCACCGCCTCCTCCAGTGCCTCGGCAATCCCAGCGTATCCGGCCTCGGACATCGCAAAGCCAACGTCGAATCTCGGCATCTTGAACCAGCCCAACGGTGCTTCCGACCACGGCGATGCTGCATCGCCACGACCGAGGGTCTCGCTCTCGTACGCCGACCATCCTCGTCGTGATCGCAGCCAGAATGCATCCGGCAGCGGCACCGTAGATGACGAACAGCCCACGCGCTCAAGGTCAGTGGGCCGCTCCCACCGACGCTCGCAGTCGATCAAGCGAAGCTTCAGCCAGAGCCGCACGAGTTTCGATGCGGCAGCAGCACGGACGAGCGGAGCGCTGCGCAGGTCCATGTCGTTGGTGCGAAACCAGGGCACAGGAGAACCCATCGACCCCATGCACGAGCCGCGCCGCTCAATCGGCAAGCGCCCCAACGAGCTGCACCTCGCCGAGCGCGATCCGCACAAGCCCCAGCAGGGCTGGTGGAAGCATGCGCGTCGCGCCATCCCCTTTGCCGCGCCCTACGAACGCTCGGGCGTCGTCATCGACCAGCCCGCCAGCCTGCGCGACTGGATCGTGCCCGGCCCGCTCACGTTTGGTTACGGCCAGTGGTGGTACCTCGTGTTTGGCCAGAGCATCGTCGCCGCCATCATCTCGGGTGCCATCAACTTTGGCGTCGCCGTCGCACTGTATCGCACGCAGCCGACGATCAACATCTGGACCTTTGACCGCCAGACGGTCGCGGGCGACATGGGCGTCACCGTCATCGTTCAGCAGATCGTCTCGTTCATCATCACATCGTCGCTCGTGCACCACGACCTGTACGCTGGCCCGATTGGGCCGCTCCGACGCCCGTGGCCGCCGCTGCTGCATCTGCCGTCGACGCCCGTGCCGCAGGGACACTGGCTGGGCATCCGCATGCCCGAAGACGTCGAGCGCGAGCACACGCAGTGCAGGATGGGTCGGGCCGAGGGCAAGTCCAAGCTCAACGGCTGGTGGTGGTGGTTTGTGCGAGCCGTCCTGACTGGGTCGGAGCGCAACGACCTGTTGGCCGCAGGCATCTCTTGGCGCCAGCGATTGGAACGTCTGGCATGGACCGCCGCGCAGGGTTTCTTCCTGTGCTGCCTTACGTTTTGGTGGTACTGGCCGCTGGCCATCGCCATTGTCGCACCCATCTACGAGCACCGTGAGCTCGCGGGCACGTGGGTCCCGATGATCATCAAGCTCCTCTACGGAGCGATCCTGTCGCTGCTCACGAATCCGATCATGGCGCTCATGGCCATGGGCGCCGAGTCGAGCGTGAGGCGCTGCTACCCCGAACTACCCATGTGGGACCCCTTTGGCGGCAAGGAGGACTTTGCGCAGTGGAAGGTCGAGCATGGCGTCGTGGATGCTGCCGAGCTGGGCGAAGCGGGTGCGGATGGCGCAGACACCCCGGATGCCCGCGATACGGCTTCCCACAGCCAGGATCAGTCGCCCAGCTCCTCGGAGGAACAAGGCAGGGCGGATGCCGCCTTGATTCAGCCGAGTGCGAAGCCAGAGATGGTCGCCGTGTCGGAAAAGCCTACATCGGGCTACCAGTCGAGCAATTTGCTCGAACGGCGCATCACTGAAGAACCTGGCGCAGTCCACGCGCACGAGGCTCACTCCGAAAAGCGCGACTAGAGCAGGCCACTGTACTCATCTGTAGAAGTTAATGGTAGAGCTCCTCTTTGTCCCGGCCATGTCGCAAGTCTGACCAGCCCATGGTGTGTGGGTGCATGATCAGGATGCTGATGGTTGGCTGCAAGTGGTCAGTGCCTTGATTCTTTCGAAGGATGTTCTTCAAAATTCGCGCGAACAATGGAGCTTGGCACGTGCGTTCTTGCTGTGCCAGGTCCGGACGACTGGCCTTGCCAGCCTGCCTTTCCATTATCACCTTGCGGCTTCTGTTGTCGGCGGTAACCCGCGCTCTGCAATCAACCGAGCCAGCTGGTGAATGGATGCTTTAGCCGGAGACAGAGTGGCTTAGCGACCTGGCGCCGACTCTGAACGCGTTGTGACAACAGAGAGGCTTGCAGCCGTACTTTCCGGCCCAATTTGATTCTCGGCAGGGGAGGAAGGGGAGGAGGGACGGCGAAAGGCGCGCGCTAGATCTCGTTAGATGTTCCAAGCGAGTGTCTGATGGCAGCAAGCGAGGAGGGGATGACTGCACATGCTGGAAAGGGAAGCCGCTCAACAAAATGCAGTAGCGAGTGGAAGATCTCGGCCTCCACTTGAGCGACCCTCGTTTCACAGCCCTTCGAGGATCCGCAAGGAGAGGAGGCTGTTGTCACAACTGCGTAGGACGCAGGGGGCATCCGTACCTACTTGACGCTAGAGGTCAGCTGGAACTTTGCGGCCAAGGCGGGGGTATTGATGTTGTTCGTTATCCAAAGCGGTCGAGCGCTAGGTCCATGCTTACGCCTGCTCTGGGCGCGTGGATGGATGGATGCGGACAATTGGTCAAATGGAGCACATGAGCACAGTCGCGCGCTCGCCATGGATTTTGAGCGCGGCTTGAGCTCAAGCTCGCCTAGACGACGCATGGAAGCGAGGACGGACGGGCGGATTCCCTCACCTTAAATTTCCTGCTTCTGGTTCAAGGCGACGGTCGGATCTGCCCTGCGCTGCTCCGCGCTCGCGTGCAGTGTGCGCTGGGCGGTACGCGTGCAAATGCCGCCCCGGCAAGCCAATTGTCTCAGGGCCACCTGCCCAGCTTCATTTTTTCTGAAGTTCGCCTCGGCCAACCTATAGAAAACACGCGTTGCGGTTGCAACCGGCGTCCGCCTGTCGACTCTAATTTAGAGCTACGGAAATTTAGAGCTCGACTTCCATACTTTGTGCGCGAGCCTTGATTTTTTTCTTCTCCTTTCGGCCAGTTGGAAAGCCGGGTCGCTTGGACCACCTGTGGGAGCTTCACCAGACTCAGCCCCGGGCCTCTGCCTCTGGAACTGCCCACGCTTGGCCATGCCTCACCCTTTGTTTGTAGAACCTTCTCGCTCCCGTACCACGGCTCTCACGCAGCCGGGCGAGATTGACGTCGCCATTGGTGACGTATGCACGCTTCAGGAACCACACAGCATTGTCCGCCGCTCCTGTTGTGCCTCGCATTTCCTCGTTCCGTCTCCTCCCTCGGAAGCCACCCGCAAGCTCCCTGCCTGTCTCGTAGCGAGAAACAACGTACCCTAAGCGTGCCTCAGCGCTGTTGCCCCTCTGAGCTTGCCGAGAAGCCATTCCTCTGCAATGCTTTCTCATTCGACTGCTCGGTTACGTATCCCATCTGCTCCGCACCCCTCCGTCAGTAAGCGAAGCCTGTGGTCCGAGCCGCTCGTCCTGCCCAAATGCTACCGGTGGACAGCCATGTACGCAATGACGCCGCTTCGGGACGTGATCTTCGTGCGTGGCTTTGCGCCTACCTCACAGATGCCCAGTCGTACTAAATCGGCTTGGCCGTTTCGGTGAGCCAAAGCCTCGGTTCCTCCGATAGGCGTAGTCACCATGTCCGAAATAATCCTACGGAAGCGCCGCTCCACTCAATCTCATTCCGCCTCTGCCGCAGGTGGGGTGAGGGAGCGTCAGAGTGCGGTGACCCGTTCGGGAATCCATGTACCATGACCGTATGATGTGGGAATTGCCCTCATTTCATACCGTTCGGATGGCCTCCGAACTCGACGTTTCTGTAGCCGCTCCGCAGTCTGCATGTGCAGCATGCACGCTTTTCCTGCCCGCCTCCTGCTGCTCCCCGTATGCGTTGCCGCTCCGCTTCGGCCGGAGTGTCGGGCCTTGTCCACCAGAGACTCTCCATTTGCGCTACGTCTTCCCCAGTCGCCCTCCTTTCCTGCTCCATCGTCTCGTCCTCCATGTCCATGCCCGCCCATCCCACATCGTTTCCGTACCCACCAAGAGGAATCGCTCCTCTTTTTTCCCCGGTGGGAGAGGGCATTCTTGTTTCCAAGTTCTGTATCAATCCCCTCTTTCAGTCACTTGCCAGCATTGGTCGACATATCCATCGATTTGAGCCTCTAGCTGTTCTCAACATCTCAACTGCACCTTGACATCTCACATCAAGCCGGTAAGTCGGTCATCTTGTCGAGTGCACAGCCAAAAGACGAGGTGATTCGCATTGTTTGATGTGAGCGCTTTCTTGGCCAATTCGTCCGCCATACAACCAGCGTCGACAGATATCCCACTCGCCATGCAGGGCTTCGACTAAGAGCCAGGCTGAGCGAAGAGACACAATCTCCAGGTGAGTAACGATGCGTCGCAGCCGAGCGTATAGCACTCAGCACAGTCGATCCATGGACAGTGTCGAGGTCACATGGCGACAGAGTAAACAAGCTGTCCTTTGCGGAGTCATCATAGTCTCCACCCTCCGGAAACCAGCCGGGTCTCAGCACTTCGACGACTCGTCCGAACCTGTGTCGCCATCCTTCGTCGTCGTACTTCGTTGAGCTTGGAACACAACCGCCAGTCTCCTGGACGACACCAACATGATACTGACCGATCGATACTTCTTCTGCCTCACTCAAACTGCGCCGACACATCCGCTTTCCCACTTGACATGCGTGACAACAGCATCGACGTCTTTATTTCCAGTCATCGAACCCTCTATCTGGCAAATCTTTTCACTTGCGTAGCGACAATGACGATGCCGTTGTTGTCAGGCTTACCCGGCTCGGACCCGTCAGCGTCGCGAGCCGGCTCGTCTCTACCCATCCGTCCGCTTGTTCACGTCGCCAACTTACCCAGCACAACGACAGAACGTGCGCTGCGAGACATGTTTGCCTCCCTTGGGCCGATTCAGTCGGTCAAAGTCGTTGCGAGTCGTAACTCAGCTGGCCTTGCCTATGGCTTCGTCGAGTTTGTCGACGTCTCTTCGGCCGAGCGCGCTGTCCGCACCTTGGATGGTTGGCTCTGCTTCGGCGTTCCCATCAAGGTGTGTTGGGCTAAGCAAAGCATGCATCCAGATGCCATGACCGACACCGAGCCTGATCGAAGCGCGCCGACACACAGCAGCGCCGGCCATGCACACCTCTTTGTCGGCGACTTGTCGCCAGACGTGGACGACTCCATGCTCCACTCGTTCTTTTCGAGATTCCCATCGTTAGCAGACGTCCGCGTCATGTACGACGCAGAGACGGGCAAGTCTCGTGGCTTTGGCTTCGTCAGCTTCCGCTGCAAACGCGACGCAGAGACTTGCATCGCCACCATGCAAGGGCAGTGGCTCGGCGGACGACAGATCCGCGTCAACTGGGCCAACCAGAAGAACAGCCAGCTCTCGACCATGTCCGCCACCGCTGAATATCTTAGCAGCACGCCACCGCCGCATAATCCCGGCGCCTACAGCCAGCTTGATCCATTCGGCTCGACCGTGACCAGTACAGCATCGTTCTTCCCGCCCGTAGCTGATCTCGGCCTTCCCGGCGGCCTTCCCGGCTTGCCAAGGCGACACACCACCACGGGACCGACCAAATTCCCCAGCGGCACCGGCGCCAAGCTCCACTTCGACCAGGTGCTCAGCGAGGCGCCAGCGAGCGTGTCGAGCGTGTACGTGGGGAACCTATCGCCGCTCACGACGACCGCCGACCTGGTGCGTGTCTTCGCACCATTCAACCGCGGCCACTCGGTCGAGGCGCGTATTCCGCCCGCACGCGGCTACGGCTTCGTCACGCTCGCCACACACGAGTACGCCGCGAGCGCCATCTCCACACTTTACAATCAGGGCGTCTTCCTACACAGCCGCTGGCTCCGCTTGGGCTGGCAAAAAGAGCGCGAAAAGCCTCCCCTCGAACACCGCTCCGAGTCTTTACCGTTGCAACAAGCGCGCCACCCACGTTGACAGGCAAGCAAGCAAGCCATCTACACCCGTCCAAACGACACTCGATCAATGTCAGACTCGCACAAATGAATGCAAACCTAATCGAAGAAATCATGGACTGGGAGGTGAAGGGGGGACTCCGGAATGCCTATTTACATGCGTGCGGGTCTTCTTGTGTCTGGAGCTGGTCCGGAGTGAGTCCCTGTTATCAGCGGGAACCCCCCAAGCCGACCAAGTTTTTGCTTGTGAGACCTCGCGGGAAAGGTTCTCGAGAGGCTGCGAGGAGCGGCCCCAAGGACGTCAGCCCACGGCCAGCCGTCCGGACCCGCGTATCACCCCTCACCTCCTGCTGAGCAAGGGTTGGAGCTACAGACCTCCCGAACAGACCCAAGAGGAGGCCACCACCGCCACCCAGCTGCGGCTCGAAGCACCGTCGTGGGTCGCCCGCCGAGACAAGCTCGAAGCTTTCCTGGATCAAGGGCAGCGCTCTCAAGAACATTCAGCAAATTGATGCCAACATCAAGGGCAGGGCTCTCAAAGACATCCGGCAACTTGATGTCAAGATTGAGCTCATCAATGATCCATCTGCCGCTGCTCGTCGTCCCGGCGCTGGTGGCCGTCGCAAGTCTCTGCCGATTTGCCTGAACATCAAGGTGCTCCAGCACGGCCTTCGCACCGCTGCTCAACAGGAGCTTCACGGCATCACAGACCAGTGATCGGCGCAACACGGCATCACACAGACCAGTTCGCGTACTTGCTTGTTTACGACGGACATGCCATCGCGAAAATTGCCTTCGCTCTTCCGGCAGAGACATTGGAGCACCGTTCAACGATCCTCCTCGGTCAGACACGCACACATGTTGGTTCTATGAAAGAGCTTCATGTGAGATGTGGATGGGCTTGGTCGGATTCAGGGACGGCGACCGCCGCTGGACAAGGTTCCAGACAACCTTCTGCCGCAGAGACCGGCATGATGCTCCGACAGGCAAGCCCCAGCAGAAGCACCCCCCCCCCCCCCCAGGAGGTCATGCTACACTCAACGAGAAGCTTGATCTTGAGGCAGTGATCGCTGCCGGGGTCAGCTTCGTAATGGGGTTAAGGGTTCGGGTGGGTAATGGGTTTGAAGGGTGTGGGTGGGTAATGGGGTTGAAGGGTTCAGGTGGATACCATCACCGTCACTACTACCAACACTGACAAACTCCAAAAGCTCTCACTACATTCTTCACCTTCAGCCAAACGCACTTGTAACAATCATGCCAGCCGGTCGAGGCGGCGCGCAACAAGCGCTGACGCTATTTGGCGCGGCGCCTTGTCCCGACAACGGCGCTCTCCGCCCCGCTTCTTCCCTCGCCCCCCATCATCTTTACTAACGTGTTTTGTAGAGTACCGACGCCCGAGTAGTACCGACGCGTCAATTTGAGTTGAAATCTAGTATGGTGTCAGTACTTTTGTGTGATGGCGACGGGCACAGTCTGTGATTGCGACAAGCCGAGATTTGCATTGCGAGATGGTGTGATACAAACGTACACGTCCAAGGACGCGAACGGACATGGCAGAGGAGGGTCGTCGAGTGCTGCGTCGATGTCGTCTTCGACATCAGTATCTGCCTCGTCGCCATCGTCGGCCGAGGCAGTCGGTGGTGCTACTGTCAAGACGGGGTTTGGCAAGGTCCCCGCACCCAAGACCGGCGTCGGCGTCGTCGTGCAAGGCGCCACAGCGTCGGCGTCGTCGCGACGAGGCCCCGCGTCAAAGAGCGTCGTTGTCGGGACGAGGCGCCGCGCCAAAGAGCGTTGCTGAAGATTATCGAGTGCCCTGTCCTTGATGTGGGTGTGGAACGGATTTGTTGTGACCTGGAGCAGAGATAGGTTTGTTGTGACCTGGAGCAGATGGCCCTGCTTATTGCCGTCGTCGGGCGAGGCGCAAGTGTCCTGTCCTTGATAGGTTTGTTGTGACCT